AACAATCGGTATACATATATATATCCCTCTGACATAGACAAAGACATGTAGTGTTTCTTGCTACAATCTCTTACCTACCGGCATGTGAGTACAGGTATGTGATATGCCTTGGTTCGCCCAGCTCATCAGCCCTGCTCTTGAAAAGTATCTACCTATTATATGGGCTGATTCAGGTGGGTGATATTTTATTGTAGTCTATTTCGTCTTCTGATTCTCCTAAGAGTTGAATCTAGTTGATGCAAATCGAGTGTTTCTAGTGATATGGTCATTATGATTCTGAAGGCTTTCTATAATATCTTGGCGTAAATCTGCATCTACCTGTATACGTAGATATTTTAGGTATAGCATGAATGTTTGCAAATGTTAGATCAGGATTTATAATGAATACACAGGATACTCCATTACCAATATCATCATTTGAATGAAATGCAAAATAACGTTTAAACTCAGTAACTCTATTATTAAGTTCAATAGTACATTAAAATTAGACCAAAAAGAGACATGTTTAATCTGAGATACTTGGTTGACCAAGCTTTTCTAGGGGGCTTTGTACAATATGCAAGATGTAGTAACCACTTGAAACTTCGTAATATGATCATCAGCATTTAAGAACATGTACGTTCGATCGAAATTGAGTTAATTTTTAGTACTTGTTTGTTGCATCATCTGACTATGGATAGGATGTATTAAGTGTTTGGAGAGACTTGTGGAATATCTGTGTATGCTGTGAATCAGATAACTGATCAACGACCGACAACATTGATGAGTCCCACTTAGACGTAAAGTTGGGACCCGAGGAAATCCTATATAAAACTCAAAACATTGACCATGATGCCAAAATTATCGAGTAGTCAAATCCAGTACCTATTGACCAAACTTATTTTTCATTCGTTCAATACAGTATGTCTAGTAATCTATTTGGTTCAGATCATATACCTCCGGTGGGGGTTGCTTCAACTGCGAATCTTCGCAATTTTTTGAATTCTAATATAAATGAATCCAATATTGCGGTATCAGTGACCATGCGAACATATTCTACAAGTCTTTCAAATTCTCTTTAAAATATATAATACAACCTATCTATGGTCTGGTGGTTCAATAAACAAAGCCTATGAAATCTATCTAAAAATTGTTAGAATTTCTATCATGCGTACATATTTCAAATGCTAATGATCACGTAAAGAAGTTTCGGTTGAATACTGCATCTTATATGTATATTTCACAAACTTCTAGAAAAGACCAAAAAACTATTTCTTCTACAAATGCTCATTTCTTCACAACGTTAGCTTGTTGTTTGTATGGTGCATTCGCTTTTAATGCCCAGTTAGTTGTACCAGTTTTTATGTATATTAAGTGGAAAACCACTGTAATAAACTTTGAACATATTAAAGCTAAAGGATATATATATATCTTGGTAAATTTGGATAATGCGAGAAAAACAAGATCTGCAGAATAACATAAATTCATTCTACATGGACGAGGCAATACTTAAGTCATAATATTTTTCGTCCTTTCCGTTACAAACACTTTAGTTTAAATCCCATTTAATAGGAGCTTGTGTTCAACCTATTAAGTACAAAAAGAGGTCTCTGATTAAGTACAGGAAGTCCCAAACACAATTGTTAACAAGAAATCTGTCTTCATTTGTGATTCAAAAGGGAGATTTCAGGTAGAATTGATAAGAGTACTAAACCAGCGCTAAAAAAAGGTTTCCTGCAGTTCTAGTATTTTAAAGATAGAACAGATTTTCCCTAAATCAATCAAAAATTGGTCAGTTCCCTTCTAAGGTCATCTTTAGAATTTACATGTACTTGCGGAAGCAAGTGTTTGGGAAGGACTATGATTAAAATGGCGTCTACAAGGTTTTCGAAAAATATTTCGCTCAAGTTGTGTTTGAAAGGATGTAGAATATTCACCAGTGCTATTATTAGATTTTTAATGGATAGATGACAAAGTGTGGCGATTATAAAGACGTAAAATAATTAACAATCAGTGAACACTACTTTTACTCCGCTTTGCAAGGGCTACTGCCATCAAGCATTTTCGACCTGACCTTTGTATACAGAAAGCTATTGTAGTAAACCTCTCATTACCATGATAAGATAGTTATATTATTTTAACATTCGTCAATTAAATTATCTGTTTATTATACTTTTTGACTTAAGACTATTTCCACCGATATTCACTCACTATGTTAATTTAAATTGTATGTCAACTAGGTGCCTTAATTACCATATATTTGTTAACAATATTTTTATTGATCGTCTCTTCATCATCATCTACAACTTCGTCCTCAAGATGCGAAATCTGAATCAATCTTATCTATTATGTTAAATATATTGTCTCTTGTTTCTCATGTGATTTCAAACTAAACTTCATTGATTACGTACAGTATATTTACATTTTTGATAGTAATATTAATTTTCACAGATTGAACTCATGAGTCAGTTGAAGCTAGACCACCATTGAAAACCTGGAAGCACTGGACGGCCGTTTCGTCCTAGTATGGGACTCCTCAGCAGTGCGCATCCACGTTGGATGAGAAGCTAATAAGAAGCCGTAAAATATAATGAATTTCGTGTTCTTCTTCTTATCGCTTTATTTAAATAAATGATTCAATAAACTCATGTTTTAAAGTGTACTTCAGTAAGGAGTCTTTCTATTTGTTTTTCCTAGTTGAGACTAGCTAAATTATAAATATACACTAACATGAACGTATCATATTCGTAATATACCGTTTGAATATAACTTGACTTGTTTTTAAAAGAGTGATTATTTCTGTCATTTCCTTTTTTTCTAATATTTTAAATTCTATGTTTGTTTAACAAACAATTCATCGAATAAAATTCATCATGAATATACATACTTTTTTAATTCTTAGGCGTTGGGGATGTACGCACCGACTTGCTTATTAAAAGAAGTAGTAAACGAGATTCACAAGAAGTGAATAGGTATGAAAGATCACAACAAACTATTAAACATTCTAATCAAAGAAAGAGTCAGTCGAAAAAGACTTCATCTGCTAACAACAATAGACAACGACAACGTTCTTTACTGGAATTTTTAAAATATAGTGATTAAATTAAATGTATATATGAAATATTTGTATTTTTTTAAACGATGAATAGTAATTGTCAGAACTGACTACCCTAACAGTTTGACAGATTCCTGTTTGATAGTTTTTTAATACTTACCTCATGATATTTGTATCTTGTACACTTTGTATTATCTTCACTTTAATCTTTTGTAGCAACATTCATACGTGTATTTTACTGAACTTATTTTATTGTTTTGAAATGTCTGCATAAATCTGAATGTCTTATTCTTCATTCTTTTTTTGTAAAAGACAATTGAAAAATTTACTGGTTTGATAATTTTGAAATGAATAGATAGTAAGGTGCTTTATGATATGAGAATTTAAACTGATTTAAATGAATTATATGTTGGATACTAGTTAGAATAGGTTACATAAAATGATTTTGTTATTCAGTAAACATGTTAAAGTAGGTATTGTAACAAAGTAGACACTTTTATACAAAATATTATCCTTATTGGTTGTAGATTCATATCATTTAGTCTAACCTGCATTTCCAAATTTAAAATCCGCATTTGGGGTTAAATAGCAATCAGTGATTATTCTGCATAGTAACTATTCATATTTTTATGCTGTATGATACTTTTCTCAAAAATTCAGTTTTGTTGGTTTTTATAAATTACTGAGAACCAGCTGTTAGTAATTGTTGACTGGATATACTTAATAATTCTTGTTTTAATGATCCAATACAAATCATGCTTTTGCTAATTTGTGCTATATGACGGGTCTATGTTATATTTGCTCCAACATTTTCGTTGTATCGTATTTACTTATGATTGATCATCACATGAAATCGATCATTTGTAGAAAGAAACGTTTTTTGTAAGTTTTAGTACGTATTTTGTTCGAACTGATAGTTTGATTTACGGCGTATATAAGAAAGTGAACTGGTATAACACTTCAGAAGTTATTATCGAAAATTTGTTTTACCGTATACAATTATAATGTGCCTACTTAGTCATTTTCACTACTATTTATCCAGATCTCATGTCACTACCAAACAACTGGAATTAAAATTTGATTAGTAGATTGTTGGAGTGATTCAGAAAATTACTTGCAAAAGACAAGCAAGCCTCGGGAATCACTAAGACGCGTTTCGTCCAATCAGCGTTCACTTGAAGTTTTTGCCAAAAATATCAAGGAAGCTAAACGTCACATGTAGAGGTTCTGATTGGCTGATTGCTACACTGCTACTATGTTTAGTAGCATTCCAAAATCTAGCAACCCAAGAACATTCAGAATATTATAAAACCCCTGTATTTTCTGTATTAAAATGAACTTTGGAGTAATCTACTTCTCGCATACTTTGAGTATTCTCTCTCGTGTTCAGGTCGCTGTATAGTTCTAGCTTGGGGGTTACAGAATAGCTTAGGGGACGAATTATAGCGTTCATTCCGCAAGACTTATCATAGATAAACAAACGACCCATGGAAGATTGGACAACCTGAATAATTAGATCATACTTAACATAAAAAACTTGACTGTCTTATCAAAGAGAAACAGCATAACACGTAAATGTTTCATTATCTAACAGACATATCAAAGATCTAAATTGTAATCCAATGGTTATTGTCCCATAGCAGTTAATCTATTTATTTTAAGAATGTAGCAAAATCATAGTGTGAGCAGCAAAAACTGTAACGATAATCCAACCGATACGAATCGGCTTAATTAGTTGGCTAAGTAAAACAAAAGTATATTGAAAAGACTATAATCTCATTTCATGTATAATTGTACAAAATCACATTAAACGGCTGAAATTCATAGAAAAAGCAAGAATTTGTAAAATAAGAAATGAAATCCTATTTTCGAATGTTTGTACTTAAAACAGTAAGAAACTCATAATAGCAAAAATAAAAAATAGCATAAATTGTGTTTATTTTGACTTGTTACTCATAAGTAATAGTTAAGCATGAATAGGATGTGACTGTAAACATGTAATCAATTCTTGTGGTTTTATTTCATTCTGACAAATACGATGAACAGCGACAAATAATGGAAAATGTCCAGTACGACGTCTGTCAGCTAAGATACTGTATATCTTGAAACAAAATAAGAACGATAATGATAACAACATTATGAAATGTGTATTTCATTCACATTGCTTATTATAAAACGAGGTCTGTAAAATTTGGTTTGAAAAATTAATGGAAAAACGTCTAAATGGTAAATAACATGCATGAAACAAACCAAAATGAGTTGTTACTGGGTACTATGCTGAAGTTCAATCGTGTCAGCTAATATCCATTCCACCGAATGATCGATTCATACTTTGGGAATTCACTGAGGTTTGAAAAATGCACCATGGGATATTGAGTCGGTATGAAAATGCGACATACTTTATGTGTGGTATAGAATCCAGCCGGTATGCTTTCTATATTACCGATCTTTTATTTGACGTTTTGTAAAACCTCATTGCTCTTATTCCATCCGACCATTCGGATGGCTCAAATATTTAGTTCAGACGATGTTATTAGTTTTTTTTCTACAACTTTGGTTCTGTGGGATTCGTACTTTTGTATGATACCGTATATCCCTAACGAAAGCCATACTAGTTTCGATGTGCTCGGGTGAGTTGGTTGACTACCTGATTGTTTATCTGGAACACGTTTTCTCTTTGATAAATAATTTGCTTTATTTCTCGCTAATATCAGTTTGTTATACTATGGATTCAATTTTACGAGTTTTTTTGTAACATATTTTTTGGCTGTATAATACAGTGCCGGCATTGTTGAAATATTTTATATATATTCTATTCCATATTTATGGTTACATGGTACTGTAAATAACAATAAACTGCTGTCTTTTATAATTTGGTGTGATTGTACCAACATAACCATAGATGCTGTACAGAAAAGGTATAAACTATTGGGTGGAATTCTGATTGTTATTACATATTCACCTTCAAATTTCAGGTCACTTTAAAGGTATCATGTCTTTTAACGGAAATAAAGCTCATGATTTTGGCCTTATCAAAGATAAATTATTTTACTGACTAACTATAATTTTAGTAACAATGAATAGAGTGGGAGATATATATTCGAAAAAAATATCAGTAACCAGAATGTTTAATCGTCGAAAATCTTCTATTCTGGTTAGTGTTCCAGCTAAATAATACTCGATTACTCACACACAATATTTTTTAAATTATTTAATCAGTCAAATGCTAATTAGAATTAACCTATATGAAAAGATATTAACTTTAGGTCTCTGCTGAAATATTATTTTCCAGTTTACTTCAGTGTGATAAAAAATAAACTGTTAAGTTCCACCACGTTTTATGTCAAAACATACACTTCTGGTAGGCTTTCTCATCCAGCCATGCGAATGGAATGCCTGACTGAGGAGCTTGAACTGAGAAAATAAATCAGAAGGTAAATAAATCATTGAGGCGTATACATATATCCTTCTGATCCAGACATGGACATGTAGGCTGAGATCCGGACTAGGGGCATAATCAGTTTCCTCCAATAAATTGTCTATTTTCTAATTTTTCATCTACGGTTGGGTTTTCAGATGGTATGTGAGTATGCCTAGACGGACTCAACCAATTAACTTTAATGTATACTTTAATCCTCATCAGGTTAACAATACCGATAAATAAATATTTTTATACAGGTGGAATAATTTGAAGTATCTAAATGGACCACAATTAGCTAAGTGGTATTATTCACTGAGATGACGTCGTAGTAAACAAAGATCGCTAAACTGCTCTGATATAATGAACGAAATCGTTTGGGGAAATGAACGTAGTTGAGAAAAAAATGTCAAGAGTGTATATCCAAATCTTTTACTGTTTTCAACAAGTCAAAAGTGTATATCAAAGTATACATTATTGTGATAATCTAATTAGCTAACGTCCTTACATTTAGTATTGTTTCCCAGAACATTTCGTGCTAGCTTAAAACAAGTGCTAAGTCAAACAAACAAACTACCTGTTTTGCGTATTCAGCTCCGTCTACAAAAGTTCTGTATGGTATTTTATCAGTTATGGAACGAATTGATGGTCTATTGGTATCATTGTTAGATAATTGTCTTCCAATACTAATATTCAACAGATCTAGATCTCCTATAACGGAAATGTCATCGATTTTATGAGACATGCCTTGGAAGGGATAGAAAAAATAATCATATTAAAAATGGTTAAGATTATATTCCTGCGAAATTGTTAGAGGGGATATGTGGGAAACATGAAATTTAAATACCTGGTTATTCGTTGGTGAACTAATTTGTGTTTTTATTGAAATGATTGTTTCATTAAACAGTTGTTTTGCAGTATTTCCATTGTAGTATTTCATATTCTTATTATAAGCTTTATTTTGACTTATAGGCTATTATTATACGAATTGCCATCCTCAATTTATGCCCAGTTCATTAATTACAGTTCTCTACAATCACAGCTACTTTTGGCTAGATCTTGTACAAATGTTATTTTCCATTTTATGGTACGATGTGGTCTGTTTGGTTTATGTATAAACTCACTATGTCTGAAATGCATGATTCATATCGCGGACCTGAGAATTGTGTTCTGGACTTAACAGGTAGGGCTAGGCAGGAAGAAGGACCGATTAAGAATCTAGACGACTCGTACGGTTTTGTGCGTCATTGGTCTGGCCGACAAAGCACTGTTCTCTAATAGGTGGCATCATTACGTTATATATTAATAAGGCACAAGACCACAAGTTATAACAGTATTCCATAGGCTGAAAAATTTAATTACAAAATTGTTATCACTCTTTTGGACAACATTATCAATAATTGGTCATGATAGAAGTGAAACTTTTCAAAATTATTTCACAGATTTGTGTGGGTCCGCATATATAGGGAGGTGTGATTAAACAATTCAATTAAGGTTTATGGAGCATGTGCCTAGATGACTTCAAAATCAGTTAGTTTCAAATGCTCCGATAAACGTGGAAAGTATAAAACCATGTTCATCAATAGTAAATCAAATAATTGAAATGGGGCGTAGAACTGACATCAGTATAGCTTTTAAAACGTTGTATTGAAACTACCAAGGACGAATTCCTAGATCTATAGAAGCCTTAGCTGTTCATAAATTCGAACTACCCCTTACATATAAAGAAACAATTCGTCGTAAACTTTACTTTACCCTGGTAATCCCTGAATCACTTTATGATCTAGGCTGATGCGACAATTTCTTATTCTTCCCATACGATGTTGGTTTTCTCTCTTACTTATTTACAATTATCATTTTACTGTTTGAAATCATGAGTCAATTGAAGCTAGACCACCATGGAAAACCTGGAAGCACGTTTCGTCCTAGGATGGGACTCCTTAGTAGTGTGCATCCACAACCTCTCCCCCTGCGAGATTTGAGCCCAGGACTAACCAGTGAAAACTCTAAAATCTCCACAAAATCCCTTCTGATAATTATCATTTCGTTTACTTGAACTTCTATTTAATTGAACTTTATAATTTTTACATAAAATGCCTTGACAGGTATATGTGTGACCAGATTGTTCGAAATGTTTAGCGCAAGTATACATTTTTCAGATCATCACATTGTTCTGTCACACGTGTCAAATCAGTCCATTCTGTAAATCTTGTTTTGAACTCGTTTGTCTGCTCAATTTTTGTTCTAAACTGGTGATATCTGCTTTTAAATGGAATTCATATCCTCACTTATCACAAAATATGAAATAACTAAAGTTCGTTTAATAAATGTTCATTAAACTCTAATCTAATTTATTCGCACAAATATCTGCAAAAATTTTTGTAATGACAATGAAAAAGTTAATTTTTCAAAAAATAATGAGAAAACTACACATATATTAATATATGACAGGTGTAATTAACCTTAATATATAAAATTGACTAGATAGCATAAAATTCTGTTTAATGTCAATTTGGTATCAATACAGGATATTGAAGTTCATTTCATTCACACTATTAACAATTAACGTAACCAAGAAAAATATAAATGATAACTAATAACTAACATATATGTGAATTCATGATTAATATGTTACATTTTAGAAATTATCGAGTGAAGTGACTTAATCAAACAAATTAATTAGTTCCTTATACAGTGATCCAATCATAAATGCAAGTGATTGATCAAAAATGGCTTTATTTTAGAATGGATGAGACATAACACTGAAAAGCTTAGTTTTCTAAGGGCACGTATATATATAGTTGCTACTTGAATCTGTTTAACCTAAATAAACCTCTTTATATGATTACTATATTTTCTCCCCAATAGCCAGTTTTGTATGTCGAACAAGTTCGTATCATTATCAGCTTTCGGATACTAAGCGTTACATCCATTTTCTGAAAAGATAATATGAAATTTCTAATTGGTACTAAAATACTGACTCAGCACTATACTGTTTATATGAGGTCTCATAATACTGTTCGGCTTATTACATAAAAACAGATGACAGTTGTTCAAACTTGAAATATTTAAATTCAAATACAAGTGTTTATTCAGTAATCCACCATTAATTTTATAATATTGGCCTCATAAAATTTAATTTAAACAATTATTTAATAACATATAGATCTAGTTCTATCGATCAAGTTCATGTTGAATAAAGACTTTAACTTATTTAACAAGAACATTTATAGCTAATTTAGTAAAACAAAATAATAATAATAATAATAATAATAATAATAATAATAATAATAATAATATAACTTACACGTGAATAATTCAGCTATTCCGCAACTTTGCTCTGTTGTTAGATAATTTGTACCTGTTTATTTTTATAAATAGATAAATGTCAGTTTAAAATTTTATCGAAGTTGTACAGGTGTCATAGTTTCAATCACGAACTGATCTTAGGTAGACTACCACTTAAAACTAGAAGGCAGTGGATGGCCGCTTGGTCCTAGTATGAAAATTATCAGAAGTGTTCATCCACAACCTAGTAACCAGGAATCGAAACCATACTCTACTGAGGAGTCTCATACTACAACGGAGCTGCTGTCCAGTATGTCCAGGTTTTTCTTGGTGGTCTAATCTAGATCAGTTCATGATTACAATAAATTTCGGTTTTTAAATTTCTTATTTTTGCAATGTACTTCTTCGAATTCGTCGTTTTTTGTCGACACGACATGACACACATATGTTGTGTGGGACAGATATTGTATGAAGTCGTTGTTTTTTACCCAACGGCAATACGTTTTACAAACACGTGCAGTTGTATCTACCACCTACATTAGATTATGTTGTACAATCATAATCTTAGAAATAATTTAACGTTAGAATAATAATATTCAGCAACAGAATATTATATATTTTACAGTGTCGGTCGTTGGCTATTTGTCTGAATAAAATTCTGAGGAGTAGATAAGTTTAAAAAGGTACTACTTAGCAACATTCATCTGATATCGATATCCGCAATCAAGTTTGCCAGATAATGTAATTTTCCATTGCTTTTTTTTCAAAGTAGATTCACATTTTAAATGGACTTGAGTTTGTACAAATCATGATCAACATGACACACAATAAGATTTCCATGTGGGCTTCAACACAATGACAATGGCAAATTGACTTAAGTTAGAAGTGTGAACCATCGAATACCAGCTCAGTGGTTTAAATATTACCTGATCTTAGCGAGACCTTAACGTTCAGGGTTTGATCACTATTGTGAACGAGAAATTTTGTGCTAGAATGAAACAGGTTTGCACTGTTTTTGTGCTTTTCACTGGTTATCTAATTAAGGTCAATCTGTATTGTAGACCATAAAATTTCTGATTTAGCTGAAAGCATGATACTCAATTATTGACTTTTCTCGCCAATAATCATTTTGTAAAAAAGCAAGTCTCAGCTTACAGTTAAGCTTCCAAACTGACTGACCTTGTTGTGTGACATAATATTATTCAAACCTTTAATTGGATAATGTAACGCTTGTTAAGAATTTATTTCACTTAAGTAGATTTGTTATAAATAAATCTCCAAAAATATTCTTGAAGATTATTTTATAGGTTTCGATGATTAACGATAAAATTATAATATTGAATGAATTCATTATACCATGAAACGAGTGATTGACCTTTATCAACTTTTTAGGAAGTAAAAATAATGCAGAAATAGATTAACTAATGATTTTAAATCATAGTTTCCGGATATGTATTATACATGATATAAAATGACTTTTTTATCAATTCTCAAAAGCTTATATTTATTTATATGTGTGTTTTATCAAAGCGTAACATGGATTTTGAAACATAACTACATATTTACTGAATTAATATGACAATTCCGATTTTTTTTTTAAAATGAAATCTTTCATGAAAAAAATTTCTTTTCATAATGTACATTTCACTGGGAATTATCAGAATTAAAATTGACTGATCTTTTTGAATTACTAAAAAATAGTTAATCGGTCATGAATTAATGATCGATATAATGTATTTTTAGTTCTATCAATCGAGTTGCAATGCGGCTGCTTGTTTAAATGACTTGATATCACCTGCACTGTATTTTGGTGTTTGATTGTTTAGGGTTGTAACCAAGAAACCCTGGACCGAAGTTTTATTCTGGTCGGTGCTCGTTAGCATGAAGAACTTTCAGTCTTTACGGGACTGATCGTATCTGTGAAATTCAAACCTACACGACCTAGCAGGCAACGTTACCATTACGGCCTAGATAGATTAGTGGAAACGCCTCAGACTGTGAAGCTTCAGATAGAAGTTTTTGCTGATGATGTCGTTCAGAAGGACGATGAAAGCTCCACGACCAAACCATCCAGCCCAGAGAACAAAACTCCACCAAAATCATCCACCTGAGCTACAAATCTTCTCCACCATCTCAAAATTATGTGAAGCTGAATGCCAAGTCTTCAAATATCACAGTCAACATCAGTTTCTTCAGGAGTGAAAGTATGCTGTGCTGAAAGGTGTCAATTCGAATGAAACTTATTTTAAGCATGGTTTGCTGTCTTCTATTTCCAAACACTTAACAAAAGAAAAACTGAATATGTTAGTGTAATCAATTATTTCCAAGGTCTGTCGTAAGTTACGGTTAACTTGTATGTGAATATGGAACTTTATTGATCTCAACACTCGATTTTCAACCACTCAGATTGTGTAAATAAACACTGTCCTACGGAATCATTGATTCTAGCATGAAAAAGTGTAGCTAAAAGCCAAGTACACTAACCCTTATTTAATTCATAAGCTATACAACAGTATGTGCAATGTCTGATTAAGTAAGGTGACCATCATCCAATATATATATATATATATATATATATATATATATATATATATATAGTTAATATCAGAGTAAGCCCCCATATTTTATTCATACATGGGGTTGAGTATCCATTACTAGAAAGTTGCGAACTACGAAGAAACTACACCTGAACAATACTCTATATGCTGTATTTTTTTATAATTATCACAGATGTTGACAGTTTCACTTGTCAAAACTTGATACATTTTTAATTTAAATTAATTGAGAAATATCAACGGATGAAACGAAAAAACAAAATAACAACACAACTCAACTAACCTCTATCAGGAAATAGTTCATGCATTAATCCAGACACTTCCCAGAAACCAATCCTTATTACAGCTGCTTTCGTATTATCACCTAACTTTAGACTATCACATATCCCTGCTGCTATCGCTACGACATTTTTCAATGAACCGCATAATTCAACACCAACATCGTCTTCAGTTATGACTAATTTCATATAATCTGTCTGTGCATTGACGTATGCAAATAGAATATACAGAATAGTAGATATTAACTATCAATAATTTACATTTGAACAATGTAATTTACTGACAGTTTAGTCATCTCACCAAGCTTAACTATTTTTTCCACGTTCAAAAAGAATATTATGTCAGTATGGAATGAGGTCCAAATTGTTTTTAAAAAGTGCGTAAATGACCTGGCAAAATCAAATTAGATTAGGTCTTACGCAACATTTCTTTATTCATTAAATATGGAGAATTCAGTTGTTTGGACATTATCTTATCTCAATTATTGAATGAGTATTAACCATTTGAGTGTAGTTTTCATTAGAAATTTTATTGTAAGCCATAACTGTTATTTCATTTGTGTCTTCATAAAATATATTAAGCTGCGTTAAACTGATGAGTTTATAGCATACAGTTGTGATTACTTTTATACACTTGCAAGGTTTGTCTCGATTTAAGAATACTGGAAATTCGTTTATTTAAATAAATTCAGAATTTACTGTTTCAGTATGATTAAATATTAGAGGTACCATGTACTTCTGTGTACGAAATCAGCGGCTAAAGTACTACTGGAACAGCTTTTTAACAATACTGACTTCCATTATTTGATTCATTTGTTCAGTGTTTCCAACTTGGTTTTTTCTATATTCCACCAACCCAATGCTAATATACACGCTCCTTACACTCAATTTTAAGAAGACTAAGATAACTGGGAATATGTAATTTTCAAGTCGAATCAAAATGTACACAAACTCATTGGTATATATCTATTTTACAGATTGAAATCATAAGTCAGTTGAAGCTTCGTGGATTGGTTGAAGTTAGACATTAACACCGTTGGATGCCGGCCGGTTTAATGGTCTAATGGTTAAGTGCTCGCGCGCGAAACCAGTAGGTCCTGCGTTCGAATCCCACGGGGTGCGGGATCGTGGATGCGCACTGCTGAGCAGTCCCATAGTAGGACGAAACAGCCGTCCAGTGCTTTCAGGTTTTCTATGGTGGTCTAGCTTCAACTGACTCATGATTTCAATCTGTGAAATTTCTAAAATCTCCACAAACCCGTTCTGATATATCGATTTATCTATTTCTGATAGATACGTCGAAAAATAATGAGTTGCATAAACTGTTTGAAATAAAAGCTTACTTCCTTTGAAAGCTGCCATCTACCATATGCCCATATGGATGTCATATGCCTGGACTCAACCAGCATATCATTTTTCAAGTTCAATAAATTGTGTTTATTTAAGATTGTACCAATTACATAAGAAGCTATGTTATTCATCACAAATTCTAATGCAGCTTTTAAGATGGGACACTTTCAACTTGCTTTTGATTAGCTGCTGAAATTGAGATTAGAATCTTTTCGAAATCATTTCGTTGAATGATTATTTGACTGTTTGTTTGTGATGTGTTGAGGAAATCAAACAACCTGTACAATATCTTGAGAATAAATGGTATGTCAAATTCAAACAGAAATAAGCTGTGTTAAATACTATATTTTTGTAGCCGAGGTATACATTTATATATTCACTTCGGAGCCAATCCACTTACCAATACAAGTGGGCTGTAAAATAAATTCACTCTACATTCCTAAAGACAGCCTCTTAGGGTGTTTTATTCGTTTTCACCATCGAGTTCAGGTATGATAGCTTACCAAAGAGGATGGGTCATGTCACCAGTTTGATGAGATTGAAAATTTTCATTTAATTTAATTGATTTTCCTGGTAGATCTCGTTAGAAATTTTAATTTCCTTTTTCAATACTTCAAATAACTAAACGAATAATGAAGACGATTGACATTAAATGTTAATTAGATAACCAGTATACTAAAAACTAACAACTTCATTGTGTTACTTCACTAAATAATTTGAATATTATCGAATTTTTTGAACAGAATTCAAAGCAATCTTAGATAAATAGTGTTCAGATTTTCTGTTCTTACTGTGATGTTATAAACAGTGCTTTTTGTATTTTAAAAATTGAATTATTGCTAAAGGTCTTCAGAGATATTCATTATATCCACCTGTTATTACCTGAAGAAGTCTTTTAACTTCATGTCCACATTCAAGACTCTTAGAACCAATAGTTAGTTCGGTGAACTGTTCTCCAACCACTTCAAGAGCTGTTGTTGCTCCAATTACAACCAAACAACGTTTACCAGTTTGCTCTCGTATAAGATCGCTTACTAGCCTGATTCTATTTTCTCCAGGACATAAAATTAGACCCTTAATTTAAAAAATACATTGTTGAACAAAATAAATTATCATTTGAAAAAATTAGTACACGTGGCAATTAATAGAATAATAATTGCTGAACCTTAGTCTGATCCTAATAATATAAATAAACAGTCTACTCAATATTGAATAACGCCACGCATTGTGTAGTTACTGTTAGTTAAGTTCGAGAGACAATGCCCAAAGTCCTAGTGAGAATCTATGACTACTGGAGATCAATCCTGTCGAATCTGAAACAAATATCAACAGTGACAGGGAATATTGCGAAATGAGTTAAATTCAGAATGTTAGCCAGTGGACGTTAAGATAGTTATTTGAAGGCTCAAAACTAGTCATATGGCCTGAAGGTTGTGGGTTCAATCTATGGTGGATTTGTGGATGTGTGCTGCTGCGTTCTCACTCCGTCTAGTGTTTCCTTGTCATCAACTGTTGTATTAACCAGTGTCAGGACGTAATGTTAGACTTTAAATTCAACATTATTCGCAAAAATTTACAACAATAATAATAGTAATAATGTTAGTAATAATAATAACTGGTATTATTTACTGAGACGGAAATTCATTCTTACACTTTCACAAATAGAAGGATACATGACAACACACGACCAAACTGGAAATCATTGTTATAATCCACTAACTAATGAAATCTACTTTTTTACAGCGCTACAAGTGGTTTTTACGTTTTATGCTGTTACTACTACTAAACTGATTAATATTAAAAAATAATTTACTTTACTATTGTATTTTGATGTTGATAGGAAAAAGTACGGTCTCTTTGGAAACAAATTACTGGTCTTTTTCACATGTATAATCTCAGTTAATTTTATTTGTGTTCTTGTGGACTAGTAAGATTTAAGTTATTATGGAGAATTTTTATTGCTTATTATTCAGTCACTTGATTTAGGAAAATTTTTAAAGTATCCATGTACTATGTCATTCAAATTAGGTCATATTTCTACAGTTTACACTGAAAATGTGCTTTGTGCAAAACTCAATCCTCTAAAGAGCATAAATCAGACCACTTAAATATTTTTTGCAAAATGAATTCTCTTGATAACACTAAATTATCGAGGAAAGAAGTCTTCAGTAAACTGTAGCTCAGACTTATTACGTTAATAGTAAATTAGGGAAGAAGATATGTCAGAAATGTAGAATTATTCTAATTAAAATAGAATTGTTTTATGCGTACTTTTCAAGAAGAAAATAATCATAAAGCAGTTCATGTAGGCATTAACTCAACGAAAAACCCTTTTGATAAGTTGTCTATAATATTTTACTCAGAATTTGCCTTTAAAATTGTGACGAGTTCAAACCTTAAATTCATTATGAACCGGTGTTATTTTATTACCTAGACTGTTCGCAATGATCTACTTTGGTGGATTGAATTTTAAAGACAAAAGTAATAATTAACGTTGAATGTAATACATGATCATAATGATATACCTCAAGCGACCCAACTCATACATTGTGATTGCTTCATAAAGCCCACGTACTAACCCTATAGCAAAAGTACTTTATACTCCGAATCACTGAAAACTACAGAGAGTTCATTGGTTACTCTCTCAAGTTGACCGATTATCTAAAAAATATTATGCTTATAAATTATTACTTTCCAGTTATTCCTCTTGATGACAAAAGTGTCGGTTTTACTTTGTAGCATTCACTTAGATATTTCATTGTGTTAATTGGTTGAGATCGAAAACTTAACGGCAATCTTGTTAGTTTGTAATATTTAAGTTCTAAGCTTGACTCTTTTTTTACATATTAATAAGCTTTAAAAAAACGTCTATTGGTAACTTCTTGACATATTACAACGAAACAGATCAAATAAACAAATAGACATCAATGTTCATCAAGTTGTTTTGAAAGTTATTAAACACGTTTGACATAAAATTCAGTATTCTAAACCAGTTTTCCACTTGTGAGTAAAATGATTGGTTACGACTTAAAAAACCATGGATTTATCTTAGTGGGTAGATGTATGTTCATAAGATCACAATCGCGCACATACTTTTAAACATCTTTCAAACTGACAATTTTATTGTCAGAAACCAGATTATGCCAGTCGTAAATCATGAAAGGGTTATTCGAAACTAGTTTACTCTCCAGATTTCTTCACACACTTTCGTGAAAATTCTGGTGAAAAAAAAGCTTACAAAACGTGCCATAGATTTGACTTCAGTCTACTATACAAATATAATTAACATATAAAAGTGGAGCGTATGAACGAATTTTTAGGGAGGCCATGGGCCCACCAAGCACTAATAATTTTCATCTTGCGTGTCGACTTTGAGAAAATGCAAGTTTTTTGTCAAGTAAGTCTATGATCTTTATAGCTTCTTCTTAAGCAAACAATTTAGTATTTTGAATCGTTTTTGCGTTTATCACTTATATTAATTTTCTCTAGAAAAAAAACTAATTTCAACTAGTCAAAAACCCGGATTAGCTAACAACAGTTAGTTCATAATTTAATTAATGCTAAACTATGGTAAAAGTAGAATTTATATAAATCTAAGGTTTCAATTTTTCTGGGTCGATAAATTCCGACACCAGTAGCTACATTTTCAGATCACTGTGTTATGATTCCATAGCAGTATATAAGAAAGTAAACTTTTATTGACAATAAAGGTTTCGCTTTAAAAATTAGATCAAATAGGTCAAACTGATAAGCAGTATTTCTTTGGCTGACGCTAATTAATGGCTCCATTTATTATTGAATAGTGAGAGGAATAAACTACTTGAGAATCGCATTTACACTAAAAAAATCTCACAACACCTAATCCTGTGATTTTGTAATATTCTATAGACTTAGTGAAGTAAATAAATTAAATCGAATCCAAAATATGGTTGAAAAATACCGGTAATCAAAAACGAATGCACACTAAAACATTTACCCATCTTTAGTGTTTATAATCCTCTCCTAAAATATTTGGTTTTAAAAATATCTTGAGTGTTCGTTTTCCGATACAACATATTTTGATCTCTACAGTTCTGCACTCAATAGCTTAGTGGATAACTTGGCGTTTAGAGCAACAGACACTATGTCCGAGTCTCAACAGGACATGAAAACTAAGAATCAGGTGCGCCAACATGGAGAACTCCAAGAAGGTCGACGGATATTGATGTTCATGTTGTCTGATTAGAAACGTATAGTAACAACTGTTCATTACTAAAATAGCTGAGTCGTAGGTAAATAAATAAAACAACTTACTTTCATAGAATATCAAACAGTAACGTTAAGTATCTTTCATACTGATATTTTAACGATAATTCTAGTTAGGGGCATAGCTGACCATAAAATATCCAAATAGCATCGTCTATGTAAGACTAGATAGAAGATAAGTATCTTATGTTCAGTTTTGATTGTTTTCCTTCAATTTTAATCTCAATTTACTGTAGAACCATCATATTAAAGTAAATCTTAAGCGTAATACTGAAATCGAATGTTTACGTAGGGTAAAACTTAACAAAACTCTCAAAACCTATCACCAAGTTCAGGCTCAAAAAGGTCTATGAATAAATTAATTTTAATTGACAGTAACAGGAATAAAAATAGTAGTGATAATCGTTAATAAAGCTTCATATTTTATCTTGCGGCTTAAATAAAACGTCTTAGGAAATTATAAGCTAATTTACTAATAGTAATCTGTATGAGGATTACTGTCCTATAAATATATTAAACTAATTCAAAACTATCAAAAATAAATAATTATCTTATCACCCACAACTTTACTTATTTGTTGTACTATAAAAGTGAGTGGATGCATAATTACACATATTTTATTAATTAGTAGATAATCGCTTTTTTCTGCCTCAAAAATGTCTATATTGTTCCAAGTATAAAAGATGTGCAAGTATTCTCAGTAACTAGATTTATTTTTTGACTGTCACCAAACTATTGTAAACGAGAAGCAAATATTAGAAAAAAGACCTTTATCATAACTAAGTATATTTTTGAAAGCTCATGTTCTAAAGCATGGGCGTAATCTCATACATTAAGAACTTAAATAGCAACTATCTTATCAAGCTTGTTATTGCTTAAATTGGCAATAAGGCTGAACAACCAAATGATAAGTAAACGAGTCATGTTCACCCAATGGGTTATACTATATCCATTTGTGTGACGAGTTATGAACTTTGGTCCTTGAAAATTTTCACATATATACGAAATATTTTATGTCTTATAGGTAATCTCGTCGCACTAAGTCTATGGGCTATATAAATTCAGATGATATTTCATACAAAAATTGTTGAAACAACACAATACAACGTACACTTCCGCTTATTTCTGGTAATTATATATCCTGTTTGCTAGCACGACATGGATAAAACACAGCACTCCTTATTATATCGTATTCCGACTTCCGTATTTACAATATTAACAGTCATCTTAGTAAAGGTAATCTAGCAGTTTAGTAACTCAAAGACATGCGAAATAACTACGTGTCCAAATTGGATGAACTTGAACTACCGACCTTTATAGCAGTAACAATTGTCACTTCACCTTGATAAGTGATCATATTCCTTGAATTTTATGATATTCAAATTAGAGTGATAATAACATAGCAATAGACGAATGGATTAGATAATTAACAGAAGTAAGTGGTCTGATCTGATCCTCAAATCAAATATTTTTAACTCCTAACCAATTTTAGCCGATAATCCTATTACTCAGTAAAATTTAACAGTAGCAAGTGTCTAAATTGATCGAAGAAAGTCTGCTATTACAGAGTTTGGTACTCACAAACTACATAAAAAGTATGTATCCTACAAAACTAGGAATATATACAAACATGAAACCAGATGTGATTAAAAGCGGCGAAGATCTCTTTGTAAACTTACTTTACAAAATGAAACAAAATAAGCGTTCTCCTTGACAAATTCTTTGACATGGTTTACCAACCATATGATGTAAAACGGAGGATAGGCGACCATGATAATATCAGCACTTTCAACAACTTTTCTGATGTCAGAAGATGCGATGATATTTGTAGGCAATTTTAATTTCGATAAATAGTTGGGATTCGTGTGATCTTTATTAATCCAAGTGGTTAAACTTTGGTCATCATGTTCTTCATCTCGTACATACCAATAAACCTAAACATTTGTGAGGTAAAAACCATACTCAGAACAAGTAACCTCAGAATTGAACTCGCTTGACGATGCAACATTGTCAGCAACAACTTTGACTATAGCAGTACCCCAAGAACCGCAACCGAGGACGGAAACACGTTTGACCATTTGATGTGTTTGAATTTCTACATTTTTTAGGCCGAATGTTTTTCTAGGTTTTTGGCTTAAAAAAACATTTGTGCATAGTGGAAGTGTATCACCGGGACAAGACAAATGTGTTTCAACATGAATCGCGTAAGTGTTAGTTACAGTTTGAGGTACTTTTCTCAATCACAAGAGCTGCCAGGAACCCGACAATGGGTCTAAACGTAACCTATGGAAATGTCATGATATGAACGTTCTCCCTATTGGACTCGAACAACTCATGTCCTCCATGAAAATATGCTCCAGATTGTCTCTTTAGTGCTTGATCCTAGCCTGGTGGTAACGGAGAGCTTGGAAACCAAATGAAACTAAATAAGGGAAGGAATCAAGTAAAACGCGACCTTTCACTTTACTCAAAGACAACTTGAAGCAATCATCCCAGAACCATTCCCAACTCTTCTCATAATTTATGCGCGGCCACACCTTGAATCTTACATTGTCGTTGCTCCCCCTATATTCAAAGGAGATGAAAATCTCTTAAATTAAGTACAGAGACGGGCAACTATATGAGTAGTGGGACTAAAACATAAATCTTATGAGGACGGACTCCTGAACCTAGGACTAATCTCGCTGAGCTATGGGAAAACAAATGGTGATCTGGTAATGGAATACACCCTATTTATTATGTGAAGTCATCATAACACCAGCATCCCGCCTGAACATCGCCAACGTACTCCTAGAGGCAACTCTTGAAAATTGCACATCAAAGAACAAACACCCTGGTACCCACTCACTTTTTTCGTAAGGGGTTGTCGCTGTTTAGTATGCTCTCCTAGCTTAAGTGACCAATGGCTCCTCGTAGTAGGTAACTTTAAGGTGAGACTCGGTGAACACCTACCAACTCATGGATTAGTAAACCCCTTTTGGACCTGTCGTACCAGATGTGTGTCAATGCCTCGTATCATTAACTACCTCTCATCTTTCTTGTTGACCTTTCGGTTTCCCCTTCCATTCTGTCAACTTCGTCTTCTCGCGCATTACCAATTAATTAACTTATTTGTTATTATCTGTGGGGGGTTGTGGAGATTACTAAGTTTTCGACTGATATCATGAATCGGTTAATGTAAGACCTCCAATAAAAACGTGGAAGCACCGGCTGACCGTTCCGTCTTAGTGTGGGACTCTTTAGTAGTGAGCATCCACGTTCACGCACACGGGGTTTGACCTCAGGACCTTCGTTCCCGCGCACGAACGTTCTTAGTACTTGAATTATCACATTATTATTTCACACTGTCAACTAATCTCCTGGTTAGTAAAAGCATCTTCAATATCTGACATTCAATTGAACAAAAGGTTCGTCTTGGGGTCGAACGTCATTGAGTCTTGACATTTTTATGCACCGTTCAAGGTCTCCTCCGAACTGCCTTTATAATAACAGATAAATCCCAGTGTTTAAAAGGCACTAAAAATCTAAACGGTTATCATGAATCATATTTGATTACGCTCGAGATTATTTTCACCTCATTCAAATAGGACAAATAATTACTGTTTGCATGTTCTAAATCGTGTGAATAAATGTGGTTAAAATTCATAAAATATCTTGAGAACAAGCTGACTTATATGAGCTTCAAATTTGCTAGTGTAATATTGACTACCAAGGCGTATCTGTCACTGTCGGCCGATGATTTTCGATCATTGAGAAGCAATGACATTTCGAATGGAAAATCGTTTCGGATTTAGTTATAGCTTACGTAACACTTCCTATTAACTGTTTTCCTTTTTCAAAGTTAATCGCCCATCTGAAGTCAAGTGTTGACTTTCTTGATGATGACAAGTGATATCTCATTGATTGCGCAACTATTTCGTCAACCGTTCTGTTCAGTAGTGACAAAAAATAGGACGTCAGAAACGAATAGTTTTCAGAATTCTATATTTCGTATAGTTGTTTATGCAGACAACAAGGGAGGAAGCTTCATTTGCTAGTTTATTCACAGGATCTGACTGTAAATCATCTTTTGTAAGAAAATAGACCACATTTCAGATGTTAACAGTATATAAACACATATTCTTTACTACGAGCACACAGGCCTGAAAACTTTCAATGTTGGAAGCGAATCGGTTAGAAGGACTGATGTATTTTTTCCAGAAAACCCGAAAGGTGGGTTTGATCTTTTTGTTCAGAAGCTGAGATAAATTCATCATACGTAGTCAGTACGAATCTATTGTTGTCTGCCTACTTTTTAAGGCATGTCAGAACCCCCTTGATGTACAAGTTTTTTCTGTCTACCGTGAAATTCTCTCCAAGGCTCTAAGATATCAGCAAAATGAAGTGTTTCAGAAGATAGATTCCAAAGAAAGAACTTTACTGAATATGACAAAAGGAAAGTTCTCACCACAACACACAGAAGCTCAAAAAATAAAACAGACTATATCGACACTAATGAGCCAGTTATCTAAGTATGACTTTATTAGTAAATAAGTAGCCAGTTAATACCCACTGGTTTGAAGTTATTGCTGAGAAAAGAACGAATTATCTGATCAAAAATGTTGGAAAGTTGGTGTGAATTTCACCAAGATTACAACAACAGTAGTTTTATGTGTTAACTGATGATGACTCCTATGTCACTATGTGTTTCGACAACAGGATGCTCAGTGTTATTCACTGTGTATATATCTGTACAGTGATAACTAATATATATCATAATGCACTTGGAAGCATTTATAAATTTTACACCATTCAGATAATTACTCGGGACCATTTTGAATCTCTAAACTATCACTTTTAGTATTTGTCGCTTCACAAATCTTGACATCGTCAACATATAACAAAGTCGACCATCATATGAGACTATGACGGTCATCTACATACGGGAGAAATAATGCTGACCCGATAACTGTATCCTGAGGCACTCTGCCAGGAACAGTTTCTCAAATAGACAAATTTAAGTTCATCCGTCCTCTCTGTTGACGCCCAACTAGGAAATATTTTATCCACATTGATTAACTGACACCAATCCCGATATTACTTAACTTATGTAACAGCTAGTTGTGAAGTACGTTGTTGAAAACCTTTCTGACGTCAAGGTAGAGTAAATCTATAGGTAACTTTTGGTCTTTAGGAGTCCAACAATTTTTACGGGCTAACAGTAAATCGGTGGGGCACGAATAATCTGTTTTCCCGAAAGAATTCGGTATTCGTCGTGCTCCTCAAACAACTTCCGAATAATATTTCTAGCTTCTCGGTAGTGAGATTTTGTCTTGTCAATGCCCATTAACCTAAATCTTTCTCATGTTCTTCTCTTCTTAAAGAGAATGACAAGAAAATCTTTATTGATTCACAGTGGGGAGTTTCTTGAACTCTTTGGTTTAGTCCAAGTGTGTACAGATTTCTGAATACACACGAAGCTGTTTCAATGAAAGACTCGTTCTACTGATCAGTCTAACGAGAATAATGAGTGTATAATATCTCACATATCTGCTTTATAAACTTTTGATCTAGCATGAGCTGGTAGGTCCTTGTTATCGAAAACCATACGTAGAACAGAGACTAGGACTATGTGGTAACTTTTACCTAGAGGTGGCATATAATGGAGGTTAGCGACGTCATTTTTATAATGAGTCAATATGAGATCTATTACGGGTGATTCGTAGTTCAGATCCTATCTATCTGCTTCTTTCACGGGTTGAATTAGGGAACATGTAACAACCGTGTCAACTAGTTTCTGGTCGAAAGAATTTTCTGGTAATCCATTCCCCAGATTTTCCCGATTTACGGTAGTTGAATTAAAATTTCCTAGGATTAAACATCGACCATTTGATGAAAACGTGCTGAAACCATTTAGCAAAACGTTATTCACTTCAGAGTTTGGACTGTGGTAGAGAAGAATTAATCAGCAGCTCTTGTCATTTGTGTTTTAGGTGGCAACTGTCTAATTCGCTTATCTCACTTTCATGAGATTTGTTATTAATAACGGTAAGTGGTATAGTATTTCTAACAAATGGGGCTACTCTCCCTTTTTTACTTCCCTGGATTCTGTCGTCTTCTAATAACGGGAAACTTTCAAATCCAAGTTCGCTATTGTCTACAGCCAAATTTCCGTCACCACGATCACGATCGGCTTGTACACGTGGCCACGACCCCTTCCTGAGCAAGCTCTATGCACTTGTGTAACGGATCCGATGATCATTTAGGTAAATTCATGTTGCACCGGAAGCTGCTTACGCACCATTTTTTGTCGAAGTCTCATCACCTGAAAATTTACAATTTTAAGGTCCTGGCTAGGATCGGCAAGTCTTTACGGACGAAAATTCCTGACCCTTAAAGTTTATGTCCATTTTGTAGTATTAGGTCCTTTTCATCGAAAATTTAAATTCAACTTTCAGAAGTTTGGTTTCTTTCTGTTTCCAGTTCATCAAGCTACCTAGTCTTTAAAACTTTGGCAAGGTGACTCCAGGGATATCCCGAGGCATTATCTAGTTTAGTGGCAGATTTTTAACTCAATGTTGTGTTCATAAAGAGTTTGGGGTTCCGAGCTCTCTATCTGCTTGCCTCAATGAAGGGCAGCTGACTTGTTACTGCAATCAATTTCTCGATAACTGTTTGTGAGAGCATCTTCTTTTAGCAACATTTAGAAGTTTCCTCTTCTTGATATGTACCTATTCATAACCATTCACTGAAGCGGCGATCATTGTGTTACACGCACTGTGTGATTCTATGTAGTTGTAAGATCAATTATTGTTTGGATAGCTAAGTGGTCATATTTTTTTAGAACTGGAAGATCCAAACTAAGGTTTGGACGGAAGAATAGCTGTCTAGGTGGGTCAGATACGTGCCCTCGCCCGGCTGAAACCAAAACAAAGTGATTGGGTAAACTGACGGTTGAAAATTCATTGCAAATTAAAATCTACATTGTGACCTAAACAAATATGACTACTCAGCTATCCAACCAATAATTGTTCAATTAGTCAAATCCAAATTACAGTAAATAAGGAAGTTTATAAAGGATGCGAGAAAATTACCAATCGCAACAAATAAATGCTGTTCTACCCTGTCTGAATAGAGCACACACAGATTCGTTCAAAAGACAATAATTGGTTGCTTTATAACACAGTGTTTCCGATTCTGGAAGAGTACCTCAATTTACAACCAAAAATGCACAATTCCAGTCAATACAAGCGACACAATCAAAAGGGGGAACAAACAAATATGATTGCCGCCAAGACTAAGTGCCAAGTAAAACAACACAAGTGCAGTTCAGGAAGAAACACGGAGACTTAGTGAAGGCATAAGAAAAATAGAAACTACGATAAAATACAAGTATTACCAACTTAAATGGAATCAAGAATACTAACAAAATGTGCAACTAAAGGAACCAATAGGAACAAACTGCGAGTGTATACATGGAGGGATTTTCACACACAAAACATTCAAAATGGATCTTAAAACAACATTGGCAACAAAGTAAGATGGGAAAGACCTTCGATTTGAAATAATTGACTGACTAGTTGGATCAGTGCCTTTAATTTGGTATTTCTTGTTGGTTGGAAACTAAATGGGCTTAGAACATATACGCCATTCATCACGCGATTTACTCCGGCGATACTTCCAGACAACTGACTGAGTTGCTCACTACGAATATTTGCTTTAGAAACTCACGCAGAATAACTAACCTAATGCAAGTATTACTGAGGACTGACATTGCACGAACTAGTTACTGGGGTTAATATCAGTTATGAGTGAAGAAATTAAGTTTCTTCTTTGGTCTTCACTCTAGAGTAACAAGAGTACTAGGTCTGCAGACTTATAGTAGTCCTTGTAGGTTGTTTCTTGATGAAGCATCAGATTCTTAAAATGTTCACTAATGGGGTTGGTAACACTTGTTCGGATAGTGTTTTATAATTTACTACTCGGTGAGAAAAGTGGGGCTTCACTCCGAGTTTATGAAATCGTGGTTTCTAAACCTTCTTACTATGATCTTGAAAATGATTAGTTCTGAAAGGAGCAAAAAGATAAGTTACATTAACACCCAAATCGTTATTAAAGATACATAATTCTGATATGAGGTCACCTTGCATCCTACGATACGATTAAAGGAAAAAGTCAGGCGTTTTAGGCGCTCATTGTAAAGGATTTTGGAACGATTCTTTACTAACATTGTTCTTATACGTTGAAGATGGCACAGCTTTTCAGTGTTTGACAACGGTTTAACCAGTAACACCTAAAATAACTCGTACCCACCAAGAGAAATCAAAAGACAGAATCGAAGAGATTGGAAGATATATTTGATATGATATCAATATATCGAGAATCGTCTGATCTAATCTGGCTAGCGATTGCCGTAGATGTTGAGCCCGGCGTTCCCACTCGTGATCTGGTGCGGATGCATGACCGAGCGCCTTCAGCTAGGTGAGTCCATTAAAACATGTGATCAGCATCCAATGTCGAAAACTTACATAGCAATTTATTAAGGGGATTTATTTACCGCTACAACGTCAAACGCACTCCAGCGTGCATCAGTAACGAGATATGAACTGACTGTTTAAACACAGAATTCTAGGTGTGCTTTACACAAGTTTGATATAGAAATTCGTAACATCTCCTCGTCAAAGCATTTGAATCCTTGACGAAGTGATCACAACGCTCGAAAACCTTCAGCGGCTGCTGAGTTGCAATGAGTTGTTTTTAAGTCGTATCAGTTAGTTTAACTAGGATTAAGACTGCATGAGACTAAAAGTCTTTCAATAACATGTCACTGTCAAGTAACAGTAGAGCACTTAAGCAAATATGGCAATGAATAACGTTGGTCTGAAATGACGATATTGAAAATTGGATTAGATAAACAGTAGTGAAAGGCGGGTGAGCCAGTTTGCCTCTCATAGATGACGGGCAATTCTGACGATAAGGTGAACCCGGGTAGGTATAAGCTGTGCTATGTTCTAACTTTATATCGTTTATTATGTATCAAGATGGTAGGTGAGTGTCCCTTTAACTGCATTCTGTGAACTACCCACACAGTTTTCTCATAGACCTAGAGTCGATTATATAAGTGGTCAAAAAGTAAAGACAGACTGCTACTAGTAATCAGTGAGATAGTTGTTTAAAGAATGACATAAATACAATAAGTTTGTCCCCAAAATAGCCTCGTCGAGTGGATTCATTTGTTTGTGTCCTTTAAAATCCACCCAGTAAATACATCTTTAAATTGTACTTTTCGTCACATGTATAAAGTAATCGACCTCAAATTATTCGTCATAATCCATTGAATATATGTTGTTTTCATTGTTCTTCATTGTGCACGTTGTCACCTAACAACTCACCACAACGACGATCGCTAAAAGCTGTTATGGATTAACACAACATTTAGAATTATCCTGTTCTAAAATACATAAATGTGCACAAAAAATGTTCAGTTCGCTCATAAGTCTTAGTAAAAAGTTGTGGTAAAAACTCATTGCAAAAAGCCTTTCTGTTCAGATCATCACAGGTGATAGATTCGACGATGTATGAAGTAGCTTGACTCATTTACTATTGGAACCGCGTTAGTCTACCCCTTCCTGCTTTATTTCAGATCCGAAAAGTTTCTTTTTTCGTCTAAACGCCACGTGTGCAAGTAAGAGTTGTGGACATCTGTTAATAAATGCTTAAGTCAAATGAATAGAAATAAGCCATATTTCACACCCTTCCTATTATGTGTTTTGCTTTAATATAAGTTTTATTACCCCATATTTTTTCATACCCCCTCTATGTCTTTATAGCATACTTCTCCCGTCTTTTACCATTGCTGCTATATCGTTTATACCAGTTTCGTCTCTTATCAAGTGGAAAGTGTGCAAGCTGTTTCTGATTGCCCGCGAAGTCATAGTACTGGGTTTGTATTATAATCACTAGTAACAGTCTGATCTAGCGACCAGTTACTGCTTAAAAACTAGTCTTTTCATGTCATACTCCTGGGAGCCTGTTGAATCTAACGTACAGTTTACTTTTGACAAAACCACATGTTCCGGTTTCTGTGACTATTTAGACAAAATGTAGCACTGGATAGTGTTTTTTCTACCTCGCGTTTACTAGAATCGACCATTAAATTTCAATGACATTGGTCATTCAACTTTGTTTTAGAAACATTTTGTTCGATAAAATCATAATCAGCAACGTTCAGGTTGGTAAAAGTATTTTAACTAGTGAAATATAGTTAATCCATCAGATAAATCAGATCTGATTAAAGTAGGTCCAGTGTTACTCTTCTACCTTGTACTCCAACACTGGTTAGATGTATGTTGATTCCAAAAAGCCAGAGCGCAAGCATACTGAGTAAAGATTCTCTCCAACTGTCATTCTGAACAGTGTAAGGAAGTAACTTTTTCACGACTAGGCTCAAGAAATGCTAAACTTCAGTATTTGACAATCCTCCATGATATGATCCAAAATTATTCGGTTTCCTTGCCTCCGTTTTTTGACCATCCTGTTTCGCATCTCTTATGTATTTAGTTGTTCAATGTCACTCGTTGCTGACATCCGCTTCTTTTTGTCGGAAGGTGTTGTAACTAATGCGAAGTTCTGGTTTTTATTAACATCCGAACTTACATTTGAGCACTCGTAAAATGATGGTAAATCCTCATACACCTAATGAATTGATGTAAAACGTTGTATAGACAGTACTTAAATAGTCAGTCAGTCGGTAACAACGTAGAACTTCGTACGTACGTACATCAGTTCGAGTTGCCATAGCACATTAGCACAGTGATGCAGTTGTCGATTCAAATCCCGTAGTGGTAGAGGTAGTAAAAATATAATCAGTAATCTAAAACATTAGGGCTTCAAGATGTTATTCAAGGAGCATAATGCAGTGGAATAAATTTGGAAAGAGGAAAAAAGGGAATACAAAGAGTGGATGCACCTGCACCATTGCAAACGATTTTGAGCCATGCCATTCAGGGTCTCTAACCCTCGGTCTCTATCATCTCGCGGTCCCCAACCAGGTAGTCTACACCTACCAACATGACTCAGTCCACTTGTCAGTGACTTCATGGACTTGTGCCATGTTTTATTTTGGCCGTCCCTAGCTTTCTTCCAACCTACTCCTATACCACTGAACATCGCACGTCGGGGCAGTCGGTCGTTGGGCATACGTAACACGTGTCTCAGTCATCTCAACTGATAAAGTTCCAACACTTCATCAGTTGATTCACCATCCTTACCTAGTATCCGTTTCCTAACAACTGCATTACTTACTCGTTGGTCCCAAGATATACGAGCAATGTTTAAAAGACACCTATGATCGAATACTAGTAACCTACGAATATCCTCTACTCTTAACGGCCATGTTTCACTGCCATAAAGTAGGACGGGACGAACTGCTGCGCAGTAAACACGTCCTTTGGTTGATAGACGGATATCTCGCCTACGCCATAAATGAAGCAAGTTGGCAAAAGCTAGTCGAGCCTTCTGTATCCGTGCTGAGATTTCGTCACACACCAGACCACAAGGGCTGATGAGACTTCCAAGATAAGTGAAGCGGTCGACACACTCAACTACTTCACTCCCTATCACTAGTTCGGGTGTCGATGTAACCCAATCCTGAAGCAACATTTTGCATTTTGATGGAGAGAATCGCATCCCGAACATGTTTGCATTGTTGCTTAGAGTGGTCAGAAGACTCTGCATTTTGTCAGCGTCTTCATCAAATAAAACTATGTCATCTGCATATTCTAAGTCAACAAGTGAACCTCCCGGTAGAAGTTCAACCCCTGGAAATTTAGATGAGGAGGGTGTTATCTCTAAAAGTATGTCGACCACAAAGTTGAACAAGAATGGGGAGAGTGGACAGCCCTGACGAACACCACTTGAGGTAATCAATTCTGATGACAGTTCGCCATAAGCTCTAACTCGACCAGTTGTGTTTGAGTAGAGAGCCTTTATAAGGTTAATGTACTTCTTTGGTACTCTTTTCAGTGACAAACACTGCCACAGAACTTCACGATCAACAGAGTCGAATGCCGCCTTAAGGTCGAGAAATACTACCATTGTGGGGCATCTGAATGTGTGTCTGTGTTCTAGAATCTGACGTAGTGTGAATATCTGATCTATACAACCACGTCCAGGTCGAAAACCGGCCTGGTTTTCTCTAATCTGCTCTTCACGAGCTTTGATTAGGCGTCGAAGTATTATTGAAGCTAATATTTTAGACACTATATTAGTCAAACTGATTCCTCTGTGATTGTCACAAGAGAACTTTTGTCCCTTCTTACAGACTGGCACAATCAGTGATTGAGACCAATCAGATGGGATTACGTCCAGTTCCCAAATTCTACCTAAGACCTCGGTTAATCTCATTGCTATTACTGGACCACTATCCTTAAAAATCTCAGGAGTAAACCTGTCAGGCCCTGCTGCTCTCCCTCGTTTCAGATTTCCTATGGCTTTTTCAACTTCGTAAAGGGACGGAGGACTTACATTAACTTGCCATTCAGGTTGACTAGAGATCGTGGGAAACCGAAGTGTGGCTGAAGGCCAGTTGAACTGATCCCTAAAGTGTTCTGCCCATCGATCCAATCTCCTGGGTTGAGAATGTATAATATGTCCATCTTTCTCTGAGATTGTTTCGCTAACAGTCAGGTTCTTAATACCGGTTTCCTTAACAGGTCTGAACAGTTGTCTGCTGTTACCTATTGCCGCCGCCTTTTCCCTCTCTCTTGCTTTCGCTATCCACCACTGTTCACGATCATTGCATAGGCTTCTTATCAGCTTGCGCTTCAGCTGACTCCACCCTTCGTTATGTTCAGAGCCAGATGGAATGAGTTTTCGAGCATCTATCAGTGAGGTGGGTGCTGCTGAGATCCAGTGTTTCTCCCTAACCATGTGGTTTGCCGTACTAGCAGATATCACTGCTGTTTCCACAGCTTTTCGGATATCATTTCATGCTGCCTCGTGGTGGGCATCACAAACATGGCTGCCTAACTGTTTTCCTAGTTGTTCCCCAAATATACTCTTAGCTTGACTATCATTAAGTTGGACCCTAAGAGGTTTCCTTGCAGCGTCTTTCCTACGTCCAGTAAGACGCAAGCAAATACGCGCTCGCACTGGAGCATGATCTGAGTCTAAGCATGTGCTCCAGAATGAGCGACAGTCTTCTATTGAGCCCCTCCATCGGTGGCTGATGGCGATGTGATCTATTTGTGTCCAACGTTGGGACGAATTCTGGGGTCACCATGTCAAAAGATGTTTTTCCTTATGCTTAAAGTTAGTATTTGCAAGGAACAGGCGGTTATCTGAGCATAGCTGCAACAGACGGTCGCCATTATCTGTTCTTTGAGCCACGACACCATACGATCCACCTAGGTGTCTTTCCCTATCGCTTAGTTTCCCTACTTGAGCATTAAAGTCACTAGTCGTCAGAGCGCCTAGCTTTCGGGAGGTCGGAAAGCTTTCTGTAAAACTCATCTTTTGCATCATCTGAGCTGCAGTCAGTGGTAGAATAGGCGGAGACGTCGAAGAGGCAACGACGAGTGTCCCTATCCTTCTGAGTCCTTACTGTTCCATCTAGTCGAACAGCGCACAAGTGCCTGTCTGCTGGGATCCACTCTAAGAGAGCTAGTTCTGCCCTAGGACTCAATGCTATACCTACGACGGCGAGGCCACGGGAAGCAGAATCAGGGCTTCCAGATACACGAAGCGTCAATCGAGTTGGTTCTTTATTTTGACATGGTGAGGTCAAATGAATGACGCTACTCGGACCCTCTCTGCGCGTTTCGGAGACGCAGCACACATCGATGGCGTGAGATTCTAAAGTTTTAGCTAAGGAAGCCTGCTGTCCTATTTGGCACAGTGTTCGGACGTTAAAAGCTCCTAAGTGTAGTTTAGAGCGTGGTTTCAGGAGACCAGGAATAACGTTCCGCGTACTCGAATCGTTTGCACTAGCGGTGCGAGGTGATAAAGGGACGTGAGAAGGATTATTCGTGGAGATAAGAGAGTTATTAGGAGGTGTAGGAAGGATTTGAATGTGACCAACTTGGTCTCGTGTGTTGTTACGGGTATGAGGGCTGATGTCACTTCACGGCTTCCCACACCGTGGAAGGGTACTTCTTAAGGAAACACCTGAAAGGGAAGTTAGATTAGTGTCGGTCTTGACGACCTGGGGGCGTAACCACAGAGCCCAAGGGACAATTGCTTGAGGCCGGTTGCGCACGGCCTTTTTGTGGGAGGTTTTTCACGTGTTAGCTCCGTTCTTCAAAGGGCCTTACCGCCGGAGACGGAAATCCGTGAGGTAAGGTGAGGTGTGACATTTTTATGGCCGACCTTTTCTAACCCCTTCCTTCCTCGTGGGAAGGCAGCATCGCTGCAGATACCGGTTGCCCGAGGGAAACATCTTACTGCTGTCACACCTCTCTACAGTCAGCAGTACGACTTCGCCCTCAGACCTTGAGTTGCTGCTTTTAGTCTTACCGTTCACCAATCGACCTGCCTGGCATGGTAGAACCTGCAGGAACATATGTTCCAGCCAATATAGCTCGGTTGGGTCATCACGATAGGCAAGCCCGACCACCACGTCAAGGTAGGAGCTACCGTCTGGAGTACTAAATAGCAAAGATATCGAACGGTTGTTGGTCTGTCTCATGAATTAACTAAACGTGAAGATGTAATTGTTTAGACTCCAGCTTAGTGATTTAAAAGTAACGTGGTCGCTGCAGCAGTACAAGTTTATTTGCTTGACCCATTCTTAAGACTAAATAATTGCTTATTACCTTTTTGATTTTCGGCGATTCTTTAGTTGATATCTACGGGTAACAAAAAATCATCCTTAATAAGACTGAACAGACCCAGCAAGTAAATAGTCGTAAGGTTATTCTGAATTCCTTGATTATGAATGGTAAATGCTTGTGATGGCACACAAACTTCACTTTTTAATGAAACCTTAAATACATTGTGACAAATATTCAATTTTTGTCACGCATCTGCTAGTTCTTTGTTACCACTAGCCAGATATATGTTCTACATAGGCTTTTAAATCCAGTAGAAACGTCTTAGTAAATTAGTTATCTTTCGTATCTTCTCAGCATTTTAATTCATGTTCTTCGTAAGAAATATTAACTAAAGATCGAGTTCAGTACTTTTAAGGAAACTTTTTTTCTGCTAGTCTCATTTTTTGTTTTTCACAATTTTCTACAAAGTTTAAAATAATGTTTTCTTTCCTACTAACTTCAGACTTTTGTCGAGTTTGCCGATGTGAGGGGACTGCTTCGAAACCTCTATTTCATCCTTGTTTGTGCACTGGGAGTATTAAATATATTCATCAAGATTGGTAGGTTTGCAGACATTGTTTGTGAGTTTCTTGTAACGGTAATGCTGTTTTGTTCATCCACTAAAGCAGACCTTTCAAATAAGCAATGATTTGTCATGACATTAACTCAATAATAAAACTGATAGTTTAGATATGTGGACAAAACTCACAACAATTAAATCACTTGCTCCAAAATGTTTCACTTCTTTCTATCTGGGACGTCAAGTAGTGTCGTTGGTGCATAGAAATATACATGACAATTAGCGATCTAGATTATTGACTACTTTAATATGATAGTCTTTCAGTTTGACTTCCGATTATGTTCTGAAAAGTTCAGTCGTTTACTATATCTGCATGTTATTCTATCGTATTCACTCAGCATAAAACTCGTTTCAGGTTATTTTTTAAAGTGTAATCAATCATCACTGTAAAGGGAACCTGTATATGAAGAGTTGTACTTTCTCACAAAATATATATCCTTCGTGGTAGTAGCCGACGCTTGCTTATATCTGATCGTCTCTGATTGCTGTGTTGGAAAAACGCTGATCACTCATACTTGGAACGAGGGACCTCTGAGATTCCCACGACCCGAAAGGAAGAACACTAAGACTGGTATAAGTGAAGATTTATTAGCCCTAAAACACTATGACGACGATGACCCTAGTCTAAAATACACTCATTTATATATTGATAGTACATCCATTTTGATTAATAATTAGGATGAAATCACATATATGAAATATATTAAGAGTTATAACAAATCACAGACTGAGCATAGTTCATGTCAATGAAACACACGAATATCATATGTTTTGCAGAATAAAATATCATACGAGACAATAAAACAAATACTATATTGAGTAATCATTACATTGAATCAAAACAGAAGTAGTCTTGAACAAAACTCATAATGAGTAAATCAATCGAAAATTGACTTTTCTTTCCATGACATCAGGCAGTCAGTTCGGTCAAGAGTTTTGAAGACATATTGTAGAGTACTTGCATGCAGTCACACTAGGATTGTATTAAGTACTGCGTTAATATTTTCAAGTTGCATACCAAAGAGTACCTCATAACAATACGTAACTATCTAGCTGTGTATCCTTGATCAACCACCCTGACTGTTTTGATTTGTCATCCAAATAACTAAATATCAGTTTTATATTCAGCTAAAATGATCAAAACACAGATTTGTGAGTATTATAACTGAATCTTATTTGATAACCATGCTGCTTATTCGTATGAGGGTAAATAAATAGTTTTGATATACAACTAATTCAAGTTCATTTAGCCGTTTATACTTCACTCTGTTGCTTATATTTTACTCGTGGAAATCATGAGTGTACCGATAACTCAGTGGTTAAAGCGTTTGAATTTCAGCCACTAACTCACGGGTTTGTAACCTGCTCCACTTTCGGTCTAGACCTCCAGGTAGTCACAAACCCTCACACTTATGTGACCCAAAACCAAGAATATGAATCTGTATCTGATGAACTAGTTAATAATAAAAATAGAAAGATAGTTATTAGTACATTTTATAATTCCTATAATTTTTTTAGCCTCATTCGTTGGCTTGAGTACAGCAAAAGAAATACTTGTGAATTATGTAATCATCGGTTTGCTTTCACTCGAATTTATGCATCTGACACTCCACGATTTCTGCCGCTCACCGTGTTGGCTGTGGGACTGGCCAACAGCTTGCGTCGATTTGTACTAAACTGGATTCACTTGTCGATTGTCTTCACTGCATGGTTGGTTGTAGTTCCTTTATCTGCCTGTCGCATGTACCGTTGTCTTTTTACTGGTAGCGTTTTCTCACTCCTCACACTTCCATTAGACATGGTTTCCACAAAACACTTATTACAAGATTGTGTTCAGGTAGGTTCGAATTAATTGTTTACTTAGATATTTAGCTTCTATATTTTATATATTTTATGCACCCCGTTATTTGTTGCACACTCTTTAAAACTGAAATCCGATCTATGGAGTCTTTTAAGCGTCTTTTAGCAATGACCGTTAAAAAATAATTTGGCTGGACGTTGCTAAAAAATAAAACCGTTTAGTTAAACAGCAAGTGTAGATTTTCATATCGAGTTTCACAGTCAAGAATGCTGGTGGTGGTCGTATATAGCCACGACCTGGATGCTGTTGTTTAATATGCTTACTGTAACGGCCTGATGGATCCATACTGACTGAATAACTAGTTTCTCGAGGTTCTGTCATGCTAAATGAACCACTTCAAAAACCATGAAACTAAATTTGGCACATTTAAAGTTATGTGACAACACTATACTGCTAACTGCTTCGCGGTAAGATGTTCCATAAATAACCAAAGTCGTCAGCGATTCTGGTTTCCCACGTTGGTAATTAGCATTAGGAAAAATGGGTCCTAAATATATCCCACCCTCTGCCTCACGGATTTCCAGTCTCAGTCATAAGGGTTGAAAAGTATGTAATTAATTCAACATAAAGAATCACCCATAAGAAGAGTGTAATCAACCTCAAACGAATGTTCCTGGAGCCAGTACACTTTCAACAATAATAAAGTTTATTTAGAAATCTTTAAACTGAATCTTCTTTCAGAGCATGAATTGCCAATATGTGTTAACCCCTTACACTCTTCAACAGTACTTGTTTTCATCTAGTTCGCTAGTAAACCCCTTCCTCCACTCCATAATCATCTATTCCCGTCGCTAATCCTTCTCTGATTTTATATCTTTCCATATATCGTAATATTTTTAACAGACAACTTTAACATTCAAATGGGTAGTTCACGTCATACTGTAAAACATCCACGTTGGTCTTCCTGCGTCCTGTTTCATAGAACAGATAACGATGACCGCCTTCTAATTCTGTACTCAGAAAATCGTCTATTCGTAACCATTGTCTACTCTTGAGATAAAAAAAGATCGTAAGATCTGACAGCTTTTAGAAACTTAATGATGAGCGGATATTATTATTATTATCATCAGCTTTATTCAATATTATATTTTTGGTACAATATAGAATTCTCAGCGTAAAGTATTTCAACAAGTTTCCGTTTCTTTCTTCTTGGTCGGTCCTGGCGATAAATATTGAGTGATCGCCAGTTAGATGTTAGCAGTTCACTGAATGAACATCTGAATAATGTGCATTCTTTTCGTTGTATATTGCCAGCAACCACATTGTATCTTATTGAATTTTTTGTAACTTTGACAACGAAAGGTTGTACACTTTTCAGAAACGCAGCAGAATAGGTCATGCGATTAATAAACATACAAACAAACAAAAATAGATAACTTGTCGAAATATCTAGATGGCAGGAACAGGTAGCTCAGATGCTCAAGCAGGCCGCTGTTAAAAAGGAAATTTATGGTTCTTAATCACATATGCAGACTCTAATGTGAGTGCACGTTTGTCAACTTTTTATTAGGCTCAGAGTAATTTCAACGGGAAGTTGGAGAGCTCAGTTCGAAGATGTAAGGTGAAAATAAACTGGTATTTAATCGATCATGAAAGAGATGTTGATATCGAAGTATCATGACATAGTTAAATCTACAGCTAAGGAACGAAGTTGCCGTACTTTAATAGCATTAGAAACATCAATTACATGACTTTCGACATTTATAGCCAGGTATCCCTTGTCTAATCAGCGTGAATGTGAAGACATAGAAGACATTAAATTTTAGAATAACTGTATTACTCATCAAAATTGATACAAGTTTTCATAAATCAACCATTCTTTGGTTTAAAACCGTTTAGGCACCGGGATTTACAACCTAGACGAGTTGTTGAGTTCGTTAAGTATCGATATTAATTTAAGAGAAGACATGAGTCGTATAGAAATGAGACGGAAAAGAGACTGAAAGCAATATAACATATGATAAGATAACGGTATTCGTTTTTATGCTAGTGATTATCATTTACTGATTGAGGACTGTAATACTATCCAAAGAGAATCAAGTGGAAATCATTTCTAATTATTTTATTTAATTCACATAAGGATATATCTCCATGATGACCAGTCAATGAACTGCTTTCATACACCATTCTTTTCCCCAGGGCAGGGCCTATGTACATTTTTGGTTTGCAGTTAGCATTCTAAACCCCTCTACCTATACCAGCTATAAACATCTATCGACAAGGTTAAAGAGTTGAACATCCATTCTCATTTTCTTACTCTCTGTCTCCACACAATTTTTAACTGAACAAAGTCAATCTTAACTAACATTATATGTCACAGTATTGCCGAGGGCAAACTTGTCTTTTTCTATTGATTTATTCATATCATTCCTTCTTCTCTATATCTTTCGAAATATTCTCTTTTTTCTTTTACGTGGTGAATTTTCTAAAATATTTCTTTTATACTATTAAGTTTCCTCTCCCGACCGAAGCTGCTACCTTGACGCGGTGGTCGGGCTTGCCTATCGTGATGACCCAACCGAGCTATATTGGCTGGAACATATGTTCCTGCAGGTTCTACCATGCCAGGCAGGTCGATTGGTGAACGGTAAGACTAAAAGCAGCAACTCAAGGTCTGAGGGCGAAGTCGTACTGCTGACTGTAGAGAGGTGTGACAGCAGTAAGATGTTTCCCTCGGGCAACCGGTATCTGCAGCGATGCTGCCTTCCCACGAGGAAGGAAGGGGTTAGAAAAGGTCGGCCATAAAAATGTCACACCTCACCTTACCTCACGGATTTCCGTCTCCGGCGGTAAGGCCCTTTGAAGAACGGAGCTAACACGTGAAAAACCTCCCACAAAAAGGCCGTGCGCAACCGGCCTCAAGCAATTGTCCCTTGGGCTCTGTGGTTACGCCCCCAGGTCGTCAAGACCGACACTAATCTAACTTCCCTTTCAGGTGTTTCCTTAAGAAGTACCCTTCCACGGTGTGGGAAGCCGTGAAGTGACATCAGCCCTCATACCCGTAACAACACACGAGACCAAGTTGGTCACATTCAAATCCTTCCTACACCTCCTAATAACTCTCTTATCTCCACGAATAATCCTTCTCACGTCCCTTTATCACCTCGCACCGCTAGTGCAAACGATTCGAGTACGCGGAACGTTATTCCTGGTCTCCTGAAACCACGCTCTAAACTACACTTAGGAGCTTTTAACGTCCGAACACTGTGCCAAATAGGACAGCAGGCTTCCTTAGCTAAAACTTTAGAATCTCACGCCATCGATGTGTGCTGCGTCTCCGAAACGCGCAGAGAGGGTCCGAGTAGCGTCATTCATTTGACCTCACTATGCCAAAATAAAGAACCAACTCGATTGACGCTTCGTGTATCTGGAAGCCCTGATTCTGCTTCCCGTGGCCTCGCCGTCGTAGGTATAGCATTGAGTCCTAGGGCAGAACTAGCTCTCTTAGAGTGGATCCCAGCAGACAGGCACTTGTGCGCTGTTCGACTAGACGGAACAGTAAGGACTCAGAAGGATAGGGACACTCGTCGTTGCCTCTTCGACGTCTCCGCCTATTCTACCACTGACTGCAGCTCAGATGATGCAAAAGATGAGTTTTACAGAAAGCTTTCCGACCTCCCGAAAGCTAGGCGCTCTGACGACTAGTGACTTTAATGCTCAAGTAGGGAAACTAAGCGATAGGGAAAGACACCTAGGTGGATCGTATGGTGTCGTGGCTCAAAGAACAGATAATGGCGACCGTCTGTTGCAGCTATGCTCAGATAACCGCCTGTTCCTTGCAAATACTAACTTTAAGCATAAGGAAAAACATCTTTTGACATGGTGACCCCAGAATTCGTCCCAACGTTGGACACAAATAGATCACATCGCCATCAGCCACCGATGGAGGGGCTCGATAGAAGACTGTCGCTCATTCTGGAACACATGCCTAGATCCAGATCATGCTCTAGTGTGAGCGCGTATTTGCTTGCGTCTTACTGGACGTAGGAAAGACGCTGCAAGGAAACCTCTTAGGGTCCAACTTAATGATAGTCAAGCTAAGAGTATATTTGGGGAACAACTAGGAAAACAGTTAGGCAGCCATGTTTGTGATGCCCACCACGAGGCAGCATGAAATGATATCCGAAAAGCTGTGGAAACAGCAGTGATATCTGCTAGTACGGCAAACCACATGGTTAGGGAGAAACACTGGATCTCAGCAGCACCCACCTCACTGATAGATGCTCGAAAACTCATTCCATCTGGCTCTGAACATAACGAAGGGTGGAGTCAGCTGAAGCGCAAGCTGATAAGAAGCCTATGCAATGATCGTGAACAGTGGTGGATAGCGAAAGCAAGAGAGAGGGAAAAGGCGGCGGCAATAGGTAACAGCAGACAACTGTTCAGACCTGTTAAGGAAACCGGTATTAAGAACCTGACTGTTAGCGAAACAATCTCAGAGAAAGATGGACATATTATACATTCTCAACCCAGGAGATTGGATCGATGGGCAGAACACTTTAGGGATCAGTTCAGCTGGCCTTCAGCCACACTTCGGTTTCCCACGATCTCTAGTCAACCTGAATGGCAAGTTAATGTAAGTCCTCCGTCCCTTTACGAAGTTGAAAAAGCCATAGGAAATCTGAAACGAGGGAGAGCAGCAGGGCCTGACAGGTTTACTCCTGAGATTTTTAAGGATAGTGGTCCAGTAATAGCAATGAGATTAACCGAGGTCTTAGGTAGAATTTGGGAACTGGACGTAATCCCATCTGATTGGTCTCAATCACTGATTGTGCCAGTCTGTAAGAAGGGACAAAAGTTCTCTTGTGACAATCACAGAGGAATCAGTTTGACTAATATAGTGTCTAAAATATTAGCTTCAATAATACTTCGACGCCTAATCAAAGCTCGTGAAGAGCAGATTAGAGAAAACCAGGCCGGTTTTCGACCTGGACGTGGTTGTATAGATCAGATATTCACACTACGTCAGATTCTAGAACACAGACACACATTCAGATGCCCCACAATGGTAGTATTTCTCGACCTTAAGGCGGCATTCGACTCTGTTGATCGTGAAGTTCTGTGGCAGTGTTTGTCACTGAAAAGAGTACCAAAGAAGTACATTAACCTTATAAAGGCTCTCTACTCAAACACAACTGGTCGAGTTAGAGCTTATGGCGAACTGTCATCAGAATTGATTACCTCAAGTGGTGTTCGTCAGGGCTGTCCACTCTCCCCATTCTTGTTCAACTTTGTGGTCGACATACTTTTAGAGATAACACCCTCCTCATCTAAATTTCCAGGGGTTGAACTTCTACCGGGAGGTTCACTTGTTGACTTAGAATATGCAGATGACATAGTTTTATTTGATGAAGACGCTGACAAAATGCAGAGTCTTCTGACCACTCTAAGCAACAATGCAAACATGTTCGGGATGCGATTCTCTCCATCAAAATGCAAAATGTTGCTTCAGGATTGGGTTACATCGACACCCGAACTAGTGATAGGGAGTGAAGTAGTTGAGTGTGTCGACCGCTTCACTTATCTTGGAAGTCTCATCAGCCCTTGTGGTCTGGTGTGTGACGAAATCTCAGCACGGATACAGAAGGCTCGACTAGCTTTTGCCAACTTGCTTCATTTATGGCGTAGGCGAGATATCCGTCTATCAACCAAAGGACGTGTTTACTGCGCAGCAGTTCGTCCCGTCCTACTTTATGGCAGTGAAACATGGCCGTTAAGAGTAGAGGATATTCGTAGGTTACTAGTATTCGATCATAGGTGTCTTTTAAACATTGCTCGTATATCTTGGGACCAACGAGTAAGTAATGCAGTTGTTAGGAAACGGATACTAGGTAAGGATGGTGAATCAACTGATGAAGTGTTGGAACTTTATCAGTTGAGATGACTGAGACACGTGTTACGTATGCCCAACGACCGACTGCCCCGACGTGCGATGTTCAGTGGTATAGGAGTAGGTTGGAAGAAAGCTAGGGACGGCCAAAATAAAACATGGCACAAGTCCATGAAGTCACTGACAAGTGGACTGAGTCATGTTGGTAGGTGTAGACTACCTGGTTGGGGACCGCGAGATGATAGAGACCGAGGGTTAGAGACCCTGAATGACATGGCTCAAAATCGTTTGCAATGGTGCAGGTGCATCCACTCTTTCTATTCCCCCAAATTCTAATCTTCTGAATTCTTCGTGTCCCTTTTCTCCTCTTTCCAAATTTATTTCACTGGATTATACTCTTTAAATAACATCTCCAAACCCTAATCTTCCCGATTACTGCTTATACTCTTATTACCTCTACCACTACGGGATTTGAATCGACAACTGCATCTCTGTGCTAATGTGGTGTGGCAACTCGAACTGATGTACGAAGTTCTACGTTGTTACTGACTGACTGAATTTTCCTCTGCATTTATTTCTGCTTTACGTAAAAAAATAGATTTGAGAATATATATATAATATCTTACTCAATTTATTCATCTTAGGGTTTCATTATTGTAATCTTTGCATTGGCCGCATTTTTGGGTTATGTTTCATTGCGAGAACAACTTCTCCAAGGAACACCAGCATGGTTGGAACGTGATGCTCATGCAGGTATTTTCATTTTGTATTTTATATCGTTTAGATGGAATTCAGTTTAATTTATCTCTGCATACTGTATTATTCTTTTCAAAATGGTTAATGATGGATTTATTTTATTAAATCAGAATATAGAAATCTTGCACTGTTACACTGCCGTGGTTTTCTACAAACATGTCCAGCACTATTATAATGTTTGTGTATACTCATCGAAGTGCTTTAACAATTCCGTATTTTCAAAATACGTGAAAATTTTGTACCATTCGGCAACATAAAAGATCTTTCACCACTTAATTTTATGCGTTATGAATTCAAAGTGGTTTGGAAGTGAAAGAGAGAGTTAAGGTAAATAATCAGTTTTGAAAATCACTTCGTTACAAACCGAAGGGATTACTGTAATCTATAATTAGCTGTATGATGTGGAAAACATAATGGACAATAAATATGGATATCATCTCATATCTACGTTTAAAATGTGGAACGCATGAATGGACAAAGCTGAATTTAGACAGGTTAGTAAGCAAAGATTCCAAATCGGTTGATATAGTTGTGAATCTTCATCGTATGCCTAAATATCGCCTAATTTGATGCAACTTTTTAGCTGGCGTAGGAGTGGGTTAAAAGAAAATTAGGGGTGCCTAAATCAGGAATTGGGATTAGTCCATGAAGTCACTGACTATTTGTCTAAGTCATTTTTGTCGATTCAAACTACCTGGTTGAAGTCGTCATTAGAACTATCATCAGTAGAAACAAACGGACGGTATGTTTTAGAGTCAGTTTCAGTGGTACAGATGCATTCACTGTTTATCTTCCTCTTTATTTTAAATCCAAGTTTTCCTACATACATACCTTTTCATTCTGTCTTTTAAGACCATATTCTCAATTTTCAGTCTTTCTCACTGTCATTGTTATCAGATTATTTAAATCTCTTACTATTCATCTTGTTCTTTTCACCTCGTTGTGTGAATGTATTCTGGCAACACGAGCTAACGCTTATTTGTGCCAGGCTTCAAGTTGACTATGACTGACTGAATTACTGCACTAAAGATAAATATTTACTAAGGTGAAGTGCTTTAGTCGCAGTATATTTTAGATAAGAACTAATTAGCGTTATATTACCTTGATCCGACAATCAAAGTCATTTAAGAAAAATAGATTCTCTAGAAAGTTTGTTAAGTTTTTTTCCATCCACATAGTTCCCTTTATTATTTTAAAGAGAGCAAGAACAAAGATTGGTGCAGAATAATATGAACTCATTTTATTTTGTTAGGTTCTCATCAGCAGCTCTCTTTAAGTTTTTTTTATTCACAACCAAATGATTTATCCAAGTTAATTTCAAAAAGCCTATAGTATAGTTATTTTACGTCTAACTCGTTTTTACTCTTAACACAAAACGTTACTAAAGAGTACATTATGTTTTAAAAAAGTAAATTGAGGCTTATTAGTGCAAACAACCTCAACTCACTAATGGGTTTTAGCAACTTGAACCGACCTTCATACGTACGAAGTTCTACGTTGTGACTGACTGACCTGTACATTAGTAAACTAACTATCTACATGGAAGAAATTTTAGCGCCACTGGATTTTCCATAATTAAAACTGGTCAGTAATTTTGCAATTATATACAAGTATATATACAAGTATTCTTCATAACATAACAGCCTTATAATAAGAAATAAACCACTATATGGTATCTACTACTTGTACGGACTGCTGTAAGTAGTATATATCGGGAATTGGGAGTAAAATTCTTGTAGACAGAAGAGGAAAATAAAGAGAAATGAAGGAAAAGCAGAATCAGTTCGAGTAACGACAGTAGTGAAAGAACTATGGAACTTATAAGTGACAATTCAAGGAAGATGTCCAAATGATGTATTCAATGTCGTTTTCATATTTTACGAAGTACGTGATTTTGCTTAATAATATAAATTGCTTTACTCTAACCTAATCTTCATTCAGTACAAGCAAACAACTTTTTTATTAGCTAGTATTTTATCTTCAGTAGACAAGTTTTATGTAAAGTTACATTTCAAACGTATATCAGATAATCCATGCTGAATAACCACTGAAAATTTAGAATTATAAAACTATGTAGAGATTCGTTTTGAAAAATTTTTTAGACATTCAATATTTGTTTAGGTATTTTGTCAAAAATTTAAATGTAAATTTCTTCTGTGTTTCGATCACGAATTTATTTGTGAATTCCAGAAGCTCGTGGTGTTGATCCTCCCCATCCCCCTCGTCCTGCCGCTGGGGTCAATGGTAGGCGACCTCTATTTCCGGATATTTTCAATATTTTTGGTGTTGCAAATGGTGGTGGTTTAGGTGCTGCAGTTTTCGGTGAAGGCAACGAAGATCCTGTTGAACCTGAAATATTTAACAATGATGAACAGCATCATCAGACTGTTCAACAAGAATTAGTGAATTCTGAACTTATCACGTGTTCCTCTCTAAATCAACAACGACCGGTGATTAACAGTGGTATCTCAGAACTGTTAGAGCCTTCACACGAATCGGCAGATACTGTAAATCGTGGATCATCATCTAATCCACAACAATTGGCTTGGTATATGGAAAATACAGGAGTTAATTTGGAGGGGGATATTCCTGACGAAGATGGTAGAGCCAATAACGATCCAGCAGATGCAGATGGTGCACCAGAAGCTATGGATTGGAAACATTTATTGGGTCTAGATGGATCTTTAAATTTTCTGGAGCACGTTTTGTGGCTTATTGCTTTAAATACTTTGTTTATTGTCATATTTGGTAAGTTTCGTGGTGTAGTAAAAGTATAATTTAGGGTGTTTGTAGTAAACGCGATTTGTATTTGCATCGCTAATATTTTACCTACTAGTAGTATATCAATTAGATTTTCGTTGATTGAGATCTAATGTCAAGCAATTTTTGATATTTACAGTAAAGCTATACAGAAAGAATGGTGTCAAATGCGTTTATTGGGTTTATACACTGTAACTACACAAAGCATGTCAAATAAAACTTGATTTGTAATGGAAAATGAAATTCAACTATATGTTCTCTATATACATGTTATAAAGTAACTACTACGAATATCTAATCAAATACATGATAACAACAACTAAATAGTTCACATAATGTTGTGGCACTAATATAGCCCTTAAGTTGATCTCATTAATGAAATAGTAATTTGTAGCTCAGGTGGATGATTTAGGTGAATTTTTGTTCGCTGCGCTGGATGATTTGGTTCTGGAGCTTTCATTGTTCCTCTGAACAACATCAGCGCAAAGTGAAGTGAAGTCTTCAAATTTCTCCATATATGAGCCATAGCCTGTCCTGTGTACCTCGTTCTTGATTGGTCAACAATAACAAATCAAGACCGAGGTTTACAGGACAAGCGGTGAGTCATATGTGGAGAAATTTGAACACTTCAATTTTACCTGAAGTTTTTACTGATGTTGTTCAGAAGAATAATGAAAGCTCCACGACTAAACCATCCAGCTCAGTGGACGAAACTCCACCTAAATCCTTACATTGTGCTTAGGCTAACTGTACTGAGCAACAGTGGTAAATAAGAGCTGAATATGAAATATACTGAAATAATTTATTTTTCAGCACTTATATATTAGCAGATAAATAAGTGATTAGATGAAGTGTCGGAGTTGATAACACTCACTTCGAGAAAGTTAATAATTACTCAATTCAAGTTGCCAGATAATCAGGACAGCGAGATGTAATCATCATGATAAATTTCAATGTAGTAGAAGTGGTAACAATATCGGTAGTAGTAGAAAACATTCGGCACGGACAATATAATCCAAAATGAGTTCGCGGAATAAAATGTATGAAATATTGAAACTCATGTTATAAAAGAAGACAAAGAGCGAATTCTGTGCCATCGTGAAGGATTATGAGCCATATCACCCAATGAATAATACTCTATTACTAATGGAAGGAAATTTTAAGATTGAAACAATTCAAATTTAAACAATTATTTGTTTCTGCTCGTTTATCTGCTTTCGTATTAAAATGAAACATTTTGTACTATGATTATTACTGCTGAGGTCATTAATGCAACCTATGCGTCAGTTTTCTAAACCTGATGAGATGTCTAATGTAGGTAAAGTAGTCAGTTTGTGTTCGAAACTAGGTTACTTGTTCTGAATGAAAATGAAGGGTCTGTTGTATGTCCCACTTCATCAAATAAAATGTAATTGTGACTGTGTTATAACTTGTGGCCTGTGTGCCCTGTTAATGTATAGCGTAATGATACCGCCTATTAGAGAGCAGTGACTTATCGATCGAACCAGTGAGGCATAAAACACGTACGAGCAGTCTAGAGTACCTATCGATCCTGATTCCTGCCTAACCCAGCCTCTGAAATATGAATCATTTATTTCAAGCATACGGGGTTTGTATACCAATCAGACAGACCACATCGTACCATAAAATAGAAAACAACATTTGTACAAGTTTTGGTCAAATGTGGCTGTGAATGTGAGAGGTAGTAATTAATAGACAGGGCATATTTCAAGAATGGTAAATCGTATAATAATAGTTCATAGTTCAAAATAAAGCTCATAATAAAAGGGACATGAATATGTATAGTTTAATTATTTAACAATTATACGATAAAAATATACGCATAGTATTGGTCCATAAATGGATCCCAAAAGTTACCATTCATTGTGCTTATTGGGGCATCACAAGCTGTAACACCACTTTCTGCATACTTTTGAATTTGATTTACACAATTCCAGCTTTACCAACTGCATTTCTGGTCATTAATGTTTGAGGATAACCATCCTTTTTTAATGTTCAACAAAAGTGTTCTATCTAGTGCTGCACATAAGAGCATAATTTCCATTCAGGATTTCATTTTAACTACCTGAAGCTATCTGCATGTCTTCTACAAACAAGCCCGATCGAAGCTGCTACCTTGACACGGTGGTCGGACTTGCCTATCGTGATGACCCAACCGAGCTATATTGGCTGGAACATATGTTCCTGCAGGTTCTACCATGCCAGGCAGGTCGATTGGTGAACGGTAAGACTAAAAGCAGCAACTCAAGGTCTGAGGGCGAAGTCGTACTGCTGACTGTAGAGAGGTGTGACAGCAGTAAGATGTTTCCCTCGGGCAACCGGTATCTGCAGCGATGCTGCCTTCCCACGAGGAAGGAAGGGGTTAGAAAAGGTCGGCCATAAAAATGTCACACCTCACCTTACCTCACGGATTTCCGTCTCCGGCGGTAAGGCCCTTTGAAGAACGGAGCTAACACGTGAAAAACCTCCCACAAAAAGGCCGTGCGCAACCGGCCTCAAGCAATTGTCCCTTGGGCTCTGTGGTTACGCCCCCAGGTCGTCAAGACCGACACTAATCTAACTTCCCTTTCAGGTGTTTCCTTAAGAAGTACCCTTCCACGGTGTGGGAAGCCGTGAAGTGACATCAGCCCTCATACCCGTAACAACACACGAGACCAAGTTGGTCACATTCAAATCCTTCCTACACCTCCTAATAACTCTCTTATCTCCACGAATAATCCTTCTCACGTCCCTTTATCACCTCGCACCGCTAGTGCAAACGATTCGAGTACGCGGAACGTTATTCCTGGTCTCCTGAAACCACGCTCTAAACTACACTTAGGAGCTTTTAACGTCCGAACACTGTGCCAAATAGGACAGCAGGCTTCCTTAGCTAAAACTTTAGAATCTCACGCCATCGATGTGTGCTGCGTCTCCGAAACGCGCAGAGAGGGTCCGAGTAGCGTCATTCATTTGACCTCACCATGTCAAAATAAAGAACCAACTCGATTGACGCTTCGTGTATCTGGAAGCCCTGATTCTGCTTCCCGTGGCCTCGCCGTCGTAGGTATAGCATTGAGTCCTAGGGCAGAACTAGCTCTCTTAGAGTGGATCCCAGCAGACAGGCACTTGTGCGCTGTTCGACTAGATGGAACAGTAAGGACTCAGAAGGTGGTACAGTAATAGCAATGAGATTAACCGAGGTCTTAGGTAGAATTTGGGAACTGGACGTAATCCCATCTGATTGGTCTCAATCACTGATTGTGCCAGTCTGTAAGAAGGGACAAAAGGTCTCTTGTGACAATCACAGAGGAATCAGTTTGACTAATATAGTGTCTAAAATATTAGCTTCAATAATAGCTCGTGAAGAGCAGACTAAATCTCAGCACGGATACAGAAGGCTCGACTAGCTTTTGCCAACTTGCTTCATTTATGGCGTAGGCGAGATATCCGTCTATCAACCAAAGGACGTGTTTACTGCGCAGCAGTTCGTCCCGTCCTACTTTATGGCAGTGAAACATGGCCGTTAAGAGTAGAGGATATTCGTAGGTTACTAGTATTCGATCATAGGTGTCTTTTAAACATTGCTCGTATATCTTGGGACCAACGAGTAAGTAATGCAGTTGTTAGGAAACGGATACTAGGTAAGGATGGTGAATCAACTGATGAAGTGTTGGAACTTTATCAGTTGAGATGACTGAGACACGTGTTACGTATGCCCAACGACCGACTGCCCCGACGTGCGATGTTCAGTGGTATAGGAGTAGGTTGGAAGAAAGCTAGGGACGGCCAAAATAAAACATGGCACAAGTCCATGAAGTCACTGACAAGTGGACTGAGTCATGTTGGTAGGTGTAGACTACCTGGTTGGGGACCGCGAGATGATAGAGACCGAGGGTTAGAGACCCTGAATGACATGGCTCAAAATCGTTTGCAATGGTGCAGGTGCATCCACTCTTTCTATTCCCCCAAATTCTAATCTTCTGAATTCTTCGTGTCCCTTTTCTCCTCTTTCCAAATTTATTTCACTGGATTATACTCTTTAAATAACATCTCCAAACCCTAATCTTCCCGATTACTGCTTATACTCTTATTACCTCTACCACTACGGGATTTGAATCGACAACTGCATCTCTGTGCTAATGTGGTGTGGCAACTCGAACTGATGTACGAAGTTCTACGTTGTTACTGACTGACTGAGTACAAACAAGCGATTGTATCATCCAAATTTGCCGGATGAAGAAAGCAAATAATGTGAAAGTTAGAACTTGAAATGAAATTCCCAGCGAAAATTATGCTTTTGCATGACTCACTCACCCACTAAACGAATGGAAAATGTTTGATACCGCACACATATTGAGCATTGAATAACTAAGCGTTACAAGTCCACATACACGTATCATATTCCTTCATTGATGGTAATTTTTGCTTAAGTTTCAATGACATTTATTAGCCAAGCTTTGTATATTTTTCATGTCACTTATTCGCATATACTAAATTCATGGTTGATTTTTATCATGACCATCGTGTAAGTTGATTTTTTTACCGGTTCTTTAATATCGTCATATGTGTACGCTTGATTTCCTCTTTTATTTTTCACTAACTGCATCATTTATCTATTTAATTTATAGGCTTTTGTCCATATCATATGGGTCAGTTTACTGTGTTGGGATTCAATTTGGAGCATTTTGTAAGTGAATAATGTTTTCCCTGTTTTGTTGTTAAAGCCAATCACAACTTATTATTGTCAATTATCAACAAATATTTTAATTTATATGTAGATTAATGCAACTCACATGGAAGGATTTAGTACAAGTTTAATTGGTTACATTATTTTCGCTTTTGCTTTGATTCTTATGCATGAAGTATTCGCTATTCTCAATATGCCTCGGTAAGATAAATTTTTTTGTATATATATGCCTTTATTAATTAACTTGCATTGAATTGTTTTTTATTTTCTTAAAAAACTCCTGTCTTATACAGAAGTACTTTACGTTTATACATGTCATACCTATAGACACTAATTGCCAACTATATAAGTGTTACTTGCATATTATTTTTTTCGTCTTACTATAAGATAATATCACCCCCCCCTACTCAAGATTGAAGTCTTTCTCCAAATAAAAAATCCATGCCACTAGTTCTTACTTTGCAACAGAAAACCTATCAATAGCAAATTTGCATGGGAATTTTCAAATTCTTCACCCATCCCTCACCACACTGTCGGACTAGAACCATTGAAAGGAGTGATTGACTCCCTTCGCTCTGTTTTAGGTGGGTTCTTTACGACGGACTAGTTGTAGGAGCTACTACTAATAACAAATGATGGCGTAAGCATGTAGCCAAAATGTCATTCGAATTACTGAATAAGATAAGCTATTCAAACACATCTAACAATCTTTGTTAATCTTATTTCCTGCAATATTTAGATGTTATCATCTTACTCAGGATGAAATTATCCAACTTAATCCACAATAGAATTCAATATCTTAAGTGAAATTTAAAATTTAATCAAAAATTTGTCATCATTAACATTTTTGTGTAATCATCAAAATGCTGTTATAAGTTGTTTTAAAATCAATTTTTGATTCCATCTATTTTCCTATCACTGATAGTGTGTATGATGATCTTTTTTCGGTTATGTGATCCGGTATCTAACATCTTATTAAAAATAACATGATGACGTTGATTCAGATTAGAACGCTGAGTCCTAATTTAATTTGATTTGTCATTAATTTGTGGATGTAAATCTTCACTAACTTGTCAAGTCAGAGAGGGTGCTGACATTATAACTTAAAATAATTCTACGAAGCCAATTTGGATGTTGATTTGGTCACATGTAGGATTAATACCATTTATTTTCTTAAAATCCGTCACTAATCTTTTGATACATTTGTATGTATCAAGTCCAAACAGATGAGATAAGTTCACGTGGTGTGTTAATCAATTCATTTTTCGCCCTAGCTTTAAATGCATAGTATCGGTTTTCATTACATATTCGATTTAAAGACTAGCTGAATCTTGTTAAATACTCGCAGATGACTAACTTTACTAACATAAAGCAAAGTCATGTGTGCACTTGTAAATGTAACACTCACAAATAGGAAAATCTAAGAGCCCTAACATAACGCGATGGCGTTTGAAGCGAACGGTACTGAGTTCGAGTCCCAGAGTGAACATCAACTCTGAGATGCAGGTACATCCAGCTGACGAGTCCCAAACAGGACGAAACGCGCGTCCTGGATTCCACTGCTAGCCACTATCCATCTTTGCTTATAATACAAAGGCTAAATTTTCAAACAAAATTAACATATTTTCCAAGTTCAATTATTAGTTACCTCAAAAATCAAAAACTTATAAAGTAACCGTATAAAAATGATTAATCTTTGTCAGTTAATTAGTTAATCATAAACAATGTATAACTTGAAACAAATGTACATCGTCTTGAATAGTCATACAACTTCAACACGTGAAGATAAATGTAATACCATGATGGTAGAAGTAAGTAGTATCAGCGGTAATAAAGGAAAAGTTAGGAATAGAGAATGTGTAGTTTGAGTAAAAGAAAGTTATTTGTACAATACAATATGTGAAATAATATTCGAAACTTAGGATTTTACGTTGTGGAAAGAATGAATGCATCAACGTCATGCAATCATTTGTAAAGCTTGTCATTTAAATTCAATCCATCCAATCACTAATTAATTGGACCCCATAAATAAAAAAAATTATTTAATCGTGAATCAAAGCATGTAGATGATAATCTTCTTTCGTTCGAAATGACAACAACATTTGATATCTGCTGGTGCTCACTGTCTCTTATTTCGGAAACGGAACTATTTTTAAAAAAAAACCTTTAAGTTTTATTTGGTAACTGAGATTTAATTTCATATCACAGCATTTAATTGCTTAAATCCCTTCGTTACTATCTTACATTATCTGTACTCAATTTAATTTGCTTAGTTCTAAATAATAATGATTACTATTCTCATAGTTACTATTATATGCTTAAAAGTTACTTATTATCATTACTTTTACAAATTATCGTTCGCACAGAGCTTGTTATTGGACTGGTCTTGGTTATATATACATCAAAGTTGCTTTGGTTTCTTTAATGGAATTGGGTATTTTCCCCATTTTGTCTGGATTTTGGATAGATGCTTGTACTTTGGTAAGCATACCTTACTTGTTGTTTATCCATCAACAAATTATTTCACTTATTATTTTTTACCAGTAAATGCTATGGTTGAATTTTGTCGTAGCCTTTAAGCAAATTTAGTGTAATATGGTGTTCAACGAATAAAGAACACAAAGCATTTAAATTATAACTACTGATTTTGCATATTGAGCATAAAGATCCATGTTATTGGAAATGGTTTTTTTTTCAGTTATTGATTTTTGTACTTAAGTTTTTTATGTGTGATTTTGAAATATCGTTTTAAATTCGAATGATTATCGCGATATTTGCAAAATACTTTGACGCGCTTTCCTAGTGTAAAATCTCAGTAGGTTGTTTTGTTATTTTGATTGGCCGTCAATTGTTTTATCATCTTATCAATGATTTGTAACGTTTAGACTCTATTTATATAAACGTTATATTCAAAATGTTATATTTAAAAAACCGAAGTTCGCTAAATCGATTGATGTAATCTATTCACCTAGTACGGACTCTTGTACTTGGCTTTGAGTCGCAATTTTCTCGTGAATGGTTAGCGGTACTATTCAAATGCCCAAACTGAATCAAGTGGATTGGAAACCGAACCCCTGACCTAGTAGTTACAAGTTGAATGCCTCAGCCACTGAGTCACTGGTGCACAAAAAATCCACTAAGGCTGCTGCATTAATTTAGATTAGGGTCATTATCTCATTTGGTTTAAAAAAATAAGCAATATATAAACCATTACAATACCTTATGAGTAGAAATGCATGGTGGATGACAGTGGGATCCAGGACGCGCGTTTCGCCCCTCTTTGGGACTCGTCAGCTGGATGTGCCTGTATCCCAGAGTCGATGTTCGCTCCGGGACTCGAACCTGGTACTGTTCGCTCCAAACTCCATCGCATTATTCACTTAGTCTACTGAGTTTATATAGACACTGGTTTGTGTAATGGCGTAAAATTTAATACTTTTTTATTGGTTGTTTGAATCTTCTTATTGGTGTTTAGGGTTGCAGTTGATCAGTCCCCTTATTACTTTCTGCCTGATTTTAGAGTAAATATTGAAGATCAGTGTAAACTATGATTGAAACAAAACAAATATATGATCTATAGAACATTAATATAGTGTTTAATGAAATTTTAGGCAACAATCGTCAGTACCTTTCGGAGAGCATAGAAGACTAGTCAATTTCGACAGCTTTTTCAGGATTTTTTATGTTGCAAACTTTCTTGATGGACTCTAAATGCTATAGGAAGTGAAAGCAATATCTACTCAATGATCATAAATTTTAATTTGTTTAAAGAATAAAAGTAATCGAAAAGGCAACAATCTTAGTAGGCTAGTTTAAAAGTATCGAACTGACTAAATTTAATACTTTAATAGTTGAACTAGCGTAGAAAAAGACGGATTAGTATGTGACTCTCACATACACTTATGTATGACGTTCTTCTATATTTTGTCTAACTGCCGACCCACAAATAAAGTTAATGAAGGGAAAAGTACAGCTCTTCCAAGAACAGCTCAACTAGTCTCCAGCTACTTTTCAGTTATGAATCTACAAACAGACAAAAATAGGCGAGTTAACATTAAACCTTTATCCCTTTGTGAAGTTTAGATGGTTATAACTAACTAGAATTTCGTGAGATTTTACTTAAAACAGCCAATTATGTTAGGCTTTCCCTAAGAGACACAAGACTTAATTGGATTGACTAAAGTGTCGGTTGTTATTTAAGGAATAGGATGCATCACATCGTGCTGTTCCGACTGTAGTGATAAGTTGAAGATACTTAGATTAGTTGTATTTCTCATACTTTAAAAATTAAATATTTAAGCACATTTTTTTGTATTCATTCATATAGTCTCTATTCAATGCGACGTTAACTCAACGAGCTAGTGTATTTCATTATGCACCAGTTGCTTTTACCTTTATTCATTGGGCGATTGGAATGTTGTACATATTTTATATGGCGTCTTTGCTTGTACTGGGTCGAAGTGTACTACGTCCTGGAGTTCTACGCTTCATATATCATTTTAATGATCCTGATTATAAGCCTATTCAAGATGTAAGCAAATATTTCATTGTATCGTATTGTCAAATAACCGTTATTACATTTGTTGTTATTTCTTTGTTTTACTTGCTACTGGTTTCGTTTCATACTTACGTACATACTCATGAACCATTGGTTCTAAATCCAAAGAAGCTCCTTTCGTTTACAGTTCAGTATGTAAAAACTGACTGCATTCTGTGCAAAAATATGTGTTTAAGTTATGCTTAGCCCTTCTTCGGTGATGATAAATTGTATACTTAAAGCAGTGAATTTGAATAGACTGTAAATATTTTATTATTATTATCATTAATAATATTATTACTTTTATGATTATCAATATTAATGGATTTATCCCATATCATATTTTCGGTACAATATAGAATTCTCAGAACAAAGTATTTCAACAAGCTTATTTTTCAAAACAAAACAGAAAACGATAATTGTCAGACAGGTCGATTGAAGAGCGGTAAGACTAAAAGCAACAAACCCAAGGTCCGAAGGCGAAGTCGTACTGCTGACTGTACAGAGGTGTGACAACCGTTAGGTGTTTCCTTCAGACAACCAGCATGAAAGCGATGCTGCCTTCCCACAAGGAGGGTTGAGGTTTGAAAAGGTCGACCCTTAAAATGCACACCTCGCCTTATCCCACGGATATCCGTCTCCGACGGTAAAGTCTCAACAAGTGCGGAGCTAACACAAAAATTACCCATAACAAGGTCGTGTGTGACCGACCTCAAGCAGTTGTCCCTTAGGCACTGCGGTCACGCTCTCAGGTCACTAAGACCACCTTTAACCCAATTTCCTTTTCAGGTACCTCCAGAAGAACCCTTCCACGGTGTGGGCAACCGGGAAGTGATAACCGCCCTCATACCTCTAACAACACTCAAGACCACTGTATTCTTAATCAACCTCCCTTTTCAATTCCTATTATTCCTCCTACATCGACTTTCAACTTTAAATTTCCTCTCCCGGCTTCCACCTCAAGTGTCACCATAGCCAACGATTCTTGTGCGCAAAACACTATCCCAGGTCTACTGAAACCTCGCTCCAAACTACACATTGGAGCCTTCAACGTACGAACCCTATGTCAAATCGGTCAGCAGGCTTCCTTGGCTAAAACCCTAGAGTCTCTTACCATTGACGTGCAATGCTAACCGGTGTAGGGGATGGTTCTAAAAAAGTTAGGGGCGGCCAAACCAAAACGTGGCATCAGTGCCTGAAGTCACTAACTTCTAGTCTGAGCCATGTTGGTAGATGCAGACTACTTGGTTGGGGTCCGCGTGACTATCGTAACCAATGGTTGGAGACTCTTGGTGACATGGCTCAGAATCGATCACAATGGCGTCGGTGTATACACTCCCTGTCTTCCCTTAAACTAAGAGATTAAAATCACTTCATATCTTTCTTTCTACGAACTAATTCTTTCTTCCTATACTATATCCTTATTGCAATCTTTCTCCTATATATTACCACCTTTGACCTAACCACTGCTGTGAATCCGCTGTTCATCTTGCTGTGCTAATGAGGTATGGCAACCTGGACTGATGCACATATGGGCCTGGTCCTACGTTGTAGCTGACTGACTGATATTCATAAATTTAGTTAATGAAGTACCTGGGGTTAAATGAACTTTTTTTTAGATTTGAATCTATTCAACTTTTTAATTGGAAACATGTTTAAGAATACAAGTTATTGATTAGCTCAGCTCTAACGACCTGTTTCTCACACGATATATTTGCTAGATAAGCTATCACAGAGCTCTTATATCTTTGCTTGCGTACATGGATTCTAATGTATTGATGTTTCGTTCTACCAGAAGATATATGAGGAGAAAGATATGAATGAACTGGATGGTTAGTATATGATAGGATGACATCTGCCAGATTTCAGACATCTATCTACAAGTAGTACAGGCTAATGGGATTCCATCAGCTTGTTTAGATGCTGTTCATATTTGTCTAAAGTTAACGGTGACATTTAGGAGGATTAAGTGTGAGGCCATTAACAACAGACCATCGTTCAATAAGAGGCATGTCAAGGGGATGTAAACAGGTAGAAATCGACATACATACAATGAGATCGTCCACATGTTTAAAAAAAGCGTTTTTTGTGGAAGATGGCAAATCATGCACAAAAAAAGGGAAGAGAACAGCTTCTTGTGGCATACCTTCATGGTTCAATAGAGACTTTGAACTCTCCTCCGAATACAGTTTACTGTTCTCTTCCAGAGAGGTTGTAACACGGCCAGTTGATTATCCAGCTGTCGATGTTGACTCTGCCTAACATGTAAAGTAGAAGTTGTTTTGGAATAGAATCAAAGGCAAAAGTATAATCTAGAAAAGCGCATCAGGCATACTTCTACACTTCTCCAAACTGAACACTATATTATGATACAGAGTAACAACAGCATCTAAGGTGCTTGTTGTACATTTGTAAGCAAACTGATACGAATCAATGTGCTTTTTTAGTGCAGGTTCAATTGGGAGTAACAATAGTTTTTGCATTAGTTTTGAGAAAAAGTGAAATTATTGCTATAGGTCTAGATTTTACATCCTTATCGCTAGATACTTAGGTATTGGTTTCGTCTTTATTTGCTCCACATTTTCTGTATGAGATTGGTTGATAAGGATTTGTCAAATATACTCATGAACATCAACACAATTCTTAAAAATGTGGTTTGGGATTTCATCAATTCTTAAACATTTGGAGAGTTAAGTGGCTGGAGAAATTTGCGGACATCACTTAGGGTGAAAATCGGGACATAAATATTCTTCAAACCTTTGTATATAATAAGTATGATATCAGATGATTGACGTACAAAAGACTTATTAGAGTCACAAACATTCAACTGGTCATTGCTTCTAATGTGCCTCTCATCTGTAAGTTCTTTAAATAGTTTCTTCATACTTGAGTTTTTACAAGATAGGAGTTTCTGAGTAAATACAGAATCCAGACATTTCATCTCTAGGTTTATTAAACTAGCTCTCAAAATTCAATTCTATCTTTTACCCGCTATAATCGTTTCAGTTATGGAGATGTATGTCTATGAAAAATTACACAAATATTTTGAGTAGGACAATATATATCAAGACGGAATTTAAGATAACAAGTAATAACATGAATGAGTCATCTGTAAATAATCCCCAGTTAGTCGTACGAAAAATAATTTTCAGATCTTGAATTTTTTTATTTCTGAGTAATTCTTGTATTTGATTTTCTTTGTCTTATGTGAGAGCTTACTATTTCTAAGCTTGTCATATAAGTAATGGGGCACGTTTACGGGTCACATATTTACCCACATCATCAATGGGCATCCAAAGGAGTGGGAAAGTCTACTTCATTTTAGTGAACTAGCGATAATAGAAATTATGATAATTTTAAGTATTCGAATTATTACCTAACTAGGAATTCCCAATTTAGTACAATTTACAGCAAGTTAAACTAGATGAGCACAAACGAACATATTGTGTTTGGAATTCGAAATCAGCTGGCAATTAAGTACAAAAGAATCATTATTTCGCACAAATACCACAAATATACACTACACAAACACTTTGGATAGGAAGGATGATCGGGTTTGTTCATACACTGTTTTTGAACTCATCGGAATATGACTGACATCTTCACGAGAGCTTAATTTAATGTCAACTATACGGGAATTCGCTCGACCTTGTGGATGCAGTATGGTCGTCCGTAATATGAATAATAGTAGTTCAGATGACCCATGTTAATCCTGGGTGTATGCTTACCAGTGAAGCTCCAGTTTTTGTGGTAAACATCTTCATATCCGTGTATGTTTTCTAACTTTGGTTCGAGTGGAGATTGTTATTGTTACTCTGATCAAAGCACATCTGGATGTGTCCAAAGCTATGGGAGTATTTTTCAAGAGTGTTTCGCAACTTAGTGGCATCAACTACACTATCTTGGCAGTTTCCGTCCAGGTGAGAAAGTCCATCTGCCACTGTAGTTACCCGCGCAATTTCGATCAAGGGAGTGAATGTTTCCACATTTTAAGATGTTTGACTTCTTTTGCGGTTATCGTACCAGATGCTTACATTCAAACTCATGTTGAACGCCTTCAGCGATATTTGTTTTTTTGAAATACATTTTTGCACGTTTGTCACCTTAGCTTTGAGTAGTTGAATGTTTTCTGATGCATATCTCTACAGATACACGTGCATTGGCATTTACTATTTTTCCGTTGTTTTCATAGAGTTGTTACTTCGACTGCTACTAATTGAAGTAACCGTTTTGGTAAATTACCATAGGTACTGTAGTAGCGGTTCTGTTACTTGAGTTATTGTGCGCGTACAAAAAGACTCGTTTTCTCGTTGTATACCGATCATACTGGTTAAACTGGTCGTACAAAGTTATCGATGTAGTCGACCATTGTGTCTCTTTCCTGATGAAGATTATATGCATTGTGACAGCTGTAATAGATGGTTCTGTAAAGTGTGTACCGATCTATCATCGGTCGCGTATAAGCGTCGCTGCAAACCAGATTTACTCACCCTGGTTATGTAGAGAAAATTGTCTAACCAAAGCGATTCTCGTAGATGCCTGTCAATGTGATGATTTTGACAAATTTCAGCAAAGCAGCTTTGAAATAACAGGTACCATACGAGAATGGATGATAAATTTCCTCTGTGACCGGAGACAAGAAGTAAGGGTGTATAAGACACAATCTGAATGAAAACCCTCTAAAAGTGGTGTATCTGAAAGCACCATATCAGATCGCCTACTTTCTCTTCCCTACGTTAATGAATTGCAAAGTCTGATCTGAACGTCGACCCTTGTTTGCAGTCGATATCAAAGACTAGCGAAGAAATCATAGTGAGGTTAATAATCCTTATCAAATGTCATTACAGATGCCATGTCTTTTACCCTTCTCATTGTGTCGGTAAGATTTTCAACTGCACATAGAAGAAAATAGTATAGTGTGTAACAGCCCCTCTACTTGCCGCTTTACGACTAAGAAACACTCCTTTTAGCAATGAAAGATTAGGGTATATATATATTGCGAAAATTAAAAAAATTCACGCCAATCTGTAGCCATAATCAATCTGTTACAAAAGAAGGACAACGCTAAAGAAGGTGCATTATTTGTAAAGATGTGATTTACAGTTTACTAAATCCGATGACATTTTTGGGTTACAGTGTTGCTTTTAGCATGAAAATCGTTGTAACCTTCATTCTCTCAAGCATACAGTTGTCTTTGATGAATAGTGGTGTATGAAAAGCAAGAAATACACTAAATAATAAGTAGCATAGTTACAATATCACAAGCATCCCAAAATCCACATCCACACTGAGAAAGGTACATTAAATAATTTTAATCCACTGTCCAAGAATTAGGCATAACAATCATAACTTAATTGATTGAATAGTTAGTGACTTACAAATTAATTTCCTCCAACCCTATAAAACACGTTTATTTTACGACAATATTTTATAGTTAAGCATGTCGTTTTATGAGTTAGAAAAACTGCTCTCTGGTTAATACTTTTGTCTTCAGCTTGAAATCATTCACGGGTTCGCATTCAAGTATACGATCTCGTGACCGGCCACTACTAGTCTACACTTCATATTATTGCATATCATCTATCGATCAGCATTCCCTTTTTCATTTTGACAATATAAAATTTCGTTCATTAAATTGTTAAAATCCTCCAATAATAAGTTCATTTGTTATTGGTACACTTTATTGTCACAAAACACTTGATTTTACGGCATTAACTGAACTATATTGTTACTGTTGTGGCCTGTAGTTTGTCGAGGAATTGTAAAATAAATTTTATTTGTTGACAATAATCAATTTAATTAAGTTCGTATAAACTGAAGTGACGTAGTCTGTTGTCACACTATATTAAAATATACATATACGTTCAAATTTATCCTTGTACAAATACCTACTGTCTTGTTTCTTTCATTTGTTTATCTCAAAAACTTATTATTATTATTATTATTATTATTATTATTATTATTATTATTATTGCTATTATTATTATTATTATTATTGACAACGGATTACAGCATATTTTTATTTATTTTGTTTTGCTTGCAGATGATACTTCAACCATTACCACTATACATACAACGTTTAATTGCTACTTATGTAAGTGCTGAACACTTCTCCACTGTGAAATTATGTAATATCTATGGTCGTACTACTTATACTTAAGGTTGAACACCATTGTAATTTCTATGACTACAAACTGACAACATTAGTTGCCACATATATATATATATATATTTTTTTTTGTTTTAAATTATATAGTCAGTTTGGGGTATATTAATTGTACTTATGCTATGGTTACCTACAGAAGTTATTCGGCGTTTCTTTCCTAAATTCTTGCCATTTCGTATTAATGCAGCTTAGTAAGTTTTGGAAAAAGCAGTAACTGTGCACAGTAATTTACTCTATGTATTGTGTATGTGATTATAAATATTTTAGAAAAAAATCGAAACTCTGGTCTTTATATTCCAATTGTTTTTAAATTGGAACAGTGGTGTTTAGTGGTTAGAGAGTTCACGTTTCAACCATCAGTTGTAAGTTCGTGCCCTTTCTAATTTCATTTCCTTTTGGTAGCCTTTTTACTAGTTAATATACAGAACAGGTCGCAAATTTGAGTCTCACTCAACGTACTTCGCTTTACTCAGTTGGATATCATCACTGGTTCACAGAGAAATACACAAATCCGTACATCATAGATGATTTATTTCATTAACACTTCCACCAGAGACATAATTGCTGACCCTCAGGGATTTTCATCGATCGTTTAGTCTTCAGATCAATGAGTTGGCATCCAAAGGTTTATATTTCTGATTCTGATTGTATTGCAATATTGCACAGATATCTTCCAGTACTATTAATGGGCACCTGCCTCACACTTAAATCAGTTGAGCTCCATTAGCCATAGCTTTTCACTAGAACTTGGAGATTACCTCTGAAAATATGTCATGACATAACTGTTTTGTGTAAGAATTCTGTTGAACTTCATAGTTTACATCGTGGACCCACCTTAGTCAACCATTGAAAACCAGAAGACACTAGAAGGCTTTTCCATCCTATTATGGGACTGCTCAGTAGTCCTTATCTACCACCTCACTGAGGATCTGGATCACCATCTTCAGTTCTCACACGAGCGCCTAACCTTTAGGTAGATCGACCAGAGTTAAATATGTGAACTATAGACTGTTCTCCGCAATGGTCCTGAATTTAGGCAGTCTCTGCATTATCTGGAGTTCCTGTGTACGATCTACTGTGGAGTCGCAGATGGATGCTGCTGAGTAGTTCAAAGCTAAAACAGCAACTGTCCAAGTGTAGTGGACGCTACTCACTTGTAGGTAGTATATAGTAGTCATCAAGCGGAGTGAAGAGTTTCTGTACATCGAAAGCTCAACGTAGGCACAACACTTGATGACCAAACGAGAAGATAGTTTGGATTTCAGAACACAGCAAGATTCTAATTGATGATCAAAGACTATGTATATGAATTATATAAACACTTTTTAATTTCCAATGGTCAATTCTTTTCCCCTTTGTCCTGTTCCACACCAGTACTTCCTGGTTCAGAATGGTTGTCTTACCAAAATCATTTCGTGATGTAATTATTTCCCATCAAACCCTTACGGTAAGAAATTATCTGAGAATGCCTAATAAAGAAATTGAAAGATTCATATAAACCTGTAAAACAAAAATTTGCTTTTTTTGAAGAGCTTTAATACCTTAAATATTTTATAAGTATCAAGATTAAAAAATAACTAGTGAGTGCATAAAAAAGACACATTAAGTAACATATAGTTTACCTCTGAAATTAGGGTATAGGTGAATTATACATAGCTTATTGAAAATAAATATTGTCATATTTCTGTTATTACATGAGTTCTCTGAATTTTGAAGTTTACCAAACGTAGGTCACCTAACAAAACAGTTGAATTTACTTATAAGAAATGTTTAATTTTTTTCAAATTTTCCCTGTAATGGTTTAGATTACCCGATTGTTCGATGCCGGAGTCAACACCAACCCTAGGATGCAGGTACATCCAGCTTACAAGTCTTAAATAGGAAAAAAGGCACATCCTGAATTTCACTGCTAGCCGCATTCCATTTATTCTGTTTAATTTCTTTGTTAGGCTGATTCATTATTATTATTAAATTTTTATCTTTTTGATATATTCATGTTTTTCTTTGTATGCTTTTATTCAAGTGACAGTCCATTGGATTATTCATTGGAAATGATACTATTACAAGTTGTTCTACCATTCTTATTGGATAATCACGCTAAAACAACTCTTCGTCAGATTTTACGTTGGTGGTGTATATGTGTATCATGGTTGCTTGGTTTACGTAGTTACTTGCTCGGTGATATTCCATTTTCACCAGGGGTTAGTTAATTTTCATTATTCTTTTTATTTAAATGTTTGTATAAAAGAAAATGTACGCGTAGGCTTTTAATGTGCCACCAACCAAATAAAATGATCACAGATAACAAAATAAATACTAGGCAGTGAAGTGATAAATGGCTACAGTGGTAGTATGTTTTACATTCTAAGGGTCGTAAATTATGGGTATTAGTCAATGCTGCTGGTCATAAGTTTTGTTTATTTCTCTTTCTAAGCATGTTAGAGTCAAATGATTCTAATTCTGTTGGTTGAACTCATTCTATGGATCCATAACGTAAACTGATATTTTGAGAATAACAGTTGAGGTATTGAATACTAGATTAAAATGTCCCGCTATTTGGTAAATATCACTGTGTGAGAATCCATTGTCCCAATTATTAACATTGTCAGGAATGCCTTGGAAATTTTAGAGTTTTTCTCCATTTCTAAAATATAGTCTTGTGTCGTTTTTTAACCACTAGTCTGTGCTTGATGTATAGGAAAGGAGAGAGTTGTCTTGATCTAGGTTATGGCCTTGACGTGATAGTTTGCCTCATAATATCTTGAGACTTGTAACATGTGAGTTCGATTTGTATTTGATTGAGATTGAGGGCACAGTAGAGAAACTTTGCTACTAGTAACGTATGAGTTGACTGGTTGGCAAGAAGAGAAAAAAGACTACTTAGCTGGAACTTCCTCTCCGACTTATTCTTGATTCGATTAATTCAAAATAGGTATATGAATAAATACATAACTGACAGGACTAAAACTCACAATGAATGAGAAAAATACAATTCTATCCAAACTATTGTATTAGAAGTAAAAAAGAACACAAAGATCACGTCTAAATTACTGCAATTTTGGAATAAAAAGGAAAATAACGGTAATTTATGCATTACATGAAAGCATGTGAATCATAAAATACAACAAACATCTAATACTTTACATTTAATACTTTACAGATTCGAAATTCAGCCACACAATATCAAAAAAATGTCCGTTGTTTGTAATCACCTCTTTATTCCTCTCTTCAAAATAAATTGAATCGCTACTTTTTTCATAACAAAAGTTAACCAATATTTAACATAAGATGTCTTTTTAAGTATCCAAAAAACCCGTCAGCAATCCATCATCTCATCAAAGTGCATGCGATGTTCAATTATCTAGATTAACGGTTACATTACAGTTTAATCGATAGAATTCGATCAATATTATATATATATCCTACGTAAGACTAATCGTATACTGTTCACTTCGTATTCCTGCTGGAAACAATTAGTGTCTTTGTTGCTGCTATGGAATATCGTGTACTTTAAGAACCAACATTTTCAAAAACTGATAACATAGGTTTGGGACCGTAAACAAATCAGTTAAAAATTAAACGATCAAATAATATATTATATTCTAACGAAAAATAAATAAAGGGTAACTACCAGGAACTATTTATGGACTATTAATATATATCCTTATTGTATGACTATTAATCAATTAGATTATTACTTACTTACGGCTGTGACCCCTTGTGGAGTAGCGCAGGTCGCCCAACGGAACTCTCCATCAAACTCTGTCCTGGAAAATCCTTTCCAGTAGTTTCCAGTTGCTACTCGTCCTTTTGATATCTGCTTCTAACTCCCGACGCAGTGTGTTCTTTAGTCTTCCTCTTATCCGTTTCCCTTTAGGATTCCAAGTTAGCACTTGTTTCGTGATTCAGTTTGATGATTTTCGCAACATATGTTCTATCCACTTCCATCATTCCTTAACTTCCTCTTCAGCTAGAAGCTGGTTTTTCCTCTCCCACAGTAGGCTGTTGTTGATGGTATCCAGCCAACGGACATTGAGTATCTTGCGTAGACAATTGTTTATGACTACCTGTACTTTCTTGACGATGGTTGCAGTAGTTCTCCAAGTTTCAGCTTCGTACAGTAGAACTGTCTCGATATTCGTGTTGAGGATTCTGATTTGTATGTTGGTCGACAGTTGTTTTGAGATCGGGATCTTTTTCAACTGTAGGAATGTCGCTCTCCCTTTGCCAAGCCTCACCTTTACATCTGCATCGGATCCTCCTTGTTTACAGATGATGCTGTGCACCTGTTCCAGAGCTCCTTCATCAAGTATGATTGGTTTGGTGTTCTCTGTGTTGATTTTCAATATCTTGCTTTTCCCCTTGTGTATGTTGAGGCCTACTGATGCAGAGGCTTCTGCTACACTGTCTGTCTCCACCTGAATTTGTTCGTGTGTATGAGATAGAAGAGCTATGTCCATGGATTTTAACGGTTTAAATGATTTTTCTGGTTTGTGTTTTTTGGTAAGATTGTTTTCTATGGGATATGGTTGCTGACTCCATGCTCAACTTTCCTCCTTTCTCTGGGCAGTAACCCCCGAAGGAATACAGGCGGCGATAACTATATTACATATATTTTTATTTCTCTTATTATCTGCTTCCATTTAAATTATTGGCTGTTTTTATACGAATTACTATTCCTGACTTATTTTCAAATTATCAGTTAGTCTTCCACATTCACAGCAACTTTTGGCATGATTTTTTTACAACCGTTATTTGCTGCTATATGGTACGATGCAGGCTGATTTGTCTGTTTATGAACTCCATATGTCTGAAGTACATGATTCATACAGTGTAACCTGAAGTTGTGTTCTTGACACAACGGACATTGCAAATCGAGTAGGACCAATAAGGACTCAGGTTTGACTATAGGTTGCTCGTTATGGGTAACGCGTCATTGAATTCGGTGTTTATTTTGTTGTGCTAATGAGGTATGGCAACTTGGACCGATGCACATATGTGCCTGGTCCTACGTTGTACCTGACTGGCTGACTGGGCCAAGATCGTATAAGTCAATGTTCTGATTAGCGGTCTAGTTACGTGATATATTGACAGGTCATAAAAACATAACATAATAGTATTTTGAAATCATCAATATTTGTATCTTGAACATTTTCCTCTCTTTCTGTTGTTGAATTTTATGTCTTGTCCCTGTTCATTTTCATTATTATTGTTATGATTTATTATTATCACCTTCATGTTACAACCTGAACATATGTTGTTTAATAATAGTTATATTCTTAATTCCATTTGTTCTTTGCTGATTGTCCGATTTCTTGTTTAATCGTATTGTCATCCTTATTTAAGTACACTCGTCTTTTGAGATAAATTATTCTTATATCGAAGGCTTCTGGTACTACTAGTTGGTTAATTAAACCCGGGGATTAAAACAATTCCTATGGTGTAAATTAGAACTCATGTATATATAAGCGAATAATATTGTCTTAAATTAAATTTTCACGCTGTTCTCTTATGTACAGTCATGTATTTGTATCTATGGAAAATATTAAACCAGCCAAAGCAGTTTCTGACTCAGTCACAGCAATGAAAAGATACGATTACACAACTAAACATAAGTACAAAAATAACACAAGTTTATATTAAAATAAAAATTGTACTACCAGATGTGATAAAAATAATCACAACTTAAATCAGTAATTCAACATAGAAAGTGGATGAATACTTGGAAAATAAAGATATTAAAATAGCGGCCATTAAAAATTATTAAAATTAGTCAATAAGAAGTTTTAAAATATTGAAATAATGAAGAATGTATACGAACAAGGGTGAGGAGAAACAAATAAGCCTAGAATATAGTAAATAATATTTAATAAAATCGCTTATTAAGCTTTGTGCCGTCAAGGTTGAAGCGACAGAGTTGTTAGAAAAATTTTCTAAACACATAAACTAAAGCTGTAGACACAGACCCTTATAACATCTGCTGTATGTAGCAGACTAGAATGAACCATGTTGAGGAACAACAAAAATATATTATAAATTACTCATGATAATTTATTTTTATATAGTATTCGATTATTGTCGGTCAAATATAAAATGACCCTACTTATTGTGTATATGATTCTATCCAAACCACATAATGAAATGTTTACTTATCTCTATTGCTTAAGTCGCGTTGGCAAGCTTTTTCCACAGGAGCATACGAATTCGTACATACATACCGAAAAATCAAAATCAAGGTATTTATTCTTTGTTAGAGTAATTACCGCCGATGATCTATAAAGAAATATTGTTCATATCGACATGTTAGTCATGAAAATGTAATGATCGTTTTAAATTAATTGGATGGGGTAAAGTAATCTACCATAAATTATTTATTAGATACCAGCATATCACTTGTTACCTTAAATTCTGTTTTGATATTTGTTGTCCCACCGAAACCATTTTTGTAAGTTTTGATCGACTTACATCTTCACAACTAAAACGACTACGAAGGATAAAAGAAAGCATGTACAAGGAGAAGAACTCTAATGAAGTTCGTAAGCTAAATGGTCTGATAAACCTAGAGATTAGACGTCTCAACTGTATGTTTACTCAAAAGCTCTTATCTTGCAAAAACTCTCCAAGTATGTGGAAATTCTTTAAAGAACTTACAGGTGACAGAAAGTTTAGAATCGATAACCAGCTGAATGTTTGTGACTTAAATAAGTCTTTTGTACGTCAGTCATGTGATGTGATGCTCCCTCTATCCACGGGTTTAAAAACTAGCTGTGTTCCTACTTTCACTGAAGCTGATGTACGAGGATGTCTCCAGTCGCTTAATTCATCTCGATGTTTGGGACCCGATGGTATCCCAAACATCCTTTTTAAAAAATGTACTGACGTTCTGTGTCATCCGTTCACAACTATATTTAACAGATCCTTCTCATCTTATCTCATACCGAAAATGTGGAGAAAGATGAAGATAATTCCTGTACCCAAGAAAGCATTTGGTGATAAGAATGTAAAATTTAGACCTATTGCAATAACTTCACCCTTCCTCAAAACCATGGAAAAATTATTAATTCTTCCACTTCAGCCTGCGATAAAAGAGCATACTGACCCATACCAGTTTGCATACAGGCGCAAAAGTAGCACTTTAGATGCTGTTGCAGTTCAGCATCACAACATAATGTTCAACTTAGAAAAGGGTAAGAAGTATGTTCGATGTACTTTTCTGGACTATACTTCAGCTTTTGACTCTATACCAAGACAACGTTTACTTAACAAGTTAATCAGCGTCAACACTGACAGCTGGCTAACCAACTGGCTATGTTCCTACCTCTCTGGAAGGGAACAATACACTGTGTATGGAGGAAAGAGTTCAGAGTCTCTACTGTCTCATGAAGGTGTACCACAAGGAGATGTTCTTTCACCTCTTCTATTCTCTTTTTTTCTGCATGACCTGCCATCTTTCACAGAAAACACTTTTGTGAAGTATGCGGATGATCTCACTGTATGTATGCCTATCACTTCCTCTTTACATCCCATAGAAATGAATGAGTTTTTGTCTCGTATTGATTGTTGGTCTGTTGGTAATGGTCTCATACTTAATCCGTCTAAATGTCAAGCTGTTAACTTTAGCACGAGACATAAACGGAATATAAACACTATTTTGAGATCCCATAGTGCTTGTACCATCGGAGACTCTTTGATAAACTCAGTGTCTAAGGTCAATTATCTTGGTGTCACCTTTTCCTCTGATCTCTCTTGGTCTTCCCACGTTTTATCGTTATTGAAGAAGGTTTTCCGTCTGACCTATTACATAAAAAGATTTCATGCTCTTGGAATTACTCGTCATTTACTCTTACAATTTGTCAATTCTTGCATACTACCTATTATTCTTTACTGTTCTCCATTATTCTTTCCCGGGCTTTTGAGAAAAGACTTTGCTGTATTGCGAAGAGTGCTGAAGGCAGTTAGCAAGGTGTGTGGTGAATCTTTCGAGGTAATAATTAATTTGGTTATGGATAGACATTTAAAATCATGCAAACTCCTGGCAGGTGTCATTTTATCAGATACTAGCCATCCCCTTCATTCTTATCTTTCTCCTTGTATATCTTCTGGTAGAACGAGACGTAATTACATTAAAATCCATGCACGCAAGGAAAAGTACAAATGTTCTATAATACCTTATCTAGCAAATATACTCTGTGACGAACAGGTTGTTAGAGTTAATCTAGCCAATAACCTGCATTCTTAACATGACTTTAATTTTAAATGTTGTACTGTTTTTCAGGTAATTTTTTTTAAAACTTTTTTTTGTCTTTGTTACTATTTTTGTTTGCATAAGTAATTTTTTGAACTTCCCTGTGCTGAGAATTCTATATTGTACCAAAATATAATATTGAATAAAGCCATTAATAATAATAATAATAATAATAATAATTGCATTTTGCCATATTCTTATTATACGATTGATGTATGCTGTTTTTAACATCTCATTAATTTTGACGTTTAACAAAAATTCATTACAATCAATTAAAAATTTATTTATATCGTGAATTCATTGTGTAATCAGCATGAGTAACCTTTTCTTGTAGCAGCTTTACTTAATGTTTATTGGTTTAGGATTTTATTGTTACTGAAAATGGAACTGAAGTACCATACAAACGACGTCGAGATTCTCATAATCAAACATCTAATTTAAATAGTCATTCGGGATTCATGTCTGTAGAATCGTCTCAACGGACATTGACTAATGAACCAGACGATATTTCGACAGATTTGTATGCTCCAAACTTATCATCGCCGTCATCATCTTATGGACAGATTACTTCAATAAATAATCGATTTCGTGAACAATCCCAACCTGAAAATAATGAACAAGATAACGTTAATCATGCAAACGCTGATTATGATAACGATGATGATACAGACTTTACTCGTTATGTTCCATATAAACGAGGCAATTTCTTCAAATTACGAATTACTGGCTTAATTCTAATCTTAATTACTAGTTTGATATCTTTAAGTTTAACTGTACTAATTGTACCAGTTGGTATTGGACGTTTATTATTGTTGAATTTAAGCGGAACTGGTTCTACATCAAAGCATGATGCTATCGCTTTAGTTGGTGGATTCACTGTTTTGGGAATAATTCTCCGTCTAGCTCCTTGGTAAGTTCTCTTCTCTGAGCATACCACTAAATATAGGGTTCACGATTCAATACTTATTTTGGTTTTTTTTAGCATAATGCTTGTATAATGATTGCCTAAATATGAGTATAAACTGACTATTTGATTTTAGTGTTATCAATATCTAACATTATAGTGTTTACCTGAGATTAGACGCAGAGTATGAGGTTAGTGTGAGAAATCATTTGAAAAGATAGTAAATCTTTATCAACTAAGATAGTTAAGACATCTTATGCGTCTATCCACTGACTACCTCGATGCACTTTGCTGGCTACTGTATGTGTAAGTTAAAAGGAAGCTAAACCAAAGCATGGTATCAGTTCACGAAGACATTAGCTATTGGATAGGCCTAGACTACCTGGTTGCGACCAGCAAGATTATCATAACCAATGGTTAAAGACTCGTTGAAGTAGCTCAATATCGTTCTCGATGGCTCAAATGCATGCACTCTTTAGCTTCCTTTTATTCCTGAGTTTATAAATTCATCTAGTTTTGTTTTATTACCATTGTTAGTGTTATTACTTCTACTATTTTGAAATTTGCCCTGGACGATGTCACTTCATTGTGCGAATGTTTTGCGGACATTTGAACAGATGTACACATGTGTCAGCTTCTATGTTGCATTTAACTAACTGTATCATCCAATTAAAAAAACTGAAATGATTTACAAAAGGATTTTTTTCTCATTGTTTTCGATTTCAAAAGAAAAGTTTTAGTTCAGCAGTTATTAACTTGGTGATTATTGTCGTTTTAAAACTCCGATAGTTTGACTGGGAAATTCAGTTTCCCACTAAAAAGGTAACTTGTTAGACCTTTTATCCACCAATGGAGTCACTGAATATATATATATATATATATATATATATATATATATAACTTATGCCAAATCGTCTGGCTGCATCCAAGCTGTCTATTGTATTCCATGCTTACCCCAGATATAGAGGTCTTCATAATCCAGTCGACCACTAGAAGAAAGAGAAAGCGGAGACTAAGCATCTTGTTTGACTCCGGTCTTCACTTGTAATATAGCTGTACTGTACTTTGAACAAATATCTGACCAATCATTTGAAATTTCCATGAATCGTGGAAATGATATTAATATTTTATTCATATAAACACACTGAGTGTCACTTGAATCACTTACTTCCTTACGCCTGTTACTCTCAATGAAGAATAAGCCGCTGACCAGCATCCCCAACCCATTTTGTCATTGGCCTTCCTTTCTAGTCCTATCCAATTTTTGTTCATACTTCTCATGTCTGTCTCCACTTCTCGGCGTAACGCGTCCTTTTGTCTTCCTCTTTTGCTTTGGCCTTGAGGATTCCAGGTTAGGCCTTGCCTTGTGATGTAGTTGGACGCTTTACTAAATGTGTGTCCTATCCACTTCCTGATTTCTTCCTCCGCTGAGATCATGTTTGTTGTCTCTAACGTCAGGTTGTTGTTGATAGTGTCTAGCCAACGGATCCGTAGTATTTAGCCTAGACAACTGTTAATAAACACTTGTATCTTCTGGATGATTATTTTCGTAGTTCTTCAAGTTTCCGCCCCCATACAGTAGAACTGTCGTGACATTTGTGTTGAAAATCCTTACCTTAGTGTTGGTTGACAGTTGTTTCGAGTTCCAGATGTTCTTCAGTTTTAGATATGCTGTTCCTGCTCTGCCGACCAGCCCCTTCACATCTGTATCAGATGCACCGTGTCCATCAATGATACTGCCCCGGATATGTAAAGGTCTTTACATATTCCAAAGCTTCTCCGTCAAGTGTGATTTAATTAATGCATGCTGTATTGTATCGGAGAATCTTGATTTTCCCATTGTGTATTTTGACGTTTCAATGATCCAGTCGACCACCAGGAGAGAGAGGAAGGGTGAGAGTAAGCAACTTTGCCTGAAACCGGTCTCTACTTCGAACGAGTCTGTTAGCTGTCCTCCAGGCATGATTTTGCAGTTTGATCCATCATAGGAATTCCGCATGATATTGACTATTTTCTCAAGCACTCCATAGTGTTGTTCTGTCCACGCTATCAAATGCTTTCTCGTAGTCAATGGAGTTGACGTAGAGTAATGGGTTCCATTCAATTGATTGTTCCACAATGACCCGTAGTGTTGGGATTTGGTCTGTACATGATCGGTATTCACGGAATTCAGTCTGTTGGTCTCAAAGTTGGTAGTCTACGGAGTCCTTCATTCTGTCTAAGAAGAGCGATGCTTCTGTAGTTTTTATTTGTTTATTTATTTGAACACATAAATATTGGTACAAGAGAGCGCCAATATATATGCGCCACACACACTTGCTGAGATCGCCTTTCTTTGATATCTTGATCAAGTGTCCTCTTTACAGTCTGTTGGTACTTGTTCTTCATCCCAAATCTTGCTGAAGAGAATATGGAATATCTTTGCAATTACTGCTACATCTACTTTCAATTGCTCTACTGAAATGCTGTCTGGTCCTGCTGCTTTGCCACTCTTGATTTGTCTGATGGCCATGCTGATCTCTTCAATTGTTGGTGGGCTAACATCGATTGGGAGATCCGTGGGTGCTGCTTCGATATTGGGTAGGTTCAGTGATGTTGGTCGATTCAAGGGTTCTTTGAAGTGCTCTACCCACCGGTTTCGCTGTTCTTCAATGTTGGTGATTACTTTATTGAAGGCATATAGGTTTGCGAATCTCTCACCATTTTCGTTCCTGTCTCCTAGTCCATGATGTCTTCATATCCAGTGTTGTCCATCCCAACCTTGACATTCAGGTCTCCCATCAGAATGGTCAAGGCTTTTGTTAGGCAGTTATCAACTTCACCAAAAAGCACCAACGGCACACAGCACCAGAACTCAAGTCAAGCACAAAAATCAACAAAAGGATCACCCTACCATACATACAAGGAATATCAGAAACCGCAACGAGACTGCTGAAAACCTTCGGGATGGGTGTGGCACACAAACCAACAAAATCACTACAATCAATCTTATACAAACCAAAAGATGAAATAACAAAGGAAAACAAATCAAAATAAATTGTACCAACTGCGACAAACACTACATCGGACAAAGCGGACGCCCCCTCCACCTATGCCTACATGAACATCGATTAGCAGTCAAACGCCATGATATCTATTCACTTATATCAATACACGTGGATAACTACGGACACTCATTCGATTGGGAAAATGTAGAAATTTTAGACAGAGAAAACACCAGAGAATTTCTAAAAGCCTGGCACTCAAGTCAATCAGCAATCAATCCAACTTATCAACCAATCAGGAAAATCATGCATAAATATAGGAACAAAAATCAAACCAATGGGAGACACAACCAAAACAAAGAAGTAAACGATGATAAATTTAAGGTCAACAAGAACCAATCAACATCGAGGTACACAGAACAAGCTGTGAAACACATGGAGAAATTCGAACGCTTCACTCCTATCTGAAGTTTGTGCTGATGATGTCGTTCAGAAGAACGATGAAAGCTCCACGACCAAACCATCCAGCTCAGAGAACAAAACTCCACCAAAATCATCCACCTGAGCTACAAATCTTCTCCATTATCTCTAACGTCTTCATTGTAGTCTTTGACAGGCGCATAGCATTGGGTGACGTTGATTGTAATGCCCTCTTTCTTTGTTTCAAAAGAAGCTTTGATGATCCTGGGTCTATGAGATTCCCATCCTATAAGTGCTTTTTGTGCTTGTTTGGATAGTGCCAGTGTAACTCCTTGTTTATGTGGAACATTCTCTTTTTCATGACCGGAGTATAACAACAGCTCTCCAGAAGCTAATCTTTGTTGTCCAACCTGCGTCCAATGTGTTTCATTGATTCCAAGCACCTCCAGGTTGTATCTTTTCATTTCTGCAGCAATCAGGATGACTCTCCCGGTCTCCCACATTGTACGAGAATTCCATGTAGCTAAATTAATTGTTGCTTTAGTTGTCAGAAGAGGCATCAGCTTCGTGACTTCCGACGGAACTCGGTTTTCACCACGAGGCGTCATAACTCTTCTGAATAAAGACCTAACTCCCAGGGCAGAATTTAAATGGTTTGAATTAGTTTTTCTGGATGGCGCTTTTTTAGCGAGTTAGTTTTCTACGGGATGGTATCGCTAACCCTACGCCCAACCCTCTTACGGCAGTAGCCCCAGAAGGGCTCCAGGCGGAGTTCACTTGAATCACTGCACAGTATATTTTAATCTTATTGTTCGTGTTTTTAAAATTCTTTAAATGTATCTACGTATATCGTACTTACGTTTCAGCATACCACATCTTTTCAATGGAATTTATCGAATTATTATGTTGATTGGTCAAAGTGGTAGTTTAATTAGCTGGTCTAGACCATTACGTGTATTTAGAATTTGGACTCGTTTAGGTACAACATGTGAAATTACAATACGACGACCAGCATTACCAATGGCTCCTATGATTGATTTGAATCGACATTATGGATTTCAATCTACTGTGGATATGAATATTGGGATATATCTACAAAATTATCTACGAATATTAATAAATTGGTTACGTCTATTTTGTATTGCTGTAATATGTCTGGGCATTCTCCCAACAGCTTTAGGATTATTAATCAACTTCATTTTCATTGTACCCTTCCGTATTGGACCCAAAAAAACCATTATTATTGGGTTTTGGGAGGTTTGTTTTTATTATTTTTATTGTCTAACTGAAAACTTTTTCAAATGTTTACGTTACATACTCTTTTCAAAATATGCGTAATACTACTTTTTCAGATCTGGTATCTAGTCCCAATCCACAGATATAATAAGTAAAATCCACGTTTTGCAAATAAGTTGAAATTTTACATCAAATCGTAGTACCAATTTAATTTGTATATTTTCTAACCTCATCATAGGTAAATGATTTCTAAACTTAAACATTCGTTTTCATATCTTGATAGTTATTCAATCCAAAGAAATTCTTCGACGGAACTATCTTTACGTGGGTTTGTGAAGATTGCTGAATTTAATAGTGTACATCCTGGACTTACCTTGATTAGACAACAGTGTTAGTTCGTCATCTAGACCATAAATTTCAGAAAATTCCACAAACCCCGTTTACCAATAATGGCCATGTGTCAGTAGGGACTAAAGATATTATATAATTTAGAGAGAATACTTGACCAGTAGAGTCCAACCATTTCGGGTGTCATTGAAAGTTAATTGGGCAATACCTCGAATTAATTGAAGGTAGTTTTCAACATATATCTATTTACAATAATAGACTTAGTTTAGCTACCGATTAGTTGTAATCATTTTCTCTATTCTTTTAATTTTTATAGCATTGGATATTTGGTATTATGCATTTAAAAGTGGTTATCTTACTTACTCTTCTTGGACCGCCATGGTGGTTACGAAATCGTTTAGAATTATTTCATGATGAAATGACACATCATCGACAAGATGCTCGTTGTATGCGTTTACTTTGGGCAATCGCACCATTGCTTGTAACTATTGGATTATCGTTAAGTGTACCATATTTATTGGCTTATTATATTAGTCCATTAATCGGTAAGCTTTTTACCCGGCTGTTATACAGTGTATTTTTCAAGAATCCTGATTGTTTATTAATTGTGTTGATTGCTTTTAAAGTACATATATTCACTGGTTGGTCCATACTAAACATCTATTTGTTTAACAAATAAGAACTTTCGTCTAAATTTGAACGAATAGTTTAACAATATTTGAGCGCCGAGTTTATGCGAGACATTAAAGTGGAAGAATGTATTTGTAAAATCTCATCGAAAGAATTTGAAGTAAATCCAACGTTTCACCTGGTAATCTGGTCCAAGCTTTTTCAAGGAAAATACTTTCCTTGGATACTACTACTACTACTACTACTACTACAGTTTGTTCATTACAATATTTGTTGTATCGATTTACAGCAATTCCTAATTACAGCCGACTGAGATCTACGGGATTTTTATGTAGATCATTAGACAATTGTTACACTACACTTTAACGGTAATCCCCTTTACTACGAAAGAAAAAAGTCAGATTATGAAAAGTTCCAAATTCAAGATAAATTTATAGTAGAATAACTTCATATATGTAACAACAAAGCATGACCTTGGGGGATTCAGTAAAATTAGCAGGATAGGATACGTGTCCGTAAATCTGTAGCGTATTTACCTCTCAACATTCAATCTCTGTACATTATTAAGCATTTCCTGTTTGCTTAGTGGGCGAGTGTGAAATATAGAACCATAATTTTCACTGGGAACTTCATGTCAAGCCGTAACTTCTTTTGCTTTTTCGTCTGGCATATGCGTTACATTGGCTAGTTTGTTGAAGAGATATGCAGATAGCTTCACATAGTTAAATTGAAATCCTGAGTGAGAATTATGCTCTTATTTGCAACATTCACCAACTAAATAAACGAAGACTTATTCGAAAATGTTAGATATTGCACATTATCGAACTTTAAAAAATGATGGTTATCCTCGCATAAAATTACCGATACAAATGCGAAAACAAGCAATCAAATAGCGGTAAATGTCAGTAGGGAAAAAGTTTCGTGGATATTTCTACCATATAACGTCGGATAAAAAGGTATTCTTTGAAAAATATATACACATTCTATTGACATACATCATCCAATAAGTAATTCGATCCAACCCCTTCCTACTTTGTTGTATGAACAATGAGTAAAAATAAAACAAGCTCATTTTTAATTTATTTACAGTGGTTTGGCATATTTTGTTGTCCATATTTTGCCTCAAGTTTGATGTATTAATTGGCTAATGTGCTTCCTGTACGGATTGCCTTAATATAGCCGTCATGATATGAGTTTTAATAAAATAAATGGTATTAAGTCTATTTTACGTTCTATGTCCCTATTCACTTCCCTCCGACTTTTGTGTATCGTTTTATACTACTCATTAATATTCAGTAAACAGTTATATTTCTAGCAGTTTTTACGCCTATGTTGTACCGCACATTCATCGTGTATTGTTCCATAATATTTACATATACGTATGACATTCATTGTATTTCCCATTTTAATTACTTTCTCTTCATCCTTGTAGCAGCAGTTCGTATAGTAGTTTAGTCCTTGTTTGAACGCAACAGTTTCCGTATTACTAGTATAGGGGTTGTGCAGATTATTAAGTTTTTTTGATTGAGATCATGAACCGATTAATGTTAGACCATCACAATTGAAAACCTGGAAGCACTGGACGGCCGTTTCGTCCTATTGTCTGCTCCTGGTTCTGTTTTTGCTTTTTGGTAACCTGTTATCAAGATTAGACAAAGCTATTAACTGTCATTTGCAGTATCGCATGTTATGGTGATTCTTTACTTTATTATTACAGAAAGCCTTTTCTATTTCAGACTTACAGACGTGTAAGGCGCTACAGACCCCTCACAAGTTGACGTTTGTGGCTAATTTATGTATATTATTCAATAAAGAACCGATTTTTAGACAAATCGCTGTTTTGTGCGTATCTCAAATGTGTGATTTAGACGCTTCGATAGATTTAACAGATGGAATATGCCTAGCATTATAACCCAAGACATTCGTCTCGTTTTACTTGAGGCACGTCATCTGAATCCACCTGCATCCCGTACTTAAACCCAGTATCTATTCAATATACTCTGCAACAAAATGTGTCCAATCGTCAATCATTGTTCTCTGTGGAGTTACGTGTTGTCGATCATTGTGAACTAAATAGCTGTTACGAAGCAAATCTTTGACAAACTTGAATAAATCCACATATTTCCATTTATCGGTTGTATTGTTACTGATAGGAAAACATATAGCTTAAAACGAAATATTGAGAATACAAGCTATATTTGATTAATTTTTCTTTAGCATCGTTAGCTAAATAACCGTGTTTCTACGGCTTCTGATTATCGATATGACTCTTATATTTCCAATGTATATATGTATTTATGTATCACTGTTACCTACGTAATAATAATTTCTTATTGACTTGTTTATTTCCCTATAGCATTAGATAGCGAAGTTGCATTTCGATACATATATCCATTTCTTTTCGCCCTGTTCATCTGTTCAGTGTTATTGACTCTGTGTATCGACCAAATTCGACGTCTTTATTTGCATATTAAAGATGAAAAGTAGGTTTGTAGTAAAAATCTTATTATTCTGTGTAGTCGACCATTTAAAACATAAAATATTTGTTCAATAAATAGGCAAAATGCTGAGGTCATACATAGTAACTTCACATTTTCCTCTTCCTTTGTGACTACAATCTTGATTTTCGATTATTTCTGAACATTCTCAGAAGTTAAACATTTCTAGTGAGTACAATGGCGAGCGAATTATATACTAGAATTTTGGGAAAATTCGAGTCAATAATAATAAAACTACAGCCTTGATTATCTGGTAACTGAATAGCTGAAAGCCAACGAAGTCAAGATGATTGCAACCATCGAACGCATAAATACAATGCGATATTTTTGAATCAACGGAAAACACCCATTAAGAAAGATTAGATGAGCGAAGAGTTCTCTTTTCGGCGAATTCATTTTCAAAGCTGTACAATCGCAAATATATTTTTTTACAGGATGATAATGGTACTGATAATAACCTTCTGTTAGGCATGTTGACAGTGAGGTTGAATAAACAAATTTATTAGAAAAAATTCTTTCAAAAACAAGGAAAGTTTAATAATCGTTTGATTGTTAATGGCATAAGTATTCCTCAAAAGATAGATAGGGAAACGGATAGCTCAGCATGATAAAATAAATGTTGGAAATGAGATTAAATGTAATGAAGATGATCGTGGAAACAAAATGAACCAGTTGGGGGGTAGAGAATTTAGGGGAAAGCTGCAGGGTGAAGCAGATGACTGTAAAGGAAGAAGAGTATGAAGAAAAAAAATTATAAGACATCAGGACTATGGTAGAAGAAGGGGTTGTACCAATCGTTTTTGCACACACAATTCTGGTTTTTCCAGATGTATGACTAATACTTCGGTAATACAAAGAAGATGCAGTCTCATTGTTTTGGGAGACTTCTGCTTACCTTGTAGATGACTTTGAACGCAGAGTCTGTATTGATTGAGTGACCTGTGTTCACAAAATGTTCAATTACTGAGCTTCTTATTGAACCGCTTCCTCCTCTTTTTAGCCACGCCGGACAAGGTTCTTGAATTCTTTTGGATAAAGTACGCATCGAACGACCTATATACCTAGCTCCACATGAGCAGGTAAATTGATAAATGCACATTGATTTGGTCAGATGCGATAATTTATCTTTAAAATTATTGGTGAACAATGATCGGCTGGGGAATACTATTTGCTATGTTGCTGCGGCGAGTGTTCTTTTTGAAGAAACGGAGATTCTTCTCATTAGAGTGTGTGTGGCTGTCACCCTTGAATTCGATGTTCATGTATAAAGTTTTCTTTTCTACTGTAGTTATCTACGTTTTCGGCTTAATGCTCTTATCAATAAAAATCGAAGGATATCCGTTTTTAATAAGTATCTCATTCAGGTGGCATAATTCTTCCTCTATGACGTCGTGACTACAGTTTTGTCGTCTTCTTGTTGCGAGTGTTATTATTAGTTTTTTTCTTCGACTAATAGGGACCCAGCTGTGGAAACTTGATAGTTGGTCATTCCACATGGATCTCCTGTAGTTAGATCTTTTTAGAGTACCATCTTTCTTTCTTGTCATTTCCATGTCAAGAAAGTGACTATTTTGTTTGTTTTCAACTTCTAATGTGAATTTTGTTGTTGGGCGGCAATTATTAAAATGTCTTCAGAAGATGGCTCAAGTCATATTTGTTGTCACAAACGATAAAGATGTCATCAACGTATCTTTTATACAAGTGAATTTTTTCTATAACGCTTTCAGTTGATTGTTTTTTAGCCATAAAGCAGTCTGCAAGTAACGGACCCAGAGGGGATCCCATTGCTATGCCGTCCTTCTGTTTATAAATTACGTAGTTGGACGTAAACTGTACAATGCAAGTGCACCGCAATAATAGTTTCTTCAAATAAACATCCGGTATTCCGATGTTAATCTGATTGTTATTTACGTACCTGCAGATGGAATTAATGGTCTCTGTGAGTGGAACATTAGTGAATAATGATTCGACATCCAGAGATAATATATTTTTGTCATTTATATTCACTTCTTTTATGTGCTCAATAAATTCAGAAGTATCACGTATGGAGTGTTTACAAATGTGTTTTCTGATGGGTTCTAAGAGATTTGTCAGCCACTTTGCGATAAAATGGTAAGGAGATCCTGACATATCGAGAATAGGTCTGAGAGGTAGGCCAGGTTTGTGTATTTTTTGGCAGACCATATAGTCGCTGTATTATTGATCCTGTTGGTTTTATGCGCTCAAAGACATGTAATTCAATTAACTGATCATTTTTCATTCTTTTAAGAACTTCAATTAGTTGTTTTTCTATAACTTGTCTTGTTTTTCTCATTGATTGGTTTTGAGAATTTGGTGTCATCTAATAACGTTGTCATTTTTTCAACATAATTATTGCGGTCTAGCAGCACTAAACCAGCGCCTTTAACTGGACGTGTTATAATCAAGTCTTTATTAGTTCTAAGTAGTTTTAGGTGATTTCTATGTTCTTTCGTTAGAAGACTTTTGTCTGTTACTTTTGTGCTAATATATTGGTTGCGGCTATCGAGAAGAGTAGATTTGAAACGTTGGAATTCTTGGTCAAAGACTGTATTAAGACTATTTGATTAAATTTTCGAACTAAACATGTGAGGATTTTATTAATTTTTTCATTTCATCTTTAATGTACTATCACAACTAAAAACTGAACAGATTTAACATAAAGAAATTTCAAAGAAGGATATGTTTGTTTTCGACGAAATTATTTAATTTAGCTATACATCCATGATCAAAGAGGTTAGAGAACAGTAGCAGGATGAAAATAATTTACGGGACAGATATGAAGACGAAACTGATGTTGATTTTGTCGTTCTCTTTAGTTTTATTCCATGATAAAATAGATTGAAGTTTGAACCTATTACACACATGAAATATGTAAACGTGCATAGATCCCTTTCTGAAGCTCATTTTAAGCTGTACATATGAAAATCTTCAAATTTTTAGATATTTAGTTGGAAAACAACTGCTAAATTTTCGACCATCACCAAGTCAATCATTAGTTCCAGCATCATCATCATGACTGTCCAATTGCCAGTTAGTTAATTTGGACATACACTACCAATTCACATTGTCTAGACATGTAAAGTTCATCACTTGGTATTTTTTGGAAGAATCCCGCAACTTCACGTCTGGAACGACATTTTTTTTTGTACTCACTAATGATATTTACTGTTTCTAACAACCCAACATTTTTAAAGAATATAACTGTTAGAGTATTATTTTGCATATACAATAAATATACACCTCCCCAACTCGGGCACACAAACAAGTACACTAATCAATGATCTTTGATTTATTCTGTATTTAAAATATTTTCTCGAAAAAAACAAAACACGCGACTAGACAATATTTATAAAAATACATTTTTCTTATATCAATTTTCTCGTGCTTTTTGTTTTCACTTGAATATGCTTTTAAAAATAAAAATAAACAAAGAAGGTTAAAAATGATAGCAAATTAATGACAGATGCATAATATGAGCTGTACCAAACAGTTAAAAAATGTGTCAATACAAACCGCATACGCTCTGAGAAAATAAATTTTTCTATTAATGTGTACACTGTTACTACTATAAAGTATATATAATATAACGCTTGTACATTACTATTAAATAATATTGTACCAGAAATGTGTATTGATGCATGAGTGAAACAGCAATGGAATAATCTATTCTGTTTTTTAACTAATGTGTAAGACAAGTATACTTGTTTGATGACCCATTTTGTCTTGTACGGACTTGACTTATACACGTACGCTAGTTTTGTATCTACTAGTATGTAGATAGTCATACTGTTTCACTAATGTGTCAAACAATTAGAATAAAAACTGTTGCATCACAATACACATCAACAATTCCGACTGCTCAAAAAAATCATGATGCAGACTTAAAGACCGCAAAATAAACAATTCTACCCCTCTCTATTGGACCAGAACTTATACTAATAGATATGTAATTTCAATGGTTGAGATCACGAGTCAGTTGAAGCTAGACCACCATGAAAAACCTAGAAGCACTGGACGGCCGTTTCGTCCTTGAGTTCTAGTGAAAAGCAGTAACCAGTGGAGTTCAACCGGGTCTATTGTGAGATAGTAACTGACTGAAGACATTGGTGAATGTGTCGCTCAATTTAGTGGATTGGTTGAAGTTAATCATTACCACCGTTGGATGCCGGCTCAGTGGTCAAGTGGTTAAGCGCTCGCGCGCGAGACTGATAGGTCCTGGGTTAGAATCCCGCAAGGCGGGGTCGTGGAAGCGCATTGCTGAGGAGTCCCACAATAGGACGAAACGGTCGTCCAGGTTTTCCATGGTGGTCTAGCTTCAATTGACTCATGATCTCAACCATTGAAATTATAATAATATCCACAAAACCCTTCCGATATAAATTCGTGTTCACCGGTAAATTATTCCAGAGGTTTTATGACGAAGCCGCGACCAGATTAGTTCAGCTATGCCGAATGTGAAACGAGGCTTATATGCATTACTGGATGATAATCGCGAATCGTCGGAAATCAGAAATAAATATCATTAGATACCAGCTCAGTGGGTTGACGATTTCGGAGTTGTGCATACGTATGACATCAGTCTATGATGTAAAACATCGAAATTTAACAACCTCCACAAACACTTATTAATTCTGATAACAATTGTTTCTTAGCGGCTGAAAACGACTCAACTTTCAACTAGTAGATTTTATGTTCGAATCACAGCCGGATAGTAAATAGCCATACTCACTCGTAATTTGCACACAAACAGTTTGGCTTAAAGTTCGGTACAAAAACTATATAAATGAACAAATGATACTAGCTCACAAAGACATCATTTATTTTTGTGAACTTATAAATAAGATTGTTGACTAGAATATTTTCATATATGTATGCATGAAATAGAGAAATCCGTATTAATAAGAACTATATATATACATATAATGATGAGTGAAACTTATTTACCGTATTCATAAGCATCTTGACAGCTTCATCTTCTGCTGGATCTGAAACACGAATGAAATGTGTTCCTGGACACCAGTTTACAAAGCGACGTGACTAAATTTTTTAAATCAAACAGTACTAGTTTAGTATATATCATTTTACAAATGTCATCTATAATCATATCTTAAATAAAATGAATTATGATTAAAAATACTCTAGGTCCTATCAAAATGTGAAACTTAATTGTATGGCGCTATAAAATAGGAATCGGTAGTGGATATTCATCGTTGAATCGGCTAGGATATGTGTTACGTATGTGCAATCGCATTCTGTCACGATGAACAATGTTGATTGACATAGAAGTAGGATGAAAGAAATCTAAATGTGCCCAAAGCTAGACGTAACACCAGCTCATGAAAGCACAAACTGTTCGGTTGAGCCATGTCCGTAAATCCGGAGTGTGGTTGTAGTCTGCACAGTAATTGTGACTAACATTTATAGATCTTAAAAGAAATCGTCCAGAATCAGTCACAATTGAACACACGCACTCAACTTATCTTGCATTAAATTTTGAGTTTCGAAATCATGCCATACTTTTTATTCCGTAAAATTATTCTCCCAATATCAGGTTGGCTATACCTAGTGTTTTCTACTCCTACTACTGATATTGTTAGTACTACAATTAATATAGTCTGGCATTTGTCTTGATCATTCCGTCTGGTTGTGCGATAACGTGAACCGACTCACAAACGTGCTATACTTTACACTACATTTGACTGACCGGAAATATTAAGGATAGATGGATCAAATAATAAAATAGATTACTTAGAATTTGTCCAAGTTTACCAACATTATATTGATACAAAGCGAACTGTTATCGTAAGAGTTAGCTGAAAGAAAACTATGAGCGGCCAAATAAAAAATGGTATTACCGAGACCAGGACTGACCCGTGTTAAAATGTGTAGATGATCTGGTTGGGGTCCGCATGATTATCCTAACCAGTGGTCAGAGACTGAATGACATGGCTCAAAATCGTTTGCAATGACGCAGGTGCATATACCGTTGCTGCTACCCTTAAGTTGTCGTCGGGCTTGCCATCGTCTAACATAGCGACCGCCTGCACCAAGCCAACGATAAACTCAAATAAACCACATTACCATCAGTCATCGTCGGAGAGGCTCGATAGAAGACTCGCTTGTTCTCAAATACCTGTTTGGACACCGATCATGCCTTAATACGAGCCCACATCTGCTTGCTCCTCACTGGATGCAGAAAAACTACGTTAGGGTTGGACTCAGTGACGAAGTGCCAGAAGTAGATTCCATGAACAACTGAGGTCACACTTCGATAGCTCTGAAAAGGAGGCTGAACCATATATTGCTTGGAAAGATATACGAACAGCTGTTGAAAAAGCAGTGACATCTATTAGTGATTTGAACCAAACGGTCACGAAAAGCCAATGGATTTCTACTAAGTCTATTGCACTGATGGATTCTCGTAAACACTCCATCAAGCTCTGGACACAATGAAGAACGAAAACAAATCAGATATAGGTTAACCAAAAGTCTAAGGAATGACCATCAGCAGTGGTGGGCAGCGAAAGCAAGAGATGGAAAAGGCAGCCGCTGTAGGTAACGCCAAACATTGATCCAGACTAATAAAAGAAACTGGAATTAATAAATCAAGTGTAAGTGAGGCGATCTCGGAAAAAGACGACACTCTTATCTGCTCTCAGTCCAGACGTTTAGAACGATGGGCGGAACATTTTAAGGAGCAGTTCAGCTGGCCTTCAACTACTCTACAAATTCACACCATTCCCAAACAGCCTGAATGGAACATTGAAGTAGGTCCCCCGATTCCAATCCGAAGTCGAGAAAGAGCAGATGAATTGGTTCCAGTGGTATTTAATTATGGTGGTCCAATTTTAGCGATTAGGTTGACTAGTATTTTAGCTAAGATCTGGGACTTAGACGTTATTCTATCTGACTGGTCACAATCACTTATCGTCCCAACATATAAGAAAGGGTCAAAATCATCTTGTGACAACCATAGAGGGATTAGTTTAACTAATATAGTATCTAAAATACTAGCCTCGATAATTATCAGACGCCTAACTAAGACTCGTGAACTGCAAACACGAGAGGATCAAGCTGGCTTCAAACCTGGTCGTGGCTGCATCGACCACATATTCACCATTCGTCAGGTTTTAGAACATAGGCATACTTATCGGCGTCCGACAATGGTGGTCTTTCTTGAATTAAAAGCAGCATTTGACTCTGTAGACTGAGAGTTTCTGTGATACCCTGTCATTGAAAGGCGAACCTCAGAAGTACATAAACCTTGTAAAGGCTCTTTACTCGAACACCGCTAGTGGAGTCAGCTTATAGTGTTTTACTTATTTCTTTGAATATATAAATATTGGTTCACGAAGGCACCAAATACATATACGCCACATAAAACAACGAGAATTTGAAAAAAAAGAAAAGGTAAGGCGCGTTAAAAAAAACCAATAACGAACAGATTAGTGTACGGTAGTGTAATGATAATAATGGGGGAAAACAGAAACGTACAATCATAAGAGATCTTTCAGTTAAGGAAGAAGCAACCACTTTTTATTAAGAAAGTGAAAGAAGGTTATAGCAGGATCGCACCTGGGTCCTATTCGTGAGGGACCAACAGAAGCCAGTCCTTTGCAGCTTTCTTTCATACCACGACACCATGTCATACACTGACCACCTCTCCGCTTTTTACAACCAGTCCCAGAGTCGGCAAATAATGCACGACGTGGAATTCTCTGGGACAACATTCGGAGAACATGTCCAAGCCACCGAAGTCGGTGTTTCAAGATGGTGACACTAATCGGGTTATCGTCTCTATGCCGAACACATGATGCCGAACCTCTGCATTACTAACATGGTGTTGCCATGGGATGTCAGAAATCCTTCGGAGACAACGATGATCGAACACAGAGAGTCGTCCAACATCCTCAATTCGGAGAGGTCAGGTTTCACAATCATAGAGCAAAACTGCTCTCACTGACGCGTTGTAGATCCGACCTTTTACAGCCAGACTGACATCACGAAGGAACCAAAGATGGCCAAGATTGGCATAAGCAGCTCTGGCTTTCACTATATGTGTATTGATCTCATCGCTCACGCCACCACCAGCACTTATGCAGCTACCAGATACACGAACTTCTCGACCACTTCTATCTGCTCACCATCCAGGGTGAGTACAGAATTAGAATCCTGCCAGTCTTGTAAAAGTACTTTGCACTTCGGAGCTGCAAAGCTCATACCGTACCTACGGACACTGATTTCCAACTGATTAAGTGTGGATTGCATGCCTTGGGCATTATCACACAGTAAGACAATATCATCCGCATACTCAAGGTCGAGAAGTCTTTCTCCAGGCAACAGACCCACACTCTCATTACTTACATCCATCAGAACTGTTTCCAGAATGTCGTCGATGGCAAAATTGAAGAGGAATGGTGAGATTAAGCAACCCTGCCTAACCCCACTGCTTGAATGGAACAATGGAGAAAGGTGGTTGTATGCCCTCACTCTACCTGAGGTGTTTGTATATAGGGCCTTTAGGATGTTAATAAACTTCTCAGGCACACCCTTCTTCAATAGACAATCCCAGAGAACAGTCCTGTCTAACGAATCGAAGGCAGCCGTGATGTCAAGAAACACTATGATTGTTGGCCTTTGATAAGTATGGCGGTGTTCTAACATTTGGCGGAGGGTGAAGATATGATCAATACATCCTCGACGAGAACGAAAACCAACCTGATCCTCGCAAGTCAATCTTTCTCGGGTTTTGAACAACCTACGAAGTACGACGGAAGGCAATAGCTTGGACGCAATCGGAAGTAGACTTATACCCCGATAGTTGTTACAGGAACGACATGAACCCTTTTTAAGGATAGGGCAACTATCGACTCATTCCATGACGTTGGTACACTCTCTAGCTACCAAACCTTTGAAAACAACGTCGTCAGTTCCTTAGTCAGAAAGTCAATGGGTTGTAAGGAACCTGAAGAAACCCAGTGCTTATAAGCGAGAAGTTTCGCGAAGCTGCAAGCGGCTTTACTCGCCATTTTCATGGCATATCGGCGATGACTGTGCCGAAAGGTAGTGCTAGCAAGAAACAGGTTGTGGTCTGTGCACAGTTGCAGTAGACGGTCCCCGTCATCTGTCCTGCGACCAACAAGTCCCCCTTCGGCCACCTAAACGCCTCTCTTCTGTGCCTAGACGCCCGACCTGAGCATTCAAGTCTCCGGCTAGTACTACAATATCTGTCGAACGCACTTTCTGGAGAAGAACAGATAACTGGTGGTAAAACTCATCCTTGATTGCATCCGGGCTGCAATCTGTCGGGGCATAGGTGGATATGACGAAAAGACATAGTTCCTCACGCCAATTTCTTCTCACTTTGATGGAACTTTCTAATCTAACAACACATAGCCGACTGTTAATGAGAATCCAATCGATTAGTGCTGCCTCAGCTCTAGTGCTTAGTGCGACACCAACGCCAGCAAGACCGGACGAAGATGCCACAGGGTCTCCGGATAAACGCACATAAAACAAGCTTTTCGAAGCGACAGATGGAAAGGGGATTTGTAGTACTTCATCAGAGTCTTGAATACGGGTCTCGGATAGACAACAAACGTCGATATTAAGACTTTCCAAAGACATAGCCAGCCCTAACTGTTGTTTGACCCGCATAAGTGTGCGAACGTTGAAGGCAGCCAGTTTGAATGATGCACGTGGTTCCAGCTTATATTGTAATGTCATCTGACTTTGCAACCTCAAGTGGTGTCCAACAAGGCTGTCCACTATCTCCATTTCTGTTTAATTTCATTGTAGACGTACTGCTGGAAATAACGTTCTCGTCGACTGAATTTTCGGGAATCGATCTGGAGGTCCACTTATCGACTTAGAATACACAGGTTACATAGTCCTGTTTGATGAAGGTGCTGATAAAATGCAGAGCCTTTTGATAGCAGTCAGCAACAATGCCAGGATGTTTGTGATGCATTTTTTCCGCTGTAAATGCAAATCGTTGCTTCAGGACTGGTCTGCGTCAACACCTGAACTAAGGATAGGGAGTGAAGTGGTCGAACGCGTTGACAATTAGATTGCATCTTCTTTGCATTGCCGAGATAACAGCCATACATTTTGAAAAACCGGAATTATGTGTACAAAAGAGTCTGGTACAACCTCTTCTTCTACAATGGTCTTAATGTATTAAAAAAATTTTCTCTTTCTTTATACTCTTGTTCCTTTACAGCCACTGCTTCACCTTCCCTCTTCCCTTCAAATTTTCTACCCCCAACGGGTTTGTTTTTATTCCCACGATCATTCCGATTACATTTCATCTCTGTTTCAACATTTTACTTTATTTCATCATGCTCAGCCATCCTTACCCCATGAATACTTAAGCCATTAACTATCAAACGATTAATAGACTTTCCTTGTTTTAAAGATTTTTCTAATATCTTTGTTTATTCAACCTCACTCTCACCATGTATAACAGAAGTTTATTATCAGTATTATTATCACCCTGTAAAAATAAGTATATATATTTGCGATTGTACAGCTTTGAAAATGAATTCGCCGAAAAGAGAACTCTTCGCTGAACTAATCTTTCTTTCTTATTTAACTTCACTTATCTTGGAAGTCTAATCAGCCCTAATGGGTTGGTGTCTGACGAAATCTCAGCACGGATTCGATAAGCTCATTTGGCTTTTGCCAACTTACGTCACCTATGGCGAAGGCGAGATATCCGTCTATCAATTAAGGGACGAGTATACTGCGCAGCAGTTCGTTCTGTTCTAGTTTATGGCTGAAAAACGCGGTCATTAAAACTAGAAGATACCCGTAAGTTTCTAGTATTTGATCACAGATGTCTTAGAAATATTGCTCGCATCTGCTGGGATCACCGGGTAAGTAATAATGAGGTTAGACGCAGGGTATTAGGGAATGATGACAAATCAGTTGATGAGATTGTGAATCTATATCGACTGGGATGTTTGGGCCACGTGTTACGTATGCCTGAACACCGATTACAGCAATGCGCAATGCTGACTAGTGTAGGGGATGGTTGGAAGAAAGTTAGGGGCGGCCAAACTAAAACGTGGAATCGGTCCTTGAAGTTACTGAATTTCGGTTTGAGCCATGCTGGTAGATGAAGACTACTTCATTGGGGTCCACGTGACTATTGTAACCAATGTTTGGAGACTGTGTGACATGGCTCAAAATCAGTCACAATGGCGTAGATGTATACACTCTTTTTCTTCCCTTAAATCGTGGAATTAAAATTGCTTCATACCTTTCTGTGTTTTTATTCACTAATTTATATTTTCTTGAGTCGTACCTTCGATGCTTAATTTTTTTCTGTTACTGTTAATACCTCTACTATCCTGGGACTTGACCTGACAATTTCATCTATATTCGCTAATGGGGTATGGTATATACACACGTACCAAGTTCTACGTTGCGACTGACTGACAATCTAACTAGAAACTCATACAATAAACAACTTACTGTTAGGTTAACTTTCAAATCAGTTTTCTCATCGCTACATGCATTGCTGCCAACTTGATTTGTATTTTCATCAAAACTCAATGTTGTCAAATTATTCAAAGGTCTATATTGGGAAGCAAAAAGGTGCAAAATCAGGTATAATGTGAGTTTCATAAAGACGATATTATTTTCATTCCAAGTGCTTAAATTATCGAGAAAAAATGTTTAAATAATCGCGTAAGCTTGCTCTGATCTGCGACAACAATTGCATGCTTTTTTCAATTTCTAACTGGTGCACTACGCAAGAGAGAGAGCACCAAAATCTGTGCTACAAAAACAAACATTGACCTTATTGTGATATTTCTAACCTACAAAAACGTAATTCTTCTCTTGTGTTTACGTCTCATAGAATGAGTTGTTGTAAGGAATTAAAAGCCAGTCAATACGCTGAAACCTAATTAAATGGAATCAGTACTAGGAACTAAACATCAAAATGTCAACAGTGACACAGAGTTCATATTATCGAAACTATATATAAACAGTTCTACCGAAAATTATTGTTTATTGTATAGTTACTAAATACTGGAATTATTGTATCTTTGTATTTCCCCAGTGGTAAGCTTTCGCTTGGCTCATAAACCATTGTTGTATTTTTAACCTTTCTCAAGTTATCGTTAATCAATTACAAACTTATCACTAAGTTTCATTCCACATGTGTTCTCATCCTACTTTTGTTGTCAGGATGTGAGCGTATGAAAACAGGACACTGACAAATACGCAATAAGATTATCGTGGCCTCAATTCACGGTTGATCCTGCCAATCAAAGCGTATTATTGGGTCAAAGCTTAGGAGCCTAGGCTATAGACGAAACAATACAGGTGGGAAACAGAAATATTATACGATTCTTATTGACTAATCATGCCCCCTGAATGCCCTGGTACGGCCGAGAGTGGGGAGGGTCCGCTCTCCCTCTCGAAATACTCTCACACGGCCACGCGTATATAGCCTCTGCCAGGGAAGTCCTACTCATTGCCTTCTCGTGGCGGGGGTGTTGTTTACGAAAATGAGAGGACGAGAAGCGAATGTCCGGCGCTTTAACCGGATTCCAAACCAATGGTGCACATGGGCTCCAGTATCCTGCGGGAACGAATGGCGTATGAACCAATCGTTGGTCACCGGCTACCATGGGACTGCATCTCCTTACGATGCTCCACTGCCTTGTGGGTTAGACCTTTAGGTCAAAGGCTCGGGGAGTGGCCCCCTAAGATAACCACCTGCTTCGGTTTGGGCACCCGGGCAGTATCACAGCCCACACACAAATGATGAACTGTTTATGTCTATGGAAACTACTTTTGTCGCTTTGAAAAACAATCAATTGATTCAAATTATGATCACTTCAATTATTGTCATTATTAATAATAATATTATTATTACTACTATTATTGTCATTATTGTTATTATTATCATTATTATTATTATTTTCCACATTATTCACCTTCTTTTATACTTATACAGCGGCTCGTCTTTGGTGGAATTCCGACTGTATCTAAACGTTCTCGAGTCACTGTCCGGTTGAAAATTGTATGTTACCACCGAATACGAGGACTGAAGCAGATTTTCTGAAACCACGTGCATCATTCAAACTGGCTGCCTTCAACGTTCGCACATTTATGCAGGTCGGACAACAGATAGGGCTGGCTATGTCTTTGGAAAGTCTTAATATCGACGTGTGTTGTCTATCCGAGACCCGTATTCAAGACTCTGGCGAAGTACTACAAATTCGATCTCCATCTGTCGCTTCGAAAAGCTTGTTTTACGTGCGCTTATCCGGGGACCCTGTGGCATCTTCGTCTGGTTTTGCTGGCGTTGGTGTCGCATTAAGCGCTAGAGCTGAGGCAGCACTAGTCGATTGGATCCCCATTAACAGTCGGTTATGTGCTGTTAGATTAGAAAGTTCCATCAAAGTGAGAAGAAATCGGCGTGAGAAACGATGTCTTTTCGTCATCTCCGCCTATGCCCCGACAGATTGCAGCCCGGATGCAATCAAGGATGAGTTTTACCACCAGTTATCAGTTCTTCTCCAGAAAGTGCGTTCGACAGATATTGTAGTACTAGCCGGAGACTTGAATGCTCAGGTCGGGCGTCTAGGCACAGAAGAGAGTCGTTTAGGTGGCCGATGGGGACTCGTTGGTCGCAGGTCAGATAACGGGGACCGTCTACTGCAACTTTGCGCAGACCACAACCTGTTTCTGGCTAGCACTAACTTTCGGCACAGTCATCGCCGATGTGCCACCTGGCGTCCTCCCTCTGCATCTCAAGCCTGGACTCAGATTGATCACATCGCGATCAGCTACCGCTGGCGTTGTTGTGTACAAGACTGCCGCTCCTTTTGGAGTACCTATCTGGACTCTGACCATGCCTTGGTCTGCGCCAATCTTGCCTTACTTTTCAGTGGACAACGAAGTGAACGCCATCAACGGATTGATGTTAGCAAGCTGGTTGCAACTTCTGTTGCAAGTAAGTATCGAACCGAGCTAGCCTCTAGGCTAGCTACCACTCCACCGAAAAGTATAGATGAGCATTGGTTGCAATTGCATGACGCCATGAAAATGGCGGGAACAGTCAGTTGTGGGTTTGCGAAACGTCCCGCTTTTAAGCACTGGGTTTCTTCTGGTTCCTTACAACTCATTGAAGCCCGTCGGTCTACTCCGGGTAACCGTGAGTTTGACTATAAACGAAGGTTTTTACGTAAGGAAATCGGGCAAAGCTTGCGTAAGGACCGAGAAGCCTGGTGGTCGATGCGTGCTAATGAGCTGGAAGCAGCAGCTGCATCTGGTAACTACCGGAAGCTCTTCCAACTCATCCGAGCCACTGGCAGCAAGAAGTCTGGTGTGAGTGAAACAATCTGCGAGGATGATGGGATGCCAATCACTAACATCCATCGACGTCTTGGACGATGGGCAGAATTTTTCGAAGGGCAGTTCAACTGGCCTGCTGCTCCGGCAACATCGGTCAGACTGTCCTGCCCTCCATGGCCGGTGACGACTGATCCACCAAATGAGGAGGAAGTCCGCAAGGAACTCCAACTCTTGAAGCGTTACAAATCTCCTGGCCCAGATGACTTACCTCCGGCTCTTTTTAAAGATGGTGGTGACTTTTTGACTAAGGAATTGACGACGTTGTTTACAAAGGTTTGGGATCTAGAGAGTGTACCAACGTCATGGAATGAGTCGATAGTTGTCCCTATCTTTAAAAAGGGTTCACGTCGTTCTTGTAACAACTATCGGGGGATAAGTTTACTTCCGATTGCGTCCAAGCTATTGGCTTCCGTCATTCTTCGTAGGTTGTTCAAAACCCGAGAAAGATTGACTCGCGAGGAGCAGGCTGGGTTTCGTTCTGGTCGAGGATGTATTGATCATATCTTCACCCTCCGCCAAATGTTAGAACACCGCCATACTTTTCAAAGGCCAACAATCGTAGTGTTTCTTGACATCAGGGCTGCCTTCGATTCGTTGGATAGGACTGTTCTCTGGGATTGTCTATTGAAGAAGGGTGTGCCTGAGAAGTTTATTAACATCCTAAAAGCCCTGTATAAAAACACCTCAGGCAGAGTGAGGGCATACAACCACCTCTCTCCATTGTTCCATTCGAGCAGTGGGGTTAGGCAGGGTTGCCCAATCTCACCATTCCTCTTCAACTTTGCCATCGATGACATTCTGGAAACAGCTCTGATGAATGTAAGTAATGGTGGTGTGGATCTGTTGCCTGGAGAAAGACTTCTCGACCTTGAGTATGCGGACGATATTGTCTTACTGTGCGATAATGCCCAAGGCATGCAATCCGCACTTAATCAGTTGGCAATCAATGTCCGTAGGTATGGTATGTGCTTTGCACCTTCGAAGTGCAAAGTACTTCTACAAGACTGGCAGGATTCTAATCCTGTACTCACCCTGGATGGTGAGCAGATAGACGTAGTTGAGAAGTTCGTGTATCTGGGTAGCATCATAAGTGCTGGTGGGGGTGTGAGTGATGAGATCAATGCACGAATAGTGAAAGCCAGAGCGGCTTATGCCAATCTGGGCCACCTTTGGCGCCTTCGTGATGTTAGTCTGGCTGTAAAAGGCCGGATCTACAACGCGTCGGTGAGAGCAGTTTTGCTCTATGCTTGTGAAACCTGGCCTCTCCGAGTTGAGGACGTTAGACGACTCTCTGTGTTCGATCATCGCTGTCTCCGAAGGATTGCTGACATTCAGTGGCAACACCATGTCAGTAATGCAGAGGTTCGGCATCGTGTGTTCGGGCACAGAGATGATAACTCAATTGGTGTCACCATCTTGAAACACCGACTTCGGTGGCTTGGACATGTTCTCCGAATGTCGTCCCAGAGAATTCCACGTCGTGCATTATTTGCCGACTCTGGGACTGGTTGGAAGAAGCGGAGAGGTGGTCAGTGCATGACATGGTGTCGTGGCATGAAAGAAAGCTGCAAAGGACTGGCTTGTGTTGGTCCTTCACGACTCCCTGGTTGGGGTCCTAGAGATGGTGCAACACAGTGGCTAGAGACGTTATCAGATATGGCTCAGAATAGAAGCCAGTGGCGATCCTGCTGTAACCTTCTTTTACTTTCTTCATAAAAAGTGGTTGTGTCTCCTTTACCTGAAAGATTTCTTCTGATTGTACCTCTTCGTCATTACTCTCTTTTTCTTTTGCGTTCCTTAGTTTTTTTTTTCTTTCTACTTCTCTTCGAATTCCCATTGTTTTGTGTGGCGCATATATATTGGCGCTCTCTTGTACCAATATTTATGTGTTCAAATAAATAAATAAATAAATAAATAATCATGTCAAATAAAATCGATCCAATGCTGATTTGTCATTCATTACAAAAAGAAACCCTACATTATAATTATATGACACTTGACAGCTAAAATGCTTGAATACATAAAATCTTCACTGTATTTCAAAGATTTTACTTAGTAACAAGAAGAAAACGAACACTAAACCAGAAGTACTCACGAAAGTTGAAATATTCCACAGCTTTACGACAGAGCTTTTTAAAAATTGTGATTTTTCAATTGATCAAATTTATATTTCTATACCAATGCATTGGCTGTTTTAAGCTTTTTTTAAGCTTATTGGATATGAAAACCAGTCGTCATAGAAAACAGAATTGTATTCACTTTTAAGATAAGGTGATGGTTGGAAGTGGTCGACCACTGAGTAGTGACCATTCAACTGTAAACTTTTGAAATAACACTGCGAAATTTGAATGGTTATTTATGTATCAATAATTAGCAACCTCTCAAACTGTAGGATCTAATAAGTATGAATGCTACAATAGATCAACAAACAAACTAATAACCATCCTAATTAAACCAGTTGTAAATATTTTGATGTTAATCATGCAATGAATGGTATGGAACGCTGTAAAACTGACAATGTAACAAGTGTACTATCAAAAATGCGCAATTGAATAGTTTTAATCAACGTTTTTAGAAAGTCTTATCTATAAAATTTACAAACTTAGCTATTATGAAACAAATCTTTAAAAAAAATAACATACACAGAACTCTCCAACGCTTTATGACGTAATGTTGGTCGACTTTTGGTCGACTTTTCAATTCGACGCTTTTTACATTGGTTAACAACTTTTATAGGTTGTGATGGTGTGGATCGTTTGACAGAATGTTGAAGTCCGATCGGTAAAGAAATGTATAAAATTGATTTGAAGCGATTTAAATAACTGAACCTGCTTGAACACATATGTCGAAAATCATCTAACATTTTTTGAAAAGGAGACATCACTTCCATTGGGAATGAAAATGGATTCAGTGAAAACATACTAAGACGTTTGAATAAGGCATCTGGTAAATCAGTCGACTGAATATTTAATTCTCCTTCAGAAGCAAATGAACCATTTTGTGAACATGGGAATTTCGGCACTTTATATCAACAAACAAAAATAAAACAACTATGAGTAAATTAATGTTGGCTACAAAAGAAATTAAAAGACTAAAATACATGCGTTGTTATCTAAGTAGTGATAATGGAAGTGCAGAAATGTCTGAGTTATGGTAAAATTTAAAGAGATGACATGCAGGTAGCTAACCTAACGCTCTATTTAACTGACCTGTGACACACCTCTTAAGTATATATATATATTGAAACTTTACGCCTATGAAAAGTATCAGATTCCTTAAATACTTATACTCATTTAATAAACTTTATTGTATTCGGTACGTATTCAGCAGTGGAATTCAGAACACATGTTACGTCCTATTCAGGACATGTCAGTGAGAGCTACTTGTATTACAATGTTGATGTTTACACTAAGACTTGAACCTAATAATAACCGCTTGACACACACATCATGTTATGATCCAGTGAACTACAAATTGTTATTAATAATCATTGAATAAACTTTGGAGCTTAAGAAAAACAAAGTAATTCCATCCGAATGAGACGAAAAATAATAAGAGGATTATATTAAAATTTGTATGTCGTACAAAAAAAATAATAATGCGTTCGTTCTATAATCAGACATGTGTTTCAACGTATTTACCTAAGCATACAATTATTTAGTGCCTAGCCTGACATAGTTGAAACTAGGCTAGATCAGATTAAGCGACCTGGTATTAACTATATATACACACTTCTTTTTTAACTATCGTTTAGCTGAATACATTCAATTCACAAGAAATATTCACTAGTCAATTCTATAACTTAGTTCAACAATCTATGCTCCCGGCAACTTATTTATTATTATCAGAATGTGTTTTGTGGAGATTTTTTAGAAATTTTCACAGATTGAACTCATGAGTCAGTTGTGAGATAGGAACTCACTGAAGACAATGGTGTACGGTAGCGCAACTTCGTGGATTGGTTGAAGTTAGACATTAACACCGTTGGATGCCAGCTCAGTGGTCTAATGGTTAAGTGCTCGCGCGCGAAGCCAGTAGGTCCTGGGTTCGAGCCCCGGGTGGTGCGGGGTCGTGGATGCGCACTGCTGGGGAGTCCCATACTAGGACGAAACGGCCGTCCAGTGCTTCCAGGTTTTTAATGGTGGTCTAGCTTCAACTGACTCATGAGTTCAATCTGTGAAAACTTATTTATTGTTGGGCATAATTGCACAGAAGTTTACAATGTATATCTCTCAATACCTCGGACATTTTCTTACCTGGACATAGTGAAACTATAGTTTAACTGACGGCCTCCAGTGACTTGCATAACCTTGAGAAAGCGAAGCCAATACTCAGCCAATCAGAATGGCGATATCGATGAGTAAACTGCCACATGAACCCCCACCACAAAATATATATATTAGGGCTAAGATCAAGAGTTTATGTTAGAATTCCGTCCTAAGATTTAGATTTTAAATTAGAAGTTGGGTTTAGGATTAAGAGTTGGTATTAACTGGTTGGGAACAGCGTGCATCAATTTTTACAACACCTTTAAAAACTCCCAAATCATGTAACAATGTTATAAACATTAATTGTTTTTTATTCACTACTATCTTTTCCGTGAAAAAACTAACCACTTTATAATGGTCATTGTAAGAATCCGTCAAGTTCACTCTGATTCTTTCGTCTTCTAATATTTGATAATTTTAAGCATCTTCATGACTAATTACTGGCAAATTGTACTTAGCTCTTGATAGAATACAAGCTATCTGTCTTTGAGTTTTTAATTTCGCAGGAAAACCCAATACCACTATCACAAATCATACTGGTTCATCAATCAAAGAGTACTTTGATGCACAGCATTCAAAGTATAAATTTGGAAAACATTACAACCATCTGTGACAGGATTATAAACCAGTTCCAGAGAAGTGAAGATTTTTGGTGTTGAAATTGGATTTCAAAGTGAACTAGACTATTTATGTGATTTATAGCAAAGTAATCCAATAAATATAAAGAATTTTTATCTTCACATGTAAGTAAGAATTGCCAATTTTCAAATAGAGCTCTAATATACTCTGATTAGCTGTTGTCTAGGTGTCTTCGGATTGTTTCAACTATTGATCGACAATTAATTTGAAATTAGTATCTCATAAAAAGCGATTAACTGTCAAAAAATCTGCTTCAAAACACCTAGCTTTCATTTACTTGTCATTAACAACTTTAAACAAACAAATACAGATAATATAAAAAGTTTCTTACATGACCATAATTTCGCAAATCGATTAATTAGATATTCGACCATTTCACGAGTTTGTTTCAGTGTATTAGGATGCTTCACTTTAGATAATAAAAACAGTGGAGCAATACAGTGTTCATCAAAGTTTTCTGTAATATCACATCCACGTCGTGAACATAAACGTGAATTCAATTGAATAGCAGCGGCCAATGCTAAAAATACACCTACTTTTTCAGTAGCGATTTTATTCGCATTTTGAAGTTGTTCAATTAATAAATGGGAATTCTGATTAGAATTTTCACTTTTCTTGCTAATATTGACAAAGTTTAAAATTCTGTCTAAACTAATATGAAAAATAATGATAAAGCATGAAAAATAATTATAAAAATTTAGTAAACGATTTACTTTTTTACAAATAACTGACGAAAAAACTCGCTTTTGGATACGACAAAAGCCATATTTATTTATTTGTTTAAACACATAAACGGTGGCACAAAGAGACACCAATATATATATATATATATATATATATATATATATATAGTTATCACTCAATTTGTGTGTAGGCTAGGATATTGTCTGGGTGCCTAAACCGAGGCAGGTGATTTTCTTAAGGAGCCACTCCCCAAACACTTGATCTAGAAGTCTAGTCCAAAGGGCAGTGGAGCAACGTTAAGAGATGCGGTCCCATGGTAGCAGATGACCAAGAATAAAATCATATGCCATTCGACCCTTCAGGACACTGAATTGATATGCAACATAGATTTGAAATCAGGGTTTTCCAATTACCCTAGATAGATCCTCTATGCCCACCAACCCGACTTATGCGCCAGACATTGGCTTTTCGCCCTCTCAATTTCGTAAACAAACCCACTGCGAGAAGGCAGTGGCTATATACGCGTGGTCATATGGTCATTTCGAGAAGAGAGAATCCTCATCACCCTCAACCGTACCAGGGCATTTGGGTGCTATAGATATATAATCTTTTCGTACAGATAAAGTTCATTCGACCTCTTAATTTAACATGGTCTTCGTTTACTTAGTTACTGCATTTCCTTTTATTCAAATTTAATTTATGACTACATTTACGTGATCTACATACTTCAATGATCTGATCAACTAATTTTATTTGAATCCACTTTTTATTTAGTAATCTTACCAAATAATACTAAACATTTATATTTAATTGCTTAATTCTCGAACTTAATTCTTATTCTTAAGTAATAAACTTAAAATAATTAACTGACGACATAATCTTATCCTTAGATCTGATTTTATATCTGTTAAGTTGCTAACTGACTACTGTTTTAGAGAGAACACTGTTGAATTGACCAACCAACATCTGGTACTTGATATTGATTTCAGACTTGAATACAAAACTTGTATTTCAGTGTAGAGCCTTGAAATAGAGAATTAATTGAAAAGAAATAATTCTTTGCTTAACTTTTCATTTTTAATGTCTCGATGAGAACACATACTGAATCATACATGTGTCAATAAAAGTAACTTCGTACTTGTAAATAAATAAATATAACGAGAGAGGCCTACTGTATTAGTGGAAAAAATGAAAACGTCTTAACTAAGAGAATTCTGTTTTCGGTGATGCCATTTGCTTAAACTGTACAACCGTGTTTATAATTATCAGGTGATTAGTGGTGGTTGACAGCAAACCCTGGATCACAATTTCATGATACACGGCATTGGTCACGTGCAGCGACGAACAAATAATCGATCACGGTTGTCTAAATAGGCAAAAAAATTGACTTAAATGTTTGGATCAATAACTTGTACATGACTAAGGCCATAGCAACCAATCAGCTCAAATCTGATCTTTACATACAAGAATTATATTCAATGTCGTTTACCAATATAAAACACACTGAATGTTATCCAGTTATTCAGAGCTAAAATTGGAAATTATGTTTTGCTAAGATAACAGGTTATTTAACTTTTCTCACTGAGTGTTGAGTTCTTTTGTGTACCGACATCCCTGAGTCCATCTTATTCTAAATTATATTTTCGTATGACCTATTTATTTATTTATTTTAACACATAGATATTGGTACAAGGAGGCACCAAATACATATGCGCCACACAAATCTCATTTGATATGTGTGAGGGCTGTGATACTGCCCGGGTACCCAAACCGAAGCAGGTGGTTTTCTTACGAGGCCACACCCCGAGCCTTCGACCTGAAGGTCTGATCCACAAGGCAATGGAGCATCGTAAAGAGATGTCGTCCCATGGAAGCCGATGACCAACAATTGGTTCATACGCCATTTGTTCCCGCAGGATACTGGAGCCCATGTGCACCATTGGTTTGGAATCCGGTTAAGGCCCCAGACATTCGCTTTTCGTCCTCTCATTTTCGTAAACAACACCCCCGCCACGAGAAGGCAATGAGTAGGACTTCCCTGGCAGAGGCTATATACGCGTGGCTATTTAAGAGCATTTCGAGAGGGAGAGCGGACTCTCCATTCTCTACCGTATCAGGGCATTTGGGAGCACAAGATGACAATGGTTGCGAGGTAAGGTATGTTTGATTGTATTAGATATACAGAGAAAATAAAACTTATAAAATAGCTATTTGTAGTAGGAGAAGCATTTCACGTCAAACTATGCCATAATTTGATGATAACACTTGGTCAAGATCCTTCAGCTGGTACTGTCCATTTAAGCTAATAAGTTCAGAATCGATGCCGAATGCTTACCTCTTCAGACGCCTCAGGCGATTTTAATCGTCTTAAAATACGTGGTAACTCAGTTGAAGAAAATCTGAACACCAATTAAACTTTAAATATTTCCTATGATTTTACTAGCTTATCTCACACAATTTGTATTTCTGTGTGATTTCAAATTTACTGCTGCTGTGTCTACGTAGAATTTGATCAAGATGGTAAAAAATTTCGTTTTCTTATTTAGCACTAATGAGTTTTTGAATAATCGATTTCACCGGGATGTTGGAGACAATATTTATACACCGCCTATTTATCTGTGGTCCTTCTTTGGCATCCATTTCGTTATTGCAAACAGTATCGCTTTTGAAGGTGACAATTGTGATTTATGTTTTGAAGCCAATTTCATATTGAAATCGATTGCGAGATATCTTGATTGTTTGAAGATGTCTACTCCATCTAATACCAAGAGTTGTTATTCCAAGGAACTTGGTATGGGCCTTTCTGACAAATTGCCATACATTGATGTTGACCTTAATGGTAGGTTAACACGAACTTATCACTCATGATTTAAGTAGTTTAGATTATGAAGCGTACACCTCTTTAAAGATATCATTCAATTATAAAGCTCATTTTGAGTCTACCTAAAAGCAGTTTTACATTACTTCTGTTTCTAAACTTACCAATTTAAAATACTCATCAATAGTTTGTTATGACAAGGCTTTCCGATTGTTCATTACTTCTGGTTTTTCTGTGGTTAAGCTTAAATCACTATAAATTTTTAGTTATTGAAAATGTATTCACCATATAAGGTCACCTGTTGATCCTTACAATCCAGTGGCAGTTTTTGTCTTCGATTTACTTATATTTATTATTTGCACGACTTTCTGACCAGAGCACTCACCTATGCCTGTTACCCCTCGTGAAGAAGCATGGGTCACCCACCAGCATTCTTCATCGAACTCTGTCCTGGACAATCCTTCCCAGTAGTTTCCAGTTGTTATTCACCCTTTTCATATCTGCTTCTAACTTCCGACGCAGTGTGTTCTTTAGTCTTCCTCTTTTCTGTTTCCCTTTAGGATCTAAGTTAGCACTTGTTTCGTGATTCAGTTTGATGATTTTCACAACGTATGTCCTATGCACTTCTATCATCTCTTCTGAATTTCCTCTTGTTTGTTGTTTTGAGTTCCAGATCTTTTTCAACTGTAGGAATGTCACTCTCGCTTTGCCAAGCCTCACCTTTACATCTGCATCGGATCCTCCTTGTTTACAGATGATGCTGTGCACCTGTTCCAGAGCTCCTTCATCAAGTATGATTGGTTTGGTGTTCTCTGTGTTGATTTTCAATATCTTGCTTTTCCCCTTGTGTATGTTGAGGCCTACTGATGCAGAGGCTTCTGCTACACTGTCTGTCTTTACCTGAATTTGTTCGTGTGTATGAGATAGAAGAGCTATGTCGTCTGCGAAATCCAAATCGTCTGGCTGCATCCAAGCTGTCTATTATATTCCATGCTTACCCCAGATATAGAGGTCTTCATAATATAGTCGACCACCAGAAGAAAGAGAAAGCGGAGACTAAGCATACTTTTCTGACTGGTCCTCAATTGGAATGCATCTATCATCTTTCCTCCATGCACAGCTTTGCAGTGAAGTTCGTTGTATGAATTCCGGATGATGTTAACGATCCCCTCAGGTACACCATAGTGTCGAAAAAGAGTCCGTAAGGTTTTCCTATCCATGCTGTCAAATGCTTTCTCGTAGTCATGGAAGCTGATATATAGTGACGAGTTCCATTCAATTGATTGTTCAACGATGATCCGTAGTGTTGTAGCTTGGTCTCTGCACGACTGATCCTTAAGGAATCCGGGATGTTGGTCTCGAAGCTGGTAGGCGTCGACTGAATCTTTCATTCGACTCAACAACACTCTGATGAAAGCGTTTCTGGTGCCGACAGTAGTGTGATGCCTCCAAAGCTGAGTTCTCATACTCGCTGAGATCTCCTTTATTGATTTATTGACGATGTATCCTTCTTCCCAGTTTAATTGGTAGGTCTTCTTGAACTCCCAGCGTTGGATGTCAGTTTAGTGGTTTGGAGATTGTGTCCGCACTCAAGTGGAAACACTGGGTTCGAGTCTCAGATGCAGGGTTGTGAATAGTCACCGGTAAGTAGTCCTAGACTAGGGTAAAATGGTCGACTGATACTTCCATGTTTTCAATGGCGGTCTTAATATGATCAATGAGCGAGCTGACAAGTGAAATAATTCTTTTGAAAGACAATAATTACACAAAATATTCAATACATTGGTGTAACATACCATGTTAAAAGATCTAGAAAGGCGCCAGACGACAAGTCAGATAGATTTGGTAATGGTTGTCCACAAACCAATGAAGAAAAAAACCGATAAACCTGTGCATAAGGTAAATATATAGGGTCTGGATCTCTTTTATTGATTTTACGACATTCTACACTTTCCCACGTAGAAGCTCGCTGGAGAACCTGAAATATGTTACAAGAGGATTTCACAATACTAGTTATGAATACATTATGACTAATGACTACTTACGGTGACTTTAATGTCTTACCCTTACAATTCTTAGTTGCTAGAAGGAAGAATACCCCTACAACTGGCGATACAGTACATTTCAGTGGACTTTGTTAACTGAGTATATATATATATATGGGTCAGTGATTAAGATTTCACAAGTTCAACCATTGTGACCATCCTTGCCTCTCCACATACTTCAATTTGGGAAACCGAGTAGCAGCATTTGTGCCTCAAAACCAAGTACACAAATTTGCATCTGGTAAACAATTCAACAATATATGATAAATAACACCAATGGCTTTTACATGATGTTTTAGGTTTGAGTGGAAAGTTTTTAGGTGAACATTGTCAAAAGATCTATAGTTCAACGGATTTGAATGCTATATCCTAGTTCTACTTATTGGGATAGTACAGATACAAAGTTTTGGTCATAAATGTCAATGACTTAAAAATACAGATTGAACAGAAAATGATCATGAGGCTTCACTAATGGACTGTGTGGGGAGTGTGGCCCAGCTTAGTATTGGAAGCGTTAATTATGAAAATCTAAGCTCAGTTCAGGCGAAGATACAAACGGAGGTAAAAGTATATGTCTTGGTGAATTGTCTTATGTTATTCTTTCAAACATATCAATTTTTAAATTATTTATCAAGTACAGGATTATGTACTTAATTTTCGATCAGATTTTTTGATGAGTTAAGATAATTATACTATTCAGTTTCTTGAACCAAAGGAAACAGGAAATGCAGTCCAAACTGACAACTGAATTACTGGGGATTGGATGCTTTAACCATTAAGCCACCTACCTATTACAGTAATAATTAGATAAAAACATGAGAATATGCATTGCTATGCAAACGACATACTTCATTCAATGCCATACTATAATTATAGTATTCAGTACAACTGTGTCTAGTTATTTGTAATAAAATCTGTGTAAAGAAAAAATCTGGTATTAAGTAATCATAGAAATTCTACATCAATTGATCCTTCAGGTTTAACTTCCGGTACAGTAATTTGTGGATCTAAAACAAGAAAAATTATGTTTATAAGTATTGGTTAATACAGATTATTGTTTACCCTGTAAATTCTTCTCATCCACATCCATGAGGCAAGCTATAAGTTCTCTAATCTAAAAGTTAATCAGAACTTTATTGAATCAAATAAAGGTTACTTAGTAATATAAAAAATAGCTTTTAAAACTACATAAAATAATAAACTAGTAGAATGATATTATTAACAACCATAAAAGTTCTCACTTAAACTCTAAAAGAATTTCGTAAATTCTTTTCCAGTTAATTGTAAGTATACTCCTATTCCCCGGTTTTCAATGTTTTTTGTTCCTTATGATTTTTGCTGTTTCGAACTCAACTTCATTGACTAATAATAATATTAAGTAAAACTGTTTATAATATCGTTACTAATTGTAACTAGGCCACTGTCAGTTGATGAGCAGACTCCAAGTATAATGAATTCCCTTTATTCTGTAAATTTTATTGTGAGTAATTTGTTGAAATTCATTGAAGAACTAGGTTCTCAACTTACTGTACAAACCAAAGGTTTTTTTAATTAGACCCAAGCTTTCAGTACAGCAAGAAACTAAATGCTAAAAAACGATCAACAGCTAGTATTAGGTTAATATTTCGAGCTTATCGGTGGTTATGAGTAACTGCTATCTCAACGAAATCTAAACTTCCTCTTATTTTATTTTATTTTATTTGAACACATATATATTGGTACAGGAGTGTGCCAAATATATATGCACCACACAATTTCAGTTCATTAATTGAGTGTGGGCTGCGATACTGCCCGGGTGCTCAGACCGAAGCAGGTGGTTTTCTTACGAGGCCACACCCCGAGCCTTCGACCTGAAGGTCTGATCCACAAGGCAATGGAGCATCGTAAAGAGATGTCGTCCCATGGAAGCCGATGACCAACAATTGGTTCATACGCCATTTGTTCCCTCAGGATGCTGGATCCCATGTGCACCATAGATTTGGAATCCGGTTAAGGCCCCAGACATTCGCTTTTCGTCCTCTCATTTTCGTAAACAACACCCCCACCACGAGAAGGCAATGAGTAGGACTTCCCTGGCAGAGACTGTATACGCGCGACCGTGTGAGAGTATTTCGAGAGGGAGGGCGAACCCACCCCGCTCTCGGCCATACCAGGGCATTTGGGGGCTAAGCTTCCTCTAAAACTCAAGGATCGGTAGAAATGTAACAACCTGTAAGTACATTTTTAATTGTAGTACAAATTATGAACCTCACTTTTAAAGAGCGATTTTTTATTCCCGACACTCAACAATGATAGGTTTTTAGAATCATCATAGGGATTTCCTACCAACAGGTTGAAATATACCGGATATCAAGTATAGTTAATCTGAACGTTATTAGTTTAGAAAATGCACTTTATTTAGCGACCAGTGGATTACAGTCAGCGTTCAATCTAAAAAAACCCAACTAAAACAGTCGAAAAACTACTTCTAGAAAAAAATATATTTAGTATTTTCCAAGGATATTACAAAAACCGATATTATTAAAGAAACGTATCCAAAGTATAAAAACTCACCTCTGTTTTCTTTTTTGTTTGTATGAATTCAGCCAATTCACGTGTTGAAAATGAACGATCTCTAATAGAATTGCAATTTAAATTGAAGTTAGGACTAACCTTTTTAACGCACTCAGTAATAAACTTAATTCAGAATCTGACCATTCTGATGTAACATGATTCAACTTTGTTAAGGATGGAATCATTGAGTATGATTTATATAATATGATTTATCTTATGTTTTCAATGTTGAAATTACAAAATACCAGTGATTTATATGAAACTTCCGATACCAATAAGACAAAATAAATTCTTTGTACTTGGCTGTGAAGTGAAATAAATAAAAAGTAGATTACAACAGACGAACGAATACATTTTTAGTGATCAAATTATACATGAATAACAGAATTTTAAACGCAATATTGCTTCAAAATATAAGTACCAAAATAACTCTGTAATGTGTAAAGTTAGGAAATAGTGATAAGACCAGGATACTTAACGAAACTAAAAAAATATGCATATGACTTTCGCAAGATTGAATGTTAATTAGGGTGAGTAGTGATCACTTGTGCCGATTAAATCTAGTTGAAAAATACATTTTAATTAATGTGTAAGCCTGTAGTTTCAACAAACGGTAACACTGGAGACCGTAGAGAAATAAATTTATAAATTAGAAGATACCAGTGCTTAATAAATTTGCTTGATCTAAGAAGCCCCCAAATGCCCTGGTACGGCCAAGAGTGGGGAGAGTCCGCTCTCCCCCTCGAAATGCTCTCAAATGGCCACGCGTATATAGCCTCTGCCAGGGAAGTCCTACTCATTGCCTTCTCGTGGTGGGGGTGTTGTTTACGAAAATGAGAGGACGAAAAGCGAATGTCTGGGGCCTTAACCGGATTCCAAATCTATGGTGCACATGGGATCCAGCATCCTGAGGGAACAAATGGCGTATGAACCAATTGTTGGTCATCGGCTTCCATGGGACGACATCTCTTTACGATGCTCCATTGCCTTGTGGATCAGACCTTCAGGTCGAAGGCTCGGGGTGTGGCCTCGTAAGAAAACCACCTGCTTCGGTTTGGGTACCCGGGCAGTATCACAGCCCTCACACATATCAAATGAGATTTGTGTGGCGCATATGTATTTGGTGCCTCCTTGTACCAATATATATGTGTTCGAATAATAATAATAATAATAATAATAACGCGTAAAGGTCCTTTATTTATATCAAAGCTGTTTGCCGGTGGTAATTTTACTGTTCATTTGCATTAAACTGTTTTATAACTAAACACTGAACTGACATGCTGTCCAAGGTCAGCTGTATCGTTTGTTTTTACCCAGACGTATTACCGAATAATGAAAGAAATATCTACACATTTGATTTGACTTGAACAAATGCAACTGTTTCCTTAGGTGTGTTGTTCACCGACATGTTAATCAAGTTTTACCTGGACAAAATATCCGGAATACGTAGGGGACTGCATATGATTTAGCTTAAATTAGAAAAACTTTATGTTTAACAACCTCGTTTATAGAGAACGATTAAAAACTTAACCCTAAAATGATAATTAAGCAAAAAAAGTCGGGAATTTTGTAGGTACGTAGGGTAGTTTTTAAAAAAACTGCAAATTTCACCATGGAAGACAAATGACCTACATCAATAGAAAACATTCATTCTGTTGTTTGTGGATAATACTAAAATGTTGAGTTTATCACCTGTATTCGCTGATTACAGACACAAAAAGGGTATTGGTATTTGTTTTCCTCGTTGAGTATATCTTTTAGTATTGTTTGTATTCAAAAGTGTTAAGGCCTTTGTGTAACTTTTGAAGTCGGATTTTTTTATTGTTGTTAGGTACAGTAATATACAAACCTCTGTTTTTGCTTGTGTTCAGTGTCTATCACCTAACAAGCCTTGAAACACACCCCTTTTAGAGATCAGTTTTCGCTTTTGTTCTTCCTGCGAGATCACGAAACAAATTTAACGCGCAAGAAAAACAACGTTGTGGCAGATCTGAATGATATTTCCCGGTCGATGATGGAGTGCAATGTAGCAACCGTAATTAGTGGTATCACAATGTATGCACCGGACTCACACTGGCTGCATATAGAAGGTCCTAAAAGCCACTATCATGTTGGCTGTGAAAATCATACTGTTCTCCAATGTCTCTGCTGATTCTTCAGGCGATTGAACTGCTGAACATAGCTAAAAAATTGCCCTCAGATGAACAGGCAACAGATGAGCTAAATCCAGTTTTTAAAGAAATGGCGAGCGTTATCATAAGCCCATCTTTGAATCTAAATGAGACCATCAAGGTGGGCCTCATTAGAAAAGCGGATAACAACCATATAGGTGTAGGCATTGTTATTAGGAAAAAGCAAAAGCATGCTAAGAAACAAACTATAAGCAGCACAAAGGTATGTGAATCTAGTCTCAGATCCGGAATCATATATCAACGCAAATCAGACTATGGGGAGAAAAGTCTGAGCGGCTAAGATGATGTGATCAAGAGACAAGTCAGTTTAGTAAAAGTGTCGAAGTGGAAACACGTCCCTGTGGTAACCTACATCACAACAGCAAATGAAACAAACTTGCCTACAGTTACTGACCGTAAGCACTTAGGAGTTACAATAAGCAATGATTTTAGATATGTACAAAGCATTGGTGTGATTTTTGTCAGTTTCCTAACCTTTTGAGAAATTAGTAAGGCATTTTGGAGCTCAGACAGCATGCTTAAAATAATGTGTCAAATGTACGTGAAACTGCATCTGAAATATGGATTTCAAAAAATGAGCTAAAGTACAACACATCTTAAAGATTCTTGAAAACCCCATAAGCTGAAATCGCAATTTGACTCCAAACGAGTAGCGGCGGGACTATAATTTATGGACTAACCAATAAGATATAAGATAATAGGCCTCGGATATTGGTGCGAAATTCACTCATCCAATTTGGTTAAAGTTTTGGCATTATAGCTGATGTCAGTTCGTGAAAACCCAAAATTTAATTCCTAATGTTAATCATCAACTGTAAAACACAATTCGCTAGTGATCTTTAATGTTCATCTAATGACTAGCACCAAATGAGGGTTATAAACTAGTGTGAAGAAATGGAGTTATGATTTATAGTTGATGATAAGAGTTAGGAATTAGATTAGGGATTTTGTCACAAACTGACATCAGCTATAACGCGAAAACTGCATTTAGCCATATGAATGAATGAATTTCAGGTGAAAATCAGTTAATTGATTGGTTCGGTTGGGGAAATTCCCCAGCATTTTCCCAAACCTTTTGAAGAAGACAATGGAACTCTAGGGAAAACCCCAAAATTTACCCAGAATCCCCCAAAATTTGCTCAGAAGAAAGAAACTGAATCAATTTACACATTCGAACCGTTGAAGACATTAATAACAAAAGTACTCACCATCCAGCTACATAATACTAAACTTCCGAAATTAGTCAATAAAAAGTGAAAATGGCCAATAGGTAGTAAGAACCACTCGATAATTCATCAGATGAATACACGTCACGGTACACCAGATCCTTCCTAAGCCGACCGCCGTTGCGTGAAACAACCTTGAACGGACTGAAACAGGCGGTAATACCATGTTTCAATTACTGGGGGGTATGTTCGTTGTCCGTTTTGTTGCCTGAATATCAAGAGTTCTCATATTTAAGTGGTCTCTTGCTGCAGAAAAGCTACAAATTCATTACATAGAACATTGAGTTATTTCTCTCTGTCTTGTAGTGCACTCGTTGGATCGACTGTTGCTCCCTAACATCCCAAACAGCTTATTTCGGCAAAACTTTTCTCCTACTTGGGTAAATTATGAGAATAACTTTGATCAAGAGCGTTCTGTTTGCCTGGAAGAGAAAAGAATTACGAGCAGATGTAACCTGGGTCGTGGATAAACTGCGACATGCCGGTGTCCTGCCGTCATATGCTGCTGGTATGAAGACGAACTCTCACAGGTAAACTCGATCAACTACAAAAAATAAACTGCATAGTTCATCATCGTTGCAGTCGAAGAAAGATAAATAACACTCACAACTTCCATAATAACAACAATTTCACTACCAAGACGAGGCTAACAATATGTACAGATTCAGCGAAGCCATGGGTAGATATACCAATAACCATAATGGGTAACAGTTTGTGAAAATTAAAAATAACTAAGTGTTCGCTCTACAAGTACCTGTTTCGTTACGAAAAATTGTAGTACTGCATCAATTTAGATATGTCACTAGAATGTTTCGTTATATATATAAGTTTCTTCACAACGACTGTGTATTCGGATGGATAATTGTAGTGGCACTTTTTCCTAACCACACAGTCTTCGAAGCCGAGCGTATAATTTTTGAAAATATATAAATTCAACGTGGAACGCTTGGAGGAGGTCGGCAATGGTGGGCGTGGAAACATTCATTCGACCGGAAGATATGACTCAGCCCTGCACACGTGGCCATTATGTGTAACCCACCACTACTCACATAAAATATTACACTCTATCCGCAACATAAATGTGTTATTCAGAAGTGCTAAGTATCATATTGTTAATTATTACGATGCGATGAGTCAGTGTAGATAGCGATGTGACTTCTATGGAAGATCTTACAGATTAGGCAGTCACATCACGACGATTTCGCCGTTTTAGGATTCGGTCTACTGTCAAAGTAGTACTAATGCCGCGATGGTCTATAATTCAACATACCAACAAGACTGAGTATAGTTGTTATATCTAGTTATAAAGAATTCATTAGATGAATAAACGTGTCAGTAGTCACTATAAAACACAGTCACCATCAACTTGTAAATTGGTTCTTCACATAATCTTCCATATTCGGAAATTCGCCAAGCTTTTCACCGGCATAGACTTGATTATTAGAAAGGTTTGAGCCTTTCAATTAGTTGACAGATGTCATAAGTAGGATATCATAAAACCTGTGGGGACAAACGATTAAACTTCGTTGTCAGTATCAAATTTAATAAGTAAATGAAATAGCAGCTAAGATAATGCATTTATAGGTGTTTTACTTGTAAACAGTGCACTTCATTTTCCAACCCTTCTAGAATTTCACCTGGTCAGATGATACTAACAAAGAAACTGCAGGTGTCGAATAAACGGACTGAAAAATTTTAATTAGTAATATGAAATCTGAGAAAAATCCAATTACAACTTTCATAATACAATTAGCGATCCACTATTTA